GATGATGTATGTATGTATGTATGTATGCCTCTATCGCATCTTGTGATGAATAAAAGTGTTCAGATTTTTGTCCTGTGTACATTTTTCTACCGAATATTACTGGATCCTGAATTATGAGGTTGTTACAGAGTCAAAATATGATTATACAACAGTCAGTTCCGGCCATGCAAGCTGATTGGTTGAGAAGCGTTCTAACCGTGCTGTTATTTTGCCATAACATCACAGGTTTTTCACAAACACTGCATCGCTCCGCTGAGACGCCGTTGCTAAGCACTTGTGGCTGTAGGAGGCGCTCAAGCCATTTGAACATTTTTACTTCTTACTTTGCCACAAACAGAAAATGGACACTTTTAAGATCACATCTGACCGACAGCCAATTTGGTCAGACTCTGAAGATGAGGCTACACTAAATTCCCAAACTGTCAGTTGGTCTGTTTAAGGAGCTGGAGAAGGAAGTGCCGGCTGTGCAGCGAGTGGGCGGAGCTCGTTACTCTGACGTAGCAACAAGCTGCTCGTTAAGGAACTATAATTTGGTGAAGGAACTGCGAACATTAAAACATATTAAACGCCGCGTTCAGGGCCCAGTTTATTAATTTATTACTTTATTTATTTAACTGTTGTATAAAAGCAGTAGAACACTCGAGGATCATCACGTGATGTTATTTCGCGATAACACACTCCCTCTGGTGTTCTGTTGCTTAAATATTGCATGCAAGCTAAAGCTACTGTGCATCATTTTCATGTCACTAAGCTACATAATAGTAAACCGTGCTGTGACGGCGGTCTGGCATGCTAATTAGCATTAGCTTTCATGTAGCAATATTAGACTCTTTAATGACTTTGTAATTCAGAGGATCCAGTGATATTCCAGAGAATGTTCCTAAGACAAAACATATCCCATTTTTGATTGTCACAGGATGTGAAAGAAGCAATTTTTTAAAAACTCCATTCATTCTTCTCCTAGAGAAATTCCTTTTAGACCTGGAGTTCCTTATATGGGCATAAGAGCATTCCGCCGACTACAGGATAACGACATGACCACAGTGGTCTATGAGGAAGGTCATACTGTTAGCATAGATCAAATGTAGTTTTGTTTTTGCAGTCAAGCTAACGTAAGCATGGCGGTAGTTTCAGCTGCAAATTAGTCTGACATCTATAGCACGTTCAGCTGACATCTATCAGGATTCTGTCATTGGGTTTAATCGATCTGATGGCAAACAAAGTGACCGCTCTGTATGTCGATCATTATTTCAGGGAAAGATGGAGCTACACTGCTGAAAAAAACTGCTTAGACCAGCATGGAATTGTGTTGCTTTAGCTGGTCACCCAGCATTGCACATACTGGTTGACGTGCATACCAGCATCCACAACACAACATGTCGCTGCTGTTGGAACAAAACCTGTGTTCTCCATTGCTGTTCTTCAGTTTTTGACAATTTGAAAATGCCTGTTGCTCTTTACATTGTGTGTAAATTTCATGATGAATGGACCAAAAGAAACGTCCCAAAATGACTTGGAAAAAGACGGGGAGAACATGCAAACTCCGAACACGATGGCCCCTGGTCGCCCGGCCGGGGAATCGAACCCAGAACCCTGCTGTGAGGCGACAGCGCTTCCTTAGACTTGCATTAAATGTAAAGAATGTTTTTTGTTCCAGTGTAATGTCACCATTTTGGAGATAGTTTGGGATATTTTGGTTTTGGTAGTTATCAGCATACCAGCATCCAAAACATCACTGCTGTCGGAGCAAAACCTCGAATCTCCAAAATGGTAACTTTACAGGAGAAGGAAAAAACATACTTTACTTTTAATGTACGTCAATGGAACCAGACGTTTTTCCAAGTCATTTTGGGCTGTTTCTGTTTGTCCATTTACTATGAAATTTACATACAATGTAAAGAACAACAGGCCGTTTCAAACTATGTGAAAAACTAAAAAATGACAAAAACGGAGATACGAAGTTTTGTTCCAGCAGCAGCGATATGCTGGTGTTTCCAGCAGGGAACTGAAGTGACAGTGCATGTTGTCCGTCATGGACCACTTTGGTTCCTGGGAGTTAATTTCTGTTGTTCTAAAACTCGCCTGCTCCGACACGTCATACCAAATCCTTGATTTGTGGTGGGTTAGTTGGCTTGTCAAAAGGCCCTTTCCTGGCATGAGATTACCACAGTGGCCATTTTGTGGCGCAGCATGTTAAACTGGAAACTCGACCTCATGCCGTCCCTCTAAACTACAGTTCCTCATTAGGTTGAACGGCTTTTTTGCCAAAATTCTGTAAAGCCTGTCCAACTTGGCAACATCAGCCATGAAAGACTTTGTGGGTCTCTGCAGCTCCTGTGGTTTCTTCGCCGTTCTCCAGCACGCCAGACTGGTCTCGTTAAGCTCTGCCAAACAAACATGACGACCATATTGCAGGCCCCAGTCGACTGCACTCGAGGGCGGCGCCACTCGCTCAGGCTTGATTTCCACTTTGCGCTGGATCAGAAGCCACAGCACAGAAGATCTGAAGGCACTTTAAAACCAATTCTGAATGATTTTATTCAGTTTCAGATATTCAGTGAATGAAACATGCAGCTGTTTAGCATTGTTAGCTTGCAAAGAGGTCTTTGCTCCACTTAAATGCTTGTTCATCATTTGTAAGAGTGAAAGAATTTTAATACAGTATTGAAAAATTGTGGAAATGAATGTGTAAAACTCGCTGCAGTTTCTCGAGCGTCTCTCGCTTACAGTCCTTTGTGGAAACCAGTCAGCAGACCTTTAAAGTCTTTTTTCATTCTGCGTCACACCCAATCAAGGAGCTCCGACGCCAAGAGGTTCGTCTTAAGATGAGAACGTCGATTAAGATGAGAACAAGACGAGAGAGAGAGAGAGAGAGAGAGAGAGAGAGAGAGAGAGAGAGAGAGAGAGAGAAGAGAATGAAAGGGGAGAAAAGGAGAAAGAGAAAAATGAGAATGAGATGAGAAAGATGAGAACAAGAGAGACAGGGTGTAAGAGAGGGAGAAAGAAGTGTATGAGATGAGAGAGAGAAAGAAAGACGAGAATGAGGTGAGAGAAAAGGAGAGAGGAAGAAAGACGCGAATGAGGTGAGAGAAAAGGAGAGAGGAAGAAAGACGAGAATGAGGTGAGAGAAAAGGAGAGAGGAAGAAAGGTGAGAATGAGGTGAGAGAAAAGGAGAGAGGAAGAAAGACGAGAATGAGGTGAGGGAAAAGGAGAGAGGAAGAAAGACGAGAATGAGGTGAGAGAAAAGGAAAGAGGAAGAAAGACGCGAATGAGGTGAGAGAAAAGGAGAGAGGAAGAAAGACGAGAATGAGGTGAGAGAAAAGGAGAGAGGAAGAAAGACGAGAATGAGGCGAGGGAAAAGGAGAAGGAGAGAGAAAGATGAGAATGGGACAAGAGAGAGGGTGAAAGAGAAGGAGAAAGAGAGAAAGAGATGAGAATGAGATGAGAGGGAGTGAAACAGGGAGATGAGGCAGGTGAAGAGAGAAAAAAAACAGAGCAAGAGAGCGGAAGAGATGAGAGGGAGGCGGGGAAAAAGACAGAGAGAAAGCGAGAGAGAGAAAACAAAAACAGTGAGAAAAAGATGACAGATGGTGAAAGAGGCAGAGAGGGCGTTAAAAAAGCAGAGAGAAAGATGAGTGAGTGAGTGAGTGAGGAGTGAGAGAGAGAGAGAGAGAGAGGAAAAACAAAGAAGGTGAGGAAGATCCCTTTACATAGTTTAAAGGGCCATATCATGAAAAACTGAATTTTCCTCGTTTTTCTAAAGTAGAGAGTGATGTAGTACATAAAACACCATTAAAAGCCTCAGAAACGAATCGGTCACTCTGCAGACAGGACAAAAGACACAACACAGTGGCTCCATGGCAGAAGTCTGCATATATTTCAATAGAAACATTCATTCTAAAGCTCCAAAAGAGGGACTGAGTGCTGGAGGTCAGGGGTTGTGAGGAGGCCGATTCTGGTCCATGGAAAAGAAAAGACAGAACAACAAAGAGTGGCAAAAACAAACAGCTCTTCACCGTCCACAGGGGGCTGGACTGTCTGTGGACTCCCACCACGGAGTCTGAGGGGCGACGTTTACAGACCTCCATTAGAAGTAACAGTGAAATATAAAGTGAAATACAGTGAAAAACAAAAAGCTAATTAAGGGTCAAAAACCTGTTCAATTGAATTAACACACGATTAATATATGAACTCGTACGAAAATTCAAAAATCAATGATTTCGTTAGGAGATTCCATAATATCTTCAACTCATTTTTAATTTAGTGGCATGATTTTTCTTTTCTGTATTGTTTTTAATGGCCGTTCCGCCCCCCCATGCAAAAAGTAGTCCTCACGGCTCCGTCTTCCACCAGGCGTCTCCTCGCCCCCTCCAAATAACCTTCATCATTTAGAGGAAAGCACACAGGGAAAAGAAAATCTGAGGGAAAATTATAAATCGAGAAAAATATATTTATATATTTATATATATTTATATATATATTTACGAGGTATGTATCCACAAAAAAGCAGTCTTTTTTTTTTTTTAAACTTTGTCTCCTCCTAACAAAGCCCCTCTTAAAACAACATTAATAATTAATAAGATAATAATATAATAATATCAATAACGAGTCAGCAAACTGAAACAAGGAGGCGACGCTCCTTTTGACCCTGCCCTTAGTCTGTTTAGCTTAGCAGTCTCGAGACCCTTCGGTCTCCTCTCGACGTAGTCCAAAGCACCAAAGCTTCCAAACCACCAGGTGGCACTGCAGCACAAGCAGAAGAGTCTTTTTCTTTAACAGATCACATCAAGTCCAAAAAAAAGGGAAAAAAGAAAACAAAAACAAAAAGCAAAATCATCTTCTACAAGTTCAGCACAAAAAGTAGAAGCCAACATGTCTGAAAGCCCAAACCGTTGTGTGGTGTTGCCCCTGGCAACCGTGTCTCTGGGTTACGGGGTTAATCCGAGGAGTCAAAAGGTGTCTTGTGCAACGAAACCAGCCAAAAACTCCAAACGACCCCAACCAAAACAACCAGGGAGGCCCGACTTCTCAGCTACTGTTGAGTCAGGAGGTTTCCTGCCTTCATCACTCAGCGTCACGCCAAATACTGCTGCATCGCTGTCTTCGCCCTGAGAGAGAGAGAGAGAGAGAGAGAGAGAGAGAGAGAGAGAGAGAGAGAGAGAAAAGTAGGGAGGAGAGGGGCGGGGGGGGGGCATGTGAGAAAGAGAAAGAAAGAACAGAAAAAGAATGAGTAGAGAGAAAGAGAGGGAGGGAGAGAAAGGGAGAGAGAGGGTGAGGGAGGGAGGGAAGTACAGAGATGGAGGGAGAAATGGAGGGAGGGAGGGAGGGAAGGAGGGAAGTACAGAGAAGGAGGGAAGTACAGAGATGGAGGGAGGGAGGGAAGGAGGGAAGTACAGAGATGGAAGGAGAGGGAGGGAGGGAGAGAGAGGGAGGGAGGGAGCAAGGGAATAGGGAGGGAGGGAGGAAGGGAGAGGGAGGGAGGGAGAGGGAGGGAGGGAGGGAGTAGAGAGGGAGGAAGGGAGGGAGGGAAGTAGAGCGGGAGGAGAGGGAGGGAAGTAGAGAGAGAGGGAGGGAGGGAGGGAAGTAGAGAAGGAGAGAGGGAGGGAGCGAGAGAGGGACGTAGAGGGAAGGTAGGAAGTAGAGGGAAGGAGAGAGCGAGGGAAGGAGAGAGCGAGGGAGAGAGGGAGGGAAGGAAGGAGAGCGAGGGAGGGAGGGAAGGAGAGCGAGGGAGGGAGGGAGGGAAGGAAGGAGAGAGCGAGGGAGGGAAGGAGAGAGCGAGGGAGGGAGGGAGGGAGGGAAGGAGAGAGCGAGGGAGGGAGGGAAGGGAGAGTGAGGGGGGAGGGAGGAGAGAGCGAGGGAGAGAGCGAGGGAGAGAGCGAGGGAGGGAGGGAGAGAGCGAGGGAGAGAGCGAGGGAGGAGGGAGGGAGAGAGCGAGGGAGGGAGAGAGCGAGGGAGAGAGCGAGGGAGGGAGGGAGGGAGGGGGAGAGAGCGAGGGAGGGAGGGAGGGAGGGGAGAAAGAGTGAGAGGTGTAATAGAGAGAAAGTGAGATTATGTTCTTGTATTTTTATTATTATTATTGACCTGACTAAGACGGTCATACCAAAAAAAAAAAGAGAGAGAGAGAGAGAGAGAGAGAGAGAGAGAAGGAAACACCTGTCTGTGTATTAAAGTATCCGTGTGTGTCTAACCTGTCACAGAGGTTTGGATCGGACGCCTGGGTGAGTTTGTGTAAAATATCTACGAAGCCCATTTCCCTTAACTTGTCCTGCCTCTCCTGGGAACCTGAACACAAAACAGAGAGGAAAAGCCGGAGTTTATTTCATCTTACAGACTTTAACAGCTGTTATTTTAATAACTTTACTGGGACTTTTATATGTTCAACTTTAAACATGCTGATCTTTGGCAACATTACACTTCATACAGCGATACACATAAACCATGAAGAGGGTAAAAGAAAAGAAGTGAAACAAAGAAAGAGGGCGAGAGAGAGGGTGGAAAGAAGGTGAAAAAGAGAGAAAAAGGGAGAGGGGCGAGAGAGAGAGAGAGAGTGAAAGGTGAGAGAGTTAGAGAAAAAGAGATTAGAGGGTAAAGAAAAAAGAGAGAGAGAGAGAGGGAATGATAAGCGACAAGACAGACAGTTAAAAAGAGGGAGAGAGAAAGGAGGAGGGAAGAAAAAATGTGAAAGAAGGAGGGGGAGTGAAAAAGGGTGAAAGAGTTCAAGAAAAAAGGAGGGTGAAAAAAATGAGAAAGAGAAAGACAAATGACAGAATGATGAGAGATAAGACAAAGGCAGTTAAAAGAAGAGGGAGAGAAAGGGAGACAAGAAAATAGGGTGAAAGAAAAAAGGAGGGAGAAAACGAGAAAGAGAGAAAGCGATGAAAAAAATGGGAGAGAAAGAGAGATGAGAGAGGGTGAAAGAGTGAGGGTGGAAAAAAGAAATGAGAGAAATATGAGAGAGGGTAAAATGAGAGAATGATCAGAAAGAAGACAGAGGGTGAAAAGGGAGAGAGAAAGAGGAAGAGAAGAAAGAGAGAAGACTTTCAAACAGTGTACTGGATGAACTGGTATAATATCAGCGATTATAACACTTTCTGGTAACACTTTACTGTAGGGTGCTGTTCATAAGGCTACATGACACCTACATAAGGTTGTCATTACAACTGACATAACCCTACATCACTGTTTATAAATGCTTATTACAACAGGCGTCATCTGTCATAAAGGCTACTTTAGCTGACTGTGATCAAAATTGGCAAATGTAACCTTTATAGCGAATGACAATTATTGGAACAAGCATTTACAAACAGTTATGTAAATGCAGGGTTATGTCAGTTGTCATGACAAGCTTATGTAGGTGTCATGTTGCCTTATGAACAGCACCCTACAGTAAAGTGTTACTCACTTTCTTTCAGCCCACAATTCTGTCTTCAAGCTCTTTTTACATCAGATGTGGAAAAATTGCTAGAAAACCTCCTTCAGAGAGTCAACAGCTGATAGCTGTGCTTAAATGTTACCTACATTAGTTTATTTAATCTGTATATAAAATAAAGAGATCTGCAGGTTATTCTGGCTTATCCGTCACTGGAAGGTGGACAGAAACGCTGTCAACTGTTCATTATGACTCGTGTGGGTTGCATCTGGAGTGAAACAGCTAAAAAAAAAAGTTTAGGCCCGTCATCTGCAGCTTCAAGGTCCTCACCATCTTCTTCATTCCACACCAGGTTGGAGATGCAGAAGGTGGCAGCCAGCTGCAACTTCACATTCGAGTGACCCTGCAGCACCGAGAGACACAGAGAGACACACAGAGACAGCGAGACACACAGAGACAGCGAGACACACCGACACAGAGAGAGACAGACACAGAGAGACACACAGAGAGACACAGCGAGTGAACAAAAAAGCTAAATGCATAAAAGGAGAATCTCACCAATTTTTCAAAATTTCAAACCCGCCCGTGAACCACCTTCTTCTAGTTCTTACTCTGAACGACTGTTTACATCTTAACCTTCTAATTATGCACAAATGTTGAAAAATCCCTTTTAAGGTGATATGATAGAGATAAAAAACAACACTCATATTCAAGTCCACATTCGAATGTCTGGAATCACTGGTTTCAATAATACATTTTTTTTTTGCAGATTTATATAATTAGTGATTGTAATGATGTTATTACTCTGTAGCTTCACAGCTTTTCAATAATTCGTATGAATGATGAACAGATGACAAAATGACTGAGAAAGCTGTAGATTCTCAAGAATGATGTTCAAATTTAATATCCAGAACGCCTCATACTCGAAAGTGGTGATCAAATGACAAGAAATTACTGTTAGTAAACAGATCATTACTGTATATTATTTATGATTAAAATATGGAAGCCATAAATGCCATGGATTTTTTTCCCATTAAAGGAGTTATTTTAATTTGCTTCCTCGTGATATTCTCAAAACTTTTGAGTGATTTATATTATTATGGCATATCGGATACAGTTTTATCGGGATAACATTGGTTATGTCATGATAACGGCATAAAGATCTGGAGATCTCAAGAAAACAACACTTGTTATATTGTAATAATGATATAAATAACTCAAGATCTTGAGGAAAAAAAAATGAAAAACTATCACAAAAACAAAAACGTTTAAATTATGCAAACCTGGCCATTTAAGGCTTCCATTCTAAATACTGAATAAAGCATCCAAATATATAATTTTGTATGGATTATAAACTATTATTACAATATTATTACAATAAATTATTATTACAAATGATTCCAATATTATTAGAATAAGTTATTATTGCGAATGATTCCAAGCTTTTGAACACTAGTGTATGAGAATCGCTTGTGCTGTGAATGTGGAAGCTGTACCATGTAGTATTTGACTTTCTGGAGCATGTCATCATTGGTCATGATGAGTTCTTTGGCCGTGTTGCCATCAGCAATGTTAGCCAGTATACACAATGTCTGCAAAGTAAGCAGTAAAGAAACACTTCACAATAACATTACAATAACAAACATCTTTATAATGTAATATTAAACGTAGCTGCTTTAATAATCAACATTAATCAACAGCATTAAAGAGCCCATTTAATGGAAAACAGAGCTGTCCTCATTTTTTTTTTTTTAATAAAACAGTTTTATGTAGTACGCAAACACTGATAAAGGTTCAAAACATAGAGAGAGAGAATGGAAAATGGTCAATATTAGTTAGTGTTTTTTTTTGTACATATGGGCCCTTTAATGCAGTCAGAAAACATGAGTGAATGTCCTCACCTGCTCCTTGACCTCTATGCTGTGCTCTCCCTCCAGGATCAGCGTAACTGCCTGCATGATCTGCTTGCCGTGCGAGCTCATGATCTGGTCTATGTGCTAGCAGAAAGATGGAGAGAGGATTAGCATGCATGGTTTATCGGCAGAGAAAGCTTATAATCTTGTTATGCTCAGAGAGGAGGGCTGCTGAGAGGTCATGCGCTGCTGCGCACGGACTTTGTTTGGTTTCTACTCTTTTCAGGAAATAATCTTCCAGGACTTTTCCAGGATCTTTCTTGTGACTTCCAAACTCATGTAAGGTTAAATCCTTAACAACCCCTTACTGACTAACACAGGTGCACACACCGCGTATTATGTATATAAAGAAGTAATTAGTTCATTGGCTTTATTAAAAGTAATAAAGCTTGACTTTTCAACCTCCTTCTTTACCACCAGTTTACCTTAAGGAACTGGTGTTAAAGAAGGAACATTTTAAGAACAACAGTCATATGCAAATGTTTTGTTGATGTTCAAAGTGGAAGAGGAAAAATTGAGCAAATCCTCTACAGAGAACACACTTTAATGTATAATGTTTAATTTCACTGCACACTTTCTATCTATTTGCTGAGTCTGACCTATTGCTAAAAATATTACACAAAAAGTGCCATAACTTTTACACCGGCCACATTTTATGCCCCTCCCTCCACCTCCCAATAATGTTAATTTTGGCAAATAAACAGAAATTGTGCATTAAAACGTACAGAACTGTGTTCTCCGTAGAGGACGTGTTCACTGATGAAAATCAACAAACATTTAATTTGACCAGGGCCCCCAAACTACTACACTTGGCTGTGTTTATGTTATGTTTCTCTCTCAACGCAATAAAGAAACGTGATTCTTTTTTTAATTGTTTTGTGCAACTGTCAAGTTGCACTCTCAAGTTGCATGGCAAGTTGCTTGCCGTTTCATGCAACCTGCATCTAGTTGCATGAACCTTTCACCACTGCAAAACCAACAGAACTTTCTAAATGTGATTGCTACATAGCAACAACTAGCAATGTTAAAGATTAACTGTGCGCCCTTTGCTGCTAAAAGGTCTAGCTACTGTAAATCAGCTGCTCTTTTGCTGGTGCTACTGCAGTTTATTAGCAAACCAACAAAAACAAATAGACACTATGATATGCAAGAGTCTGTGTGTTCGTCTCTTTTTTACCGGCCGCGTGGAGAGCAGGTTCCGCAGCAGGCCGAGCGTCTTCATGAGCACGTTGGTGTCGGGGTCTGAGAGGAGCCGGAAAAGCTGCTCCGTCCCGAGCGCCCTCATGATCTCCACCTTCACCTTCTGATCCGCCTGGAACGCCATGTTCTGTACAGACACGTGCGCCTTATATAAGAACACAGTCTTTATAAAGGCAGTCAGTGAAATCCATTCACGCAGTAACTCTTACCATAAGAGCCCAGATGCCGTTGACCCTCAGTGCTGGACTGTCGCTTTGTGTTAAGCTGCATAGTAACTCGATCACCCCAGACTCCAGGATGGGCTGGACGTGGAGACAAGAACAATTATGGTCAAAAGAAAAAAAAGTCGACTACAACTATCATCTACCAGCCCTGGTGTTGGAGGCCCTGCTCTTACATCCTAGGACAGACTTATTAATTAGCTGGTTAGTTGGTTCAGATTAGGGATGCAGCGATACCGGTACTGGTTTTGGGTATCGACCCTGTTTACTCGTACTTGACCAACAAACCACAACCTGAGCTCCTCAGATTCATTAGCCTCAAATGTGATTCCTGGGGTCACTGAGCTACAGAGACTGTTGTTGAAAGAGACAGATGAGGATCAAAACTATGAAACATACTTTACTTAAAGCTGCTTTTCTGACAAGTAACAAAACCTGCTCTTCTCCACTGCAGCACTACTCTGTCCGAGGTAACTAATGTAGCATCGCTAGTTAATGCATAGATTTTAGACTAGATTTTAATGATTTAACTCTTAAAGTGTATTAAACTCATTCACACAAACTGCTTGATTCTAAGTGGGTTTCTCAGTGTAGTTTCGGAATCTGTGACTACTAAAAAACGTGTATTCGTACTCAATCTGAAAAAAATGGTAGGAAAGGAAGGAAAAGCAAAATCAAAACAACTGCAAATTTGAAAAGAAAACTTCTTGTATGAAGATGAATAATAATACATTTTTTAGCATTGCACTCACTGAGATTTGCTAAAAAACATTAGTTTGGAACACTGAAACAAAAGCCAATCTAGAGTCCATCTTACTGTATATGTAAATGCGCTACCACTAAACACCGAGAGAGCATTTGTATCGGATCTGTACTGGCAGATCAGTATCGAGCGTAATGCTAAAAAAGTGTATTAATTAACACCAATACAGATTCGGACACTACAGTAACCCACTTAGAATCAAGTAGTTTGTGTGAATGAGTTTAATACACCTTAAGAGTTAAATCATTAAAATCTAGTGTGCATTAACTAGCGATACTACATTAGTTACCTTGGATAGAGTAGTGCTGCAGTAGAGAAGAGCAGGTTTTGTTACTTGTCAGAAAAGCAGCTGTAAAGTATGTTTCATAGTTTTGATCCTCATCTGTCTCTTTCAACAACAGTCTCTGTAGCTCAGTGACCCCAGGAATCACATTTGAGGCTTATGAATCTGAGGAGCTCAGGTTGTGGCTTGTTGGTCAAGTACGAGTAAATAAGGTCGCTACCCAAAACCAGTACCGGTATTGATGCATCCCTAATCTGAACCAACTAACCAGCTAATCAATAAGTTTGTCCTAGGATGTAAGAGCAGGGCCTCCAACACCAGGGCTGGTAAATGATACCGATTCACTACACAGAATCAGTGCATCACTAATTAAAACACAATGAAACACTGTTTAGCTGCACTCTGTAGGATTTTGGGATTTGGAGACCTCTCTGACAGAAACGTGTAATTGCACGCAACATGTGGAAGAATATATGCAACATGGGTTGTGCTTCAGACCCCTTCTCTGAGTGGATGAACCTGATGACTGCGAGTGCTTTGAAAGAATATTCAGTCCAAACCTGGACATGTCTTCTGAAGACAAGAGCTATATTGTCATAATATCTATCAGTATAATGTTGATTTTGCATCTGGAATTTAAGACTTTCGTTTTGAGCTTGTGCATGACGTTTCTATATAAAGATGTTTTCTTTTCATGACTCAGTAATTCTACTTATTTCAACTGTAACAAAACACATCTTGCATACATTCGCTTTAATAAAGTGTATGTGGCTGCCTGACCTCTTTGCTGGGTGAAAACTCCAGTAGAAGATTGCATAGTGTTGAAGAGGCCATGACCAGCACCTCGTCTGGAGCGTTCTGTAACAACTACACATATACAACAGGTCAGCAAAACCTTCTTACTCTGTTTGAGCGATTAGAAAGCAAAGACAAAATGTCGAACCTTCATTAGCGGCTTCCATACGGCGTGGTCGTGGAAACTCGTCCTCAGCTGCTGCACAGATCGCGACAAACTGTGGAGACATCTGCAGAGAGGATGAGAGAGAATGATGAGCTTTTATAATATACACTAACATTCACATGCTTGCTGACCCTGCTAAAGTAGCACTTTTGAATTGCCAGTACCAAAAATATCAATCAACCATTAAAGATTAATTTAACATGATGCCACTAACTTTAAAAGGTTTCTAATAATTAGTAAGAATCTGTAAAAGAAAAATTAAGACGTGAGATTTGTCCAGAATGTTGAACAGAGCTGTTGATTCTGAATGAAAGCTGTAGAACATTAAGAATGAAGCTGTAATAAAATTAACATCCATAAAATTAATCTCTTACTTCAAAAGTCTTAAAGCAGAGAATTTGACAAATTATTTATAAAGAGATAATTAGAGGATTTACCATTTAGTTACTTTTTGCTGTTCCCAAAAAGCTTGTAACATTGAATAAAGTCTGATTTACAACACTTCATCTATACTCTGTAAGCTATTACTGAATAAAACAACAATTATTAATATAACAGAGGATTACAGTGGGGTAGTGTATGTACCAGTAATTTATGAGTGACATTGTGTATGTAGTATTATATATACCGATCAAGCATAACATTATGACCACCTCCTTGTTTCTACACTCATTGTCCATTTTATCAGCTCCACTTACTATATAGGTGCACTTTGTAGTTCTACAGTTACAGACTGTAGTCCATCTGTTTCTCTGCATACTTTGTTAGCCCCCTTTTACCCTGTTCTTCAGTGGTCAGGACCCCCATGGACCCTCACAGAGCAGGTACTATTTGGCTGGTGGATCATTCTCAGCACTGCAGTGACACTGATGTGGTGGTGGTGGTGTGTTAGTGTGTGTTGTGCTGGTACGAGTGGATCAGACACAGCAGTGCTGCTGGAGTTTTTAAACACCTCAGTGTCACTGCTGGACTTGGAATAGTCCACCAACCAAAGTATCCATGAAGGACTAGAGGATGACCAACACAAACTGTGCAGCAGCAGATGAGCTATCGCCTCTGACTACATCTACAAGGTGGACTGACAAGGTAGGAGTGTCTAATAGAGTGGACAGTGGGTGGACATAGTGTTTAAAAACTCCAGCAGCACTGCTGTGTCTGATCCACTCAGACCAGCACAGCACACACTAACACACCACCACCACGTCAGTGTTACTGCAGTGCTGAGAATGATCCACCAGCCAAATAGTACCTGCTCTGTGAGGGTCCATGGGGGTCCTGACCACTGAAGAACAGGGTAAAAGGGGGCTAACAAAGTATGCAGAGAAACAGATGGACTACAGTCTGTAACTGTAGAACTACAAAGTGCACCTATATAGTAAGTGGAGCTGATAAAATGGACAATGAGCGCAGAAACAAGGAGGTGGTCATAATGTTATGCCTGATCGGTGTATAGCTATCATGCACAGATATGGTCAGATACACTACATGTCCAAATATTTGTAGATGCCAGCATGTCATTTGTCCCCCTTTGCTGCTCTACTTTTCTAGGAAGGAGGCTCATGTGTGGCCCCTCCAGAACGTCCCATTCTACAGGCAACGCATTTTTATGGAGATCATGGTGCAACTTAACGCTGTGTCAGCAATGGGTGCACCATAACATTGCTGAAAGCACTGTTCAAGTACGAATAAATAGGGTCGATACTCGAAACCAGTACCGGTATCGATGCATCCCTAATCTGAACCAACTAGCCAGCTAATTAATAAGTCTGTCCTAGGATGTAAGAGCAGGGCCTCCAACACCAGGGCTGGATTTTGGGATTTGGAGACCTCTCTGGTGGAAATGTGTAATTGCACGCAACACGTGGAAGAACATTTTGCAACGTGGGCTGTGCTTCAGACCCCTTCTCTGAGCGGATGAACCTGATGACTGCGAGTGCTTTGAAAGATTATTCAGTCAAAAACTGGACATGTCTTCTGAGGACAAGAGTGAATTAGCTACTATTGTCATAATATCTATATCAGTATAATGCTGTCTGGATACTTTTGGACATGTAGTGCATGGATGTACATTTCTAAACCATTGTTTCCATACCAGGAGCCTCTGCATCATGTTGAGAATATACACCGATCAGCCATAATATTAAAAACACCTAGCAGCACTGCTGTGTCTGATCCACTCAGACCAGCGCAACACACACTGACACACCACCACCACGTCAGTGTTACTGCAGTGCTGAGAATGATCCACCACCCAAATAGTACCTACTCTATGGGGGTCCTGACCACTGAAGAACAGGCTAACAAAGTACACAGAGAAACAGATTAACTACAGTCTGTAACTGTAGAACTACAAAGTGCTCCTATATGGTCAGTGGAGCTGATAAAATGGACAGTGAGTTAATGTTATGGCTGATCTGCGCACTCAAATCTGCAGTGCAGGAAAGGCTTCAGGTCCAGGTTTAGAAAGAACTCAACTAAATAAATAACCATGTGGGAAGAGATGTGCAAAATCCTGGGGGGCCCAGAAAAGTCACACTTGAAGACAGAGAGAGATACCTGACGGCGGCTAAGCGGACCTTGATGCTGGACTCGGAAAGGCCGCTCACTATCCTGTCCATCATGTTCTCCGTCTCTGTGATCTGTGGAGAAGGAAAGAGAGGCTGCAAAACGTGCCGCTAAACATACGAGACAGTCTGCAGGAACACGTAGGCCGATTATCTTCAGGTTTAACCTAATTTTTTAATTTCAGTTTTCAACTTAAAGATCAACTCTGATATTTGGTGTGATAAAAAGTTTCGATTGACTCAGATAAATGCAAACTTTATTATTTATATCAAAACATTAGCACATGAGAAGCATCCAAAATAGTGAGCTAATAAAATACACCGCAAATACTACATCTAACCTGCGTCATATAAAACCTGTTATAAGAAATACACTATGATATTCAGTGTATGCTTATAGTTTTATCAAAATAAAATTTATCACTATAACGCTGGGCTGGGCAATGACAACAATTATCGTTACTCTGATAAATTACGTCACGATATGCCACTCTGATAGGGTTGTCATGATGTGCATGTTGATATTCATGTTCTTTGATATGGGGTTCACAAGGCGATATACTGGGGTGAAACGATGCGCTCTGCTCACGATTCGATTCTCCTATGATATTTTAAACAAAATTTGAATGAACAAAAATTTCGAATGACATTCCTTTTTATTTCTGAAGTGTAAACAATGCAAAACGATAAATTTGCCTGTACACGTTTTTAAACAAATAACTTTAGTCCCCTGCAGTTAAAGGATATTATTAGGAACAGAGCTTAAAACTGTAAAACAGAATATTCTATTGTAGCCTCACCATATATTAAATATCACGGTGAAAACATTCTTTTTATTTCTGAATATTAACAGTTCAAATACTGTACTTTTCTTGCACAAAATTTAACAAATTTGCATTTGATTTAAACAAAAAGAACGTTTTCTCTGAAGCAATTAAAAAAAATTAGAAGGAAAAGCGAAAATTGCGACACTGAGGGGTTCTTTTCGTCAGACAGCACGGTGGTGGCTGTTTTCCACCCCTGCTGAATGAGCTCAGGTAGAGGGTGCAGAGGGAGCTCACCTTTTTCCGAATGTCCTCATCGTTAGAGCCCAGAGAGGCGTAGAGCTTAAAGGCTGCTTGCCTGAGCTCATGAGCATGCTTTAGGTCATGGTCCAACTACAGAGAGAGAGAGAGAGAGAGAGAGAGAGAGAGAGAGAGAGAGAGAGAGAGAGAGAGAGAGAGAGAGAGAGATTAACCCAAGACATTCTAATACAGCTATTAACTCATGAAAAACTGATACAGAGCTAGTACTACTAGCTTCACACATCTTAAACATTCTGTCAGTGACCGTTTCTTTGTGTTAACTGATTAAAATCTATCCTGAGGGTAGTTGCTAAGTGTGCATGTCCACGTTGGTCACAGTAAATAGAGCAGAAAGAGTATCGCCTGCACACTGACGAACAGCAACACAATACAGCAAAAATATTTATTTTTATTCCATTAAATAAAGTACAAGACAAAGAGCAAACATTTCTTCTTCTTCTTTCTGATGTATTTGTTCTGTCACTTTAAGAAGGCCTTAACAGAACCTACACAGATGATGGCAATTTGCCTGGGTCTTCGAAAGGAAGTTAGTAAAGAGAGCTGCTTCATGAGCACTGATGATAGCAAAACGCTGAAACGTTTGCTTGGTTTGTGTCTGTTTTTTTTTCCAACCCACCCAGGTCACAGACTGTTTGTCCTCCTCCCATTGGGCAAGAGATACAGGACCATAAGGACACGCACTAACACACTGAGGAACAGCTTCTTCCCCAGAGCTGTAGCCTCTATTACACCCCTCCCCACACACACCCATAGCTGCTGAAGACTGAATGCAGCAAACAGACCAGCCTGTCTTAGCCGCCGCCCCACTTTTCCCCAAGCTATCACTGAACACTTTACATCCAATTTGTGCAATACCTACTGAGGAATACCTGTTTAGTCCTGCTTACACGGCACTCTTTGCACTATCTGCACTACGTAGATCCACTTTATACATATATAGTCTTAAAAAATGTTTCTGTATATTTTTTTTTGATTTATCACTGTTGTTGAAAGAAAACCTTGTACCTCCGAAATAACAAATTTACAGGAAAAGGAAAAAACATACTTTAGTTTTAATGTAAGTCAATGGAACCAGACTTTAAGTCATTCTGATCCATTCTTCATGAAATTTACATACGAGGTAAAAGGTGACAGTCACTTAAAGATTGTGTCAAAAAACTGAAAAATGACAAAAATGGAGATACGAGGTTTTCTTCCGACAGCATACACACACACAAATATATATATATCCATCCATTCATCCATCCATCATCTAAACTGCTTATCCTTCTGGGTCGCGGTGGGTTGCTGGAGCCTATTCCAGCTGTCATTGGGCGGAAGGCAGGATACACCCTGGACAGGTCGCCAGTCCATCGCAGGGCAGACAGACAGACATACACAGTCACACACACACACCTAGGGGCAATTCAGCATTTCCAATTAGCTTAACTGCATGTTTTTGGACTGTGGGAGGAAACTGGAGTACCCGGAGGAAACCCACGCAGACACAGGGAGAACAGGCAAACTCCACACAGAAAGGACCCTGGTCACCCGGCCGGGAATCGAACAGCGACAGCGCTACCCACTGCACCACCGTGCTGCCATATATATATATATATATATATATATACACACACACACACACACACACACTTTTTCCACGTTGGTCACAGTAAAATGGATCGGCGTGTGGAACTGGAGTTTTTTGTGCTACCTTATTTCCTATTACTGTATAAAAGAAGCTCCATGCTGCCTTTACTGTTGGATGCCCTGCAATAGTTTGAGAAGGCCTCGTTTTATAGAAAATAATTTTATAGAAACAGGTTTCTTTATAGAACATAATCAAAATTTAAATCGCATATTTTGCCCAAGCTGTTCAGCTCTAGAGTGAAGGACATTCATATTCATTGTAATTTGTAAGATCATGTAATTAACATATCAAACACTTCAACAGCACCGAGGTATCATGTTATTAGGGGCTAATAATAATGCCAGTTATTTGCTTTGCTTCCAAAGTGGTAGATCATTTCTACGCAGTCTGCCCTCCACAGTACTGCTTGATTACCGTGTCCTCAGTGCAGCCACCTCCGTAACACAAACACACGCCTGTGTCCATGTTAGCACATTATTTATATGCCATGAATGTTTTATGAAGTCTTTAAATAGTGACCTTCAAATGTCAATGAACAGATTAAATGATCAGTGAAACTGTGCGAGTTTCTCACCCTCTTGATGTCGGTGATGGCGCTGACTGAGCTGGGGTATTTGAAGTAGTCTGCTAGCATGGCCACCAGGTGGTCAGTGATGCTGGCTATCCGCTGCAGCTCCACATCCGGCTCCATGAGAAAGGCCAGAGTCTCCGCCCCCTCCACTCGCTCCTCCAACAACCGGTCCTTACTGCACATCCGCACCAGGCACGGCAGAGTCTGAGCAAACAAACACAATAAAACAATCGATCATTTAAGCCTGCGTGATGATATCGGAACCACACAGATATCAGTTATTAGAGAGGACTTTCTTCGAAATTTCCTCATAATTAGATTGTTAAGATGTAAGTCATTCAGAGTTTTGTGTGAAATGCTTCATTCTGGAGAACCTCGGAATTGTTCACAGTGGTGGTGATACGAACCAGACGTCTAAAGCATTTAACCCTTAGAAAGCTAAAATTTCGGGGAATTTTTTTTTAGTATTTTTTTGGGTCAATTACAATTATAATTGCAATGATATGAAGTATTTACATTAGACAGTCACACATGCCATATGTTGTTATTTCCAGGAGACCCTGGGCTGCTCAGATATGCCATTGTTTGCAATGTAAATGCAAACAGAATCTTTGATGTTTCATAATCTTTTGAATCTTTGAATCTGATATCTGTATGAATTTGGGTCATTTCTGATCAAAATTTACCTAGCGCCTGCTAAATTTAGTATTTTTCTAATTAAAGAGTTCTTGAAAATAGGTGCAGTAGTAGTTATATTTTCAGACGTGGTTAGTCTGGAGTGTCTGTGAGCTGAAAGGGCAATAATTTTGATGGTGATTCATTCTGTTGGTTATTATGAGTAAAAATAAACAATTAGCATAAGGCGGACATGTTTTTATTGATTTTCTGTCCTCTTGGATTCATGCTGAGTGCTAAAACTCTGATACTCAGCAAGACAGGCTTTATTTTTAATTACAAATTGAGTTGCATATTTAACATCAGATATTTTTAACACTCAAAATCAATGTAAACTGAAAGCCCTTTGTTTATAATATGAAGGCAGAGATGTAGTATAACAGTAGTGAGTGGGTTTGGGTGATTTTGGAGCTGGACTGCTGGCTGATTTACGGTCATAGGTGGATGAAATCACTCTAGATGGTGAGGGCAGAGTCTGATGAGTGATCTGATGTGTGAATCATGTCACTGTTTTAACCCTTTGTTGGAATATGAAGTCCAAACAGCAGAGCAATAATATCAGGATTTTAGGTGATTTTCCGAGCCAAATTACTCACTGATGTTGATGTCACAGCTCGATGACATCATACTTGCTAGTTAGGGGTGGGTCTGCTGAGTGTCCTGATATGTGGATCATGTTTGTATTTTAAACCGTTCTGAAGTTATGAAGGCTAGAAGTGACCTACCATTTTCTCCGGGTTCTAAGGGTTAATGCTTCTAAAAGCTCCCTCACAGAAAGTCATTAATGGACACAGGAACACAGGATACAGTGTCTGATGTCCAAGACATTATTTTACAATAGTTTTGAGATAAGCTTTTGGCCTAAAGCATACATTTTAAAATATTTTCATGATGGATGGTCTACATGCAAGGTTTATAAGGCAAAACAGTCCATAAAGAAAGCTTTTTTCAGATTTAACACTATTTCAGAAATATCAACATTATAGACAGTAAACCATTTCACTTCAAACCGCTCTGAATGACTGAGTACGTCTTAATTAAATTATGCAGATGTTTTGAAAAATTCCCCTTTAAAACAATCAATTGGCATTGGACAGATGTTTATATTTGCCCAATATTCCAAACATATCACTGTTTTCGAAACAAAACCTTCGCTCCATTTTTTGTTGTTTTTCAGTTTTTGACATAATTTGAAAATGCCTGTTCCTCTTTACCTTGTCTATAAATTTCATGATGGATGGACCGAAAGAAACGGCCCAAAATCACTTGGAAAAAAGTCTGGTTCGATTGACTTTCATTAAAAGTAAAGTAAGTTTTTCCTTCTCCTGTAAAGTTACTATTTTGGAGATACGAGGTTTTGTTCCGACAGCAGCGATATGTGTTTAAGCAACAGAACATGAGAGGGAGTGTGTGATCGTGGTGAGTCCACTGTGTCTTTCAGTTATCAGAGATTTTCTCATGTAGCTCATGATTTCATATGAAGCTTTTAGCTGAAGTCACTGGTCTGACCGACTTTATTCTGAGGTAACTGTGTAAAAATAGAACACAAATGGATTAAATTCCATATTTTAGTGGATATTCCATGATTGCCAACATGTGGTTTGATGCTCTGTAGCAGTTATTTTGTATTTTTTTTTTTATCAAAAATGTCTCTGGTGTTACCTTTATTATGTGTAACACCAATGAGGATCGGTAACACCAGTGACTCCTGTGGACAGATAGAAAAGTGGACGTTTCTGTAGAATGACCCATCACTTTAAGGAGTTTCAGGGATTTTCTTGCCCTCAGACCTAAACGACAGATTGGCAATACACACACCTACCTTTAATACAATACAGTTATCGTCCGTCCTGATGGCTCCTGCTCGACACATGTATGTTAAACTGAAAGAGAGACAAAATCATTTTAATATTCATTTTTTTCCCCCCTTTCTCTTTTCACTTAATTTGCTTTAATCTAAATTGTTTCCATGTTCCGTTAATAATTTCAATATTCAGATCCAATTCAAACAAAATATGATTAGACTCTAAGCCAATATGTCATGACTTTCCTGAAAGTGATGAAAATTCTGTGCAAATACTTAGAAAACTTAAAAACTTAGAGCTTGTTTACACATGTTAACGCTTGTTAACATGCGTTTTTGGTGATCGTCACGTTCTGATTTCACTTGAGCTTGTCCACTTATATCCGAACAGAGGAAAAGTAGTAAAATGTAGATGAGAAATGTGTTAACCTGCTTCTTACGTGGTAGAAGTACAATCAGATCTCATCTGGTCAAACACTGGGATGCATTTTAGTGAAAAGCATAAAAGGAATCCAGCCAGTTTATCCAGATATGATCCAGAGGCATAACACATTAATGCAAGATGTAAACAGGCTCTTATAGAACTGAACTCAACTTAACTGGAAGAGATTAAACCTTGCTGTAATTTACTTATTCTTTATCAAACTAAGACCTTCAAGGGCAGTAAAACAAATTGTGTTAAACGTACTAACCAGCAGAGGGCAGTATGAACCTACGGACAGCTCTACACATTGTGGAGACACTGAAAGCTCTTCTGAACTTTTCTGAAACGCTTAAATCCTGCTGGCCAGCAAACACTCAGCACAGATACAGTAAGAACAGTCAGCAGTTTTAGCTTCTCTCACCATTTGGCTGCTGTCAGCTGCATTTCGATGGGTTTATCCCTTTGCATCATTCGGACAAAAACCTGAGAGAGCAGCTCCCCGTCGACCAGCACTGAGCAGAAAACACAAACATGCACACACATTTTAATGTGACGAAGTCATGCACAACAGAGGTTCTCGAACCAGACCAGCAGTGTTTCTGGCTTCATCTCAGCTTCCAACACGTCAGTGTTTTTAATGGCTTGGTTCTGGTATTTCTGGAGCTGCGAAAGAGCCAGAAAGTCAGCACTGCACATTTGTAAAGGTACTGAATTGTTTTAAAAGGTACTGACTTTGATAACCAGTCCTACACAGTTAATAAGCAGTTAGTCTCAGGTAAAAGTCAGCTGCCCGAAAACTGATAGCATACCTGTTGTTATGTCTTCACTAAAAACATTTTTGCTGTGTTGTTTTTCCCTTTTTTCTCAACAAAGATAAAACTTGTTTTCATCAAATATTTCATCAGATTTGGCCTGACCTGATTTGGCCTGACCTGATTTCACCCAACTTGGCAACTCAGTAATATTACTCAGTAATAAGGGGGTGTTTTGGTTCGTGCCAGGCCTGAAGAGTATCATGTGTGCTGGATATTGTGGTACACCTTAATACCTTATTACTGAATACTGGCACATGACTAGGGAAAACACTGGATTGCAAATGAAAAGTCTATGGAAAGATTCAGAAGAAGTGAGAGGAAAAAGAAAAAAGAAAAAGAAGAAAAGGAAATAAAAGCCCCTCTCACCATTCACCAGAGTCATGGAGACCTGAGTGTTCTCGTATGCCAGGACGGAGAAACATTTTAATGCCTGCATTCGTACCTGGAGAGAGAGAGAGAGAGAGAGAGAGAGAGAGAGAGAGAGAGAGAGAGAGAGAGAGAGAGAGAGAGAGAGAGTATATAAGTCCACATCTTCTTCAGAGAACACTCTTCTACACATTTTACTGCACAATTACTGCTTATTTGCTGAACTTGGCATATTGCCTAATATGTTAAACTCCGCAAATAAATAAAATTGTGCACAAAACTAGCAGAAAAATTGCAGATTTGAGTTTGTTATATAACAAATATGATGTCACTTGACCAGGGGTGCTCAAAGTTTTGCACACTACTGTACCACGTAGCACTCCTTAGTTTATACGACACAAGGTAAAAGTCGTTACTAGTTCATACCGAAGTCCGGAGAGACCATGAGCTGTTGCTAGAATTGTCTGGATCGTTATCTTGAGATAACAAGATATGTAACTTGTTATTTCAAGAAAACAAATTTGTTATCTTGAGATCACAAGATAATTAACTTGTTATCTCAAGATAATTTTATCTTGAAATGAGAAGTTACTTATTTTGCTATCTTAAAATAAGTTAAATAAGTTGAGATAACAAAGTTAATGATCTTGTGATGATCAAGATAACAAGTTTGTTATCTTGAGATCACAAGATCATTAACTCATTATCTCAAGATAACCTTTGTTCTCTTGAGATCACCACAAGATCATTAACTCGTTATCTCAAGATAACTTTAGTTATCTCAAGATAATTTTGCTCTCTTTTATCTTGAGATAACATGTTAATTGTCAATTAACTTTGTTATCTTGAGATAACAAGATAATTAACTCGCCACCTCATGGCCTCTCTGGACGTCCGTAGGTTCATGCTGTGTTTGTGTTTCACCTTGTAGGATGGAGAGATGAGCAGAGGCGCGATGTTCTGTATGGCACCATGGTTAAATAAAACTGTTTGATGCTCTGGAGTCTGAAAAACACACAAAACCACAGTCTGGATGAAAATACACAAAACTACACAGCAATTCCGAAACAACAATAACGACTCTGGAAAAACAGAACTCAGACTAGTTTATTACATTTAGCCAGTGGAGTTGATCAATACTGACGACATCCACAATATACTCAAAAGAGCTTATTGTAACGTACTGTTATAATAATGTATTGCTATTTATCGCATTAACAATGAATATGGTCGAACTGCGCAGACCTACTGAAAAGACACGTGTAGGTTCACTGACGATTTTGAATAGCAAATAAAATATCTGTGCTCCACACATCACAAAGCCTGGCTCCTATCACCACCACTGTAAAGAAATCTGAGACACTATTGGTGGAATTCCCCTTTAATGTGACTTTCAGCTTGATTGTTGTCAATCTCGCCCCATTAAAAGAGCCTGGTCTTGTGTGACTACAAAACCGGCCTGGACGTTATAGCCAAGACGGCTGTCGTGCAGACAGACTTTCCTGTAAGGACTTTGCTATAACGCCATAAAGACACCTACACAACAATAAGCCATACAATTTCCTTAAAGAATGTGTGGATGAGCATCATTTTTATGGACAAGTACTGTTTATTTCCTGAATTTATTTTATAAATTCTATATACACCGATCAGGCATAACATTATGACCACCTCCTTGTTTCTATGCTCATTGTCCATTTTATCAGCTCCACTTACTATATAGGTGCACTTTGTAGTTCTACAGTTACAGACTGTAGTCCATCTGTTTCTCTGATACTTTGTTAGCCTCCTTTTACCCTGTTCTTCAGTGGTCAGGACCCCCATGGACCCTCACAGAGCAGGTACTATTTGGGTGGTGGATCATTCTCAGCATTGCAGTGACACTGATGTGGTGGTGGTGTGTTAGTGTGTGTTGCACTGGTCTGAGCGGATCAGACACAGCAGTGCTGCTGGAGTTTTTAAACACCTCAGTGTCACTGCTGGACTGAGAATAGTCCACCAACCAAAAATATCCAGCCAACAGCGTCCTGTGGGCAGCGTCCTGTGGGCACTGATGAAGGACTAGAGGATGACCAACACAAACTGTGCAGCAGCAGATGGGCTATCGTCTCTGACTTTACATCTACATCCACCACCCAAATAGTACCTGCTCTGTGAGGGTCCATGGGGGTCCTGACCACTGAAGAACAGGGTAAAAGGGGGCTAACAAAGTATGCAGAGAAACAGATGGACGACAGTCTGTAACTGTAGAACTACAAAGTGCACCTATATAGTAAGTGGAGCTGATAAAATGGACAATGAGCGTAGAAACAAGGAGGTGGTCATAATGTTATGCCCGATCGACGTATATATTACCTTGCAGCAGTGAGAGAAGATCTGTGTGATGTACTCCTGTGTGCGCTGGGACCGGCTCAGCAGAGACATCAGGTGAGGGATCACAGTGGGGTCCTAACAGCAAACGGCAAAAGACAGAGATTCATTTTAACGTGGGGGTGTGCATGTAAGCAACGGATGTCTATATCGTTCTATATCATATTGGGGCTATGTAGTTGGCTGGTGGTGTAGCTGTTGGGTGTATTTTGGCTTGTACACTTGGCATTTCATAAATTTACTTCGTTATTATTACTATTTTTTAAAGGGCATCTCCTTCCAGCCAGGTGGCATGTGAAGTATGGTTTAATAGTATGGGAAACACCGGCCACGTTTACATGCAGCCTGATAATCCGATTGAAGTCATTCGGAATACAGATTTAACCTGACTGAACGAGGTGGGTAATCCTGTAAATAATCTGTTAAATAGAAGAATAATATCCGTGTAAACGCCTGTATCTGATTACATTCCCTATCGGAAAGTTTAAGTCCGTTCTGATCATGTTCGTCGCATCATAGTGAAAGTTTATATCGTTCAACATGGCGGAGCAGAAACTGGTCTGCAGAGGAGACGAAGTTTATGCTCTGATCTTTAAAAGACGGCGGTGGGACGGACGTCCAGCTTATGTGTCTCAGAACACGACGTCTTCCTCTCGGCCTTCTTTAATAAGGACATGTGAAGGACGTTTTCCTGAGTCTGACATCATTTTAAAGTAATTAAAAACACAAGCGCTGCTCACTGCTGCTCGTATCACTCTGACTGGACTCACGTTATGCTGGTTGTCATGGTAACGTCTACACTAAGCGGTTCGCTACGCATGCATAAACTTTTGGATCTGATTACATGTAGCGTGAATGTAAAGGGAGATTTTCCATCAGACTGTTAAGTAGAGTGAGCACAAACACCTCAGTCTTAATCTACAATCGGAATGTATTCAAAACACTGACGTTAAAGGAGTGTTAGGTCCACTTACCGTGTAGAGTAGCTGCACAGGTGTGACAGGACTGATGAAAACTGTTCTTAAACAACGCAGACAGGCCTCAATGAAGACCAGGTCAGGACACAAGAGACCTGCAGACACAGCCATTCGTTATAACCTGCCATTTTGTTAGAGCAATGCTTTGACTGAGTGAGCGCAAGTGTACACGAACAATTCTCCAAATGTGGCCGATCGGCTGAAACATATTTGGCGTCTGAAGTTTGCTTCTATAGTTCTGCACAGGATCTACAAAGCTAACGGTAGACCTGTTAACACACTGTGCTAACAGTATGCCTGAATCATCACACTTGCCTCAAACAGCTTCAAATAGCTACGGAATCTAATCGGAGCTGAAACAACAAATATCATCAATGTCGACCATAAAAAATGGTCTACAAATATTTCCAGTGTCAATTTTTTGTTTACATTTTCAAAGTGACGCCTAACATGGAGTGAGTTAATGAATTAGGCTGAACAGGGCAGCAATTTACATAGCGTCGAACCTTTGTGAGCAGACAGCGAAAGAAAAAGAACGACTAAAGTTAAAGAAAGTAAAGCCTGGGAGCTTTTTCTTAAAAAGAAAGACAGCAGTCACATATAACACACGCTACCCTGACTTCAATTTTACACAAAAGCTACATACGTGCAGTGTTATACATATTAGCCAGCTATCTACACACATTAAATGTCAAATTAGTGGAATGATGCTGCAGCCTGAAGAGCTACAATGTTCAACAACCTACATACTTATTACTACAGGACTTATTTTTAGGTTATTGCTTATTTCTGACTGCAGCTCAGTATTATTGGCAGAATTAAACAAAGTGCCACTTGTTTTTTCTGTGGTGGTAATTCAGCTCTTGGTCAACAGAACTTTATCAGTTACAGCTCTTCACGTTTACAGGCCACATTTAAGCCGATTAGTTGATTATTAGTGGATTAATCCACATGAATAATCAGGTATGAAAATATTAGCTCTTTTGAAACCATAAAGAAATCTCAAATATACTGTCTAATGTGGTTCCTGAAACTTTCATACATATTGTTGTCTATAAACATGGATGAAAGTACAAAGTTCAGTCTTCAGGACGGCTGCTATGCTACTTCTGTTTTAGCTATGCCACAAACATTTTCACCAACTATACTTTAAGAAAGGAAGATGACCTTGAAGCAGGGCGGGGATGATGTGACAGTCCACCAGGGACTTGATGTTGTTTTCGGTGCCCATGGCCAAGCTGCCCAACACCACCGCACATTCCGTCCTCAACTCTGCACTGGAAGAGCTCTGCTGGAGTAAATACAGGAGCCTGGAGAGAGAGGAAGAAGAGGCACAACCAAATGCTTTTTAAAAACAAGTCAGTACAATTCAAGTTCAAAAACCCAATATTACAGGAGCACTTCCCCCAAAAAAGATGAACGTTGTCAATAATAAAGCTACAAAGGGTCAGTTAGCATGGATTTATAAATAAATAAAAAAAAATAAATAGGGAAGGGATGATTTATCAATATAAGACAAATTATAATCTTATTCTAATCTTTAATAATTCTAATAGCTGTGTACCTTTTAAAAAGGTCACAGTGGTACAAAATACCCGCTTGAATGTGCCAGAACAACACATATTTACACAGTTACAATCTGAACAGTAAACAGCAGTTGTGCTGGAGACAATTACATATTTATTTAAATTGTAGTTGAGCATAAAAAAATATAATGTGTAATAACTGTGGTAAAACTATTTCAGTGGGGTTTTTTTTTTTGGTCGCTAATAGCATGATAGATTTTCATACCATCGCATACATTGTAAAACTGTAAATGTGGAGTTTACTTTTAGGTAAATAAAATACATTGTTAATTTAAAAAAAAGCTGGAAAGAATAGCTTCACTTTTTTTTTCATTCAAAAAAATTATTTTAAGTCTCCAAACTGATTTTAACTTTAGTAAATGCTCATTTTTAAGTATATATATATATATACACACATATATATATATATATATATATATATATACACACATATATATGAAGTTCTACATTATATTTCATTTGCTATTTTTCACTATTTATTTTGTCTTTTGTAAAATAAATAAATACTACAGTAATAAAATGTCAGACTGTTTAAAAAGAAATACGCTTGCTTGAAACTTGTGTACCTAACAATAAGTGTAGCATAACTGTATATCATTAAATCTTTAGCCATATTTCCCCATCTTATCTACAGTGCTGAGTATTCTGTGTAATACTGTGTTATTTAATACTGTGTAAAAGATCCAGTCTGTGCAGCTATAGTCAAACAGCTTTGTCTGCCTGGATAATGCGTCCGGTCCCCTCTCTCAAACCCAACTCTCAGCAGAACTGGACCTGGGCCCCTGAGCAGGGCACTGTTTGGGTTATTGTATGGGAGGCCGTGTGGACAATGGATCACACGCCATTCATTGGTCAGCTTTTTAGCAGGGACGAGGACACCTTCAGATCAAAACTCCAGATCAAACCTTTAACTCAGTACTAACTGAACTGAGTATGTGACAAACTGACAATAGATTTAAAATATATCAGAGTATCAGATGATATTTAAGTTAGAATTAATAGAGTTAATGAAGCCTTAAAGAAAGTCTTACTAACCTAACATAACTTGATTTGAACTGTTTTATTCTATTCTGTTTCTCCTAAAAGTAACTGTGCTGGACAAGATATACAAATCCTGAGACTCCCTGAGTAAAATCTCACTCAGTTTGACTTCTGTATTTTAATGTATCAAGGTAGTTAACTAAAAGGACAATACATTTATATAAGATGATCCTTTATGAGTTCCACAACGGGGGAAATTCACAGCGCTACAGCAGCAATGGGATAGCAAGGCACTCAAGAAAAGAAGTATCAGAAAGAGAATTGACAAATTTGGGTTAAAGAAGTTTTTATGGATATTTAAACTGTTCTTAGTGTAAAAGTACCACTGGCTTGTCACAATTTCTGTGTAATTAAATCATTAGCATGTCATTCAGAGAGGTTTGGTGTGAAATTCTCCACTCTAGAGAAACCTACAGAGTGAGAATTGTTCAGGGGTGGTGATAGGAACCAGACGTCTGAAGAGTTTAATGTCTGAATATGATGCCTGATGTTTGAGACACTGAGTGCTAGTAATCCCATCAACGCGTTTACATGCACTTGAGTAATCAGATAAAGGGAAACTCCAGGTCTACATGAGTCATTGGATTTCTGCTTTGCAACCAGCCAATAAACTCAGAAGAAGATATGATTTAAACGTAATGTAAAACTCAAACTTCATGCTGCAGCTTTTTTTATTTATTTATTTATTTTTTAAAAGATAGCCACACATATGAACACGCATATTTAGCATATTTAAATCCTTAATTTCGTCAAGCATGTCTTTGGTTTCAGTGTCACTCGCAGTGTTTTGCTGCATCTCGCAGCGCCGCTGCTCACTTATTTCCGGTACCGCGAAAGAAATCAGAGTAAGAGTTTACATGCACTGATTTCTGAGCTAAAATCCAGTCTGTTAATCAGATTTCTATACCTTACTCCAAGATATCTAAGATATCAGAGTGTGCTGTTTACATGACCATTTGAATAATCAGATAACTGCAGAAATCCGATTATGATGAGATTATCGAGTGCATGAAACTCACTCACTGTTTTATGATAGTTCTGAACAGGTTTAGGCCTAAAATGTGCCTTTTAAAATCCATCTGTGGTGGAAACGTATATGCAGGTTGTTGTAAGGCAAAACAGTCCCCAGAGACACTTTATCATCATCAACAACATCACATATAAAAACTCAAGATACATGTAGGTTCACTGGTTCTTATCACCACCACTATAAAAAAAAAAAAATCAGGTTTCTCCACAATTACCCATCAAACTCCTACTGTTTTCTATTAGCCGCCTGTATAAAACGCAGGTGCTGCTGAACTCCGACTGGCCGAGTCAGTGTCAAAAGCAGCGCTCAGATGGATAAAGGCCAAAGCAGCTCCGCCTACCTGGGCACGGCTCCCAGCACAATCAGGTTGGCCTTCTGTTTGTTGTTTCCGATGACTGCATTCTTCATGTCACTGTCAACACAAGGCAGATAAGCGAATGTGAACTTCTCTTCAGCAGTTTATTACATAATACATACATCTACACGGGAGAAACAGAAGACAGGGGGGTCGCTCTCATACAGCAGTGTGACTGGTTTCATTGACCATTCAGCCTCCACAGAGGAATGAGGATGAGAGCTGCTGCCCCGACTTTCAAAGAGCACACTGACTCAAAATGGCCAGAATGTAAATTCATCTGAAAAAATTTTACAAACAAAACATTCTGGGCCTAATTTATGAAACTTGGTGATAACAGAGCTACGCTACGCAACGCAACATACGCGGCACGGAACATAAGAGCTATTTTTAAAGTCACCGTGGCGGTGATTTGTGCGCCAGTGTCTTGGCAAGAACCAATCAAAATAAACATGTAAATGAGGTCGTATATATTAAAGACCTGCCAAGTGAAGCTCCGGGTGGCTGCCAAAAGAAAAGAAAATATAGAAAATCAAAATCTTCAGAGCTACGAAAAGGAAAGTGATGATAAAACAATTACTAAAATGATCAAAATATAAATAATAAAAATATAAATAATGATTGGTAAAAATGCTTTAACTTTTACTCAGAAAAAGTTATCAGACAATATTAGTCAAATATAAGTCAAAATCCTAAAAATGCAACTTAAGTGTTTAATAATAATAATAATAATAACTATTAATAATAATATTAATAATAATAATAATAATAATAATAATAACTATTATTATTATTAATAATAATAATAATAATAATAATAGCATTTTTCTAATTTCTAAATATTACAGAAATAATTTTTACTAACAAATTAATTCACTGGTATTTTTCACAATTAAAAATTAAATAAAGTTTATCAGAAAATCTTAAAGACTATATAAAAAACTAAAGACTTAGATATAAATATTAAAAAGGAAACTAGTTACAACATCCTGAACATTCGACATTTAATTGTTTAATAATAATACTAACAATAATAATAATAATAATAATAATAATAATACTTAAAGCATTTTTCCAATTCATTACAATTACAGTAATAATTTTATTAACAAATTAATTCCTTGGTATTTTTCGCAATTAAAGATTAAACTAACAAGCTGAAATTCTAATTACTATAGCAATATGTTCTGCTTCCCACACACGTTCCAACATCTACAGTAAAGCCTTCCCAGATAAGAGGCTGTTACTGCAGCAAAGGAGGACAAACTCCCTATTAATACCCTTCATTTCAGAAGAAACGGCGGATGAGCAGGTGTCTACAGACTTCTGGACACGTTGCGCATCACTATATTCACTATACTGGTCACGGGGGGGGCGTGGCACCCACTGAAGCTCCCAAACAGACCTTGCAGTCTGATGGTGCCAGAGTGTGAACAGCAGCCTAGAACTGATGGCAAAGTCTGAATCCAGGTCTGAGAAACCTGATAAAATAGATCCAAATCATGTTTACGTTTCATTTTCAACAGGTCAGACTGGCACGCCCATCTGGTAAACTACATAACAGTGAAGTAATCTCCTCAGAGGAACCGGTTCCACCCCTCCACACACACACACGTTCGTCTTTAGAGCAGGTTTAGTCGTAAACGCTGCTGCTGATCTCCGGAGTGCAGGCCTGTGTGTAAAAGGGCAAGCCCATGCAAATCTCAAATAGATGTGAGCAGCTCAGGCGATGCCAACTCGGTGAGTTACGCCAGTGGAAAAGTACTGCTGCAACACCTTAGCAATCACTTAGGATACCATAGCATCAGCCTAACGACTCCTTCGGAAGCACCAAGGATACCATAGCAACGGCCTAGCAACACCTTAGCAACCAGCTAGGATACCATAGCAACAGCCTAGCAACACCTTAGCAAACAACTAGGATAGCACAGCAATGGCACAGTAAAATCCTAGCAACCACCTTGGGTACCATAGCAACGGCTTTGTCAAGCCAACTTGGTTTGTTCACAAACTTCTCCTTCTGCCAGGTAGCCAGACAGCAATCCAGAGAAGTAGGAAACTTATTTGGACCGCACCTGGACTGGGTTACACCCCTTTATATCTAAGGTTAGATTTACTAAGTCCTTAGTTAACACTATTCTTTTATTGAAGTTCGGTTGTACTGCAAATCTTTAAGGCCCAATCCCATCTCACTCCTTGCCCCTACCACTTAGCCCTGCCCCTCTGTTTTGGGGGTTCATGTCTAGTGGTAGCGTGTTTAAACAGAGGGGTAGGGCGAAGTGTTAGAGCTACATGAGGATTTTCAGACTCCAATGTTATGAAAAAAAAAGGAAAAAAAAACAGACAAGATGGCTGAGCGAGCGACCAAAGAAACCCTCAAAAGTGAGAATTCTCTCCATTAAAAAATTACAACAACCACTGTATTGTCTTAGTTTAATGTCGTTTTAGTGTATTATGGTTCTTCTTTTATAACAAGCATTAAAAAAAAAACAAACAAATAAAAAATAAAAAAAACGCTAGTAGTGCTGATGTCTTGGTAGCTAGCTAGCTAAATGTCCCGTTCCACCTTAAACGGTGCAGCAGTTACATTCTAGCACCTCAACCATCATAACTCCTGCACCATTTAAGGTGGAACGGGAAAATTCGAACAAGAAGCTGGCAAACAGCCGACTTCATATCACTGAAGAATTAGGGGTGGGCGATAATAAATAATTGCCCCCTCTTCGAAGGCACTAGACTCCCTAAATCTAACTAAAGCCCAGCAGTGAGGAGCTGAACTTTACCCTCCTCTGCTGTCACTGCAGACTGGCAGCATTGCCTACAGAGCAGCGCTGGTAGCTGTTAATGAAGTGATGCTCTTTTTATTTGAGGGTCCCATTTCAGAGGGGAGACTTCAACAAAGTGACACTCGAAAACAAGGGGAAGGGATAAAAAATAAGAAATGGGATTGGGCCCAAGTTGTGTCTCACCTAGCTAAAGTGTATGTCGCAAATTCGTTACCATGGTTTCCATTGGTTTCCCCATCACCTACACCAGCTTAGGGGGACCTGTAAATATGTAGTAACTACTAAGGTCAACGTCAAAACTACTCTGTGTGGAGCAGCTTGTTTTGATTTGCGTAAAACTGAACTTAGTAAACATTTACCCTACGGCTGAACTTGTGCAACGCGTGTAATTAGTTAAAATTGATACTGTCGCCTGGAACTGCGAGTCTCATAAGCTGTGCCAGACCACAAGGAGTCCAGCGTGCAGAGCTGCAGCTGCATGCTACTGGTGAAAAGCTTGTATCTGGCCTGATAAATGTTTGGTTCCCCTACCGAAGTGCTTGGAATATCTTAATACTTAAATATCGGCTGTAGATTGCGGACAAATCCAAACCTCAACGTCAGCAAAATGATATACAGGCCCATAGATCATACACACAAACTGCATACTCACATGACTCCCTGCAGGACTTTCTGTGGGTCGGGGTCAAAGAGCCGGTCAACATAATGGCGACTGGTGGCTGTGACTTCCTGCATGATGAGGGACAAAAAACATCCATATGAGCAAATTTCACACCCAGAAAACGACACAAAACAGACCACAAACCCCAAACTAGTGGGGAAAATGCTGGCAAACCCCTGAGGTCAGCCCCCCCGTCCAGCCATCTAAAGCTTTCTCATACACGAGACAAGGACTGGACACCTGAGAAGTTTGTTTACATGTGGTTACGGGTGGGCCCAGAAGCTTCCAGAAGGACTTGCAAAGGGAACTGACCCCTCAGCACGGCCAAGGAGTGACACCCCCCCCGGCTTCTCATGACATAAGCATGGCGGCATGAACACGAAGATTATTTAGGGCTCAAGTTTCGACCCCAGACATGCTGACCCATCACACGTAACCAGTATCTACAGGCCTGAGGGCGAGTCCATCTAACAGACTGACATTAATTAAAGAGCCCATATGAAAAAAAACTTTATTTTTATGTAAACATTGTTAGTTTGATAGATGGTTTCAAAACATTCAATTCTCAGTCCATACAGCTCACATATAGGGCGAGTCAAAAGTGACAAGCCACCCAAATATCTGCAGGATGCTTAAAGGGACATTCCACCCCAAATTAAAAATGTCACCATTGCTACGTCTGTTGTAAACAGGCCTACTCGCCTCCTACAGCGGCACCACAGTTGTGTCGAGAGCGATTTGCCATGTAAAAACTTTGAAAAACCCCTTCTGATGATGTATCTTGAAGGTGGGAGGAACTTTTGAGAAACTGCAAGGGTTTTGGGGCGGATACATCAGAGCAAGAGGTCTGAAATTTCTTTTATATGCCAGCTGGCTCACATTAAAGGAAGCCAGACAGCTGACATTACCGCTAGGAAGCTGAATCTCTTAGCCTCTATATCAGTGGCTATGCTAGCAGTAAAAATGCCATGATTTTCAATGGTTATAAGCCATATTTGTGTAATACATGCTAAAAAACACCCACAAATATGTGAATTGTTTTGGCGAACGCTGTAAAACTATGCTAGAAAAACAGCTCGTTTTTAATTTACTGTTTTTGTGACGTCACAAATACCAATTTAACCAATAACCAACACGTTTATATCCGTCTATTCAGCCTACAGTAATATCTACACATAAGTGCATTTAAAGCCCCAAATTGTGGAACGTCTTTCTTCCTTTATCGACATAAACATTACTAAAGGTCCAAAGACATACTATTCCACCCTGCACAGTCCACACAGGGCAAGTAAGCTGTAAAAAAACAGCCTGTTTTAAATTCACTGTTTCTTCGTGGTGGACAGTGACTAAGTAAATGTAATTCTTTTCTGTACTTAAGTAGTTTTTTTGTGTATCTGTACTTTACTGAAGTATTTCCATTTTGGGCGACTTTTTACTTTCACTCCACATTTCAAAGTCAAATATCTCACTTTTTACTCCACTACATTATGAGAAATCTGTCGTTCCTTTTGGTTTATGTGCGTATAAAAACGTCACATGTCAAAACGAAAGAAGCGCAAAGCAAAAACACCAATCAGGGCACAGCGACCTACTGCAAGCATATCCACACTACACTTAGGTCACTTTAGCAGGTAAAGCAGGACGGGGTTAATGCAAACAATGACTGACAATCTCACATCAAAGAATTAGTGAACAGATATAACATATTGCTCTTGACTTTGTGGGTAAATAGACCACAATATAGAAATATGTACACATATGCAGTTGTGACTGACAAGTCTTTTTTCTGAATTTATACAAACACATTTCATTTTATAGTAAATGTGTTTTGTCTAGTTTATGTTTATGAACAGAGACCTACAGATGCAGTTTAGTAAAGGAAACTCATTTGTGAATCTGAGTTTAAAGTTTTTATTAAACTTAAACTTGTAACTAAGTTGCAAATAAATCTTAAACTGAAACTTTGCTTGTTTGTAAGAAGTTCTTTCAGAGCCACTCAGTTCTACCTGATGGAAACTGTTTGCCTTCAGTGTTTTGTGCTTATGATAATTTTAATAGACATCAGCGTCACTAATTAATGACATTCTATTAAAAGACTGGTTTACCAAGAGAGACACTGGAGTATTTTCACCTAAAATGAGTTGATGAAGCGAGTCTTGTTACAAAAATGATAACAGGACATTAGAATCATAATTAATCTTTTAGTACTTTTACTTTCGATACTTAAGTACATTTGAAGGCAAATACTTTTGAACTTTTACTCAAATGGAGGTCTAAAGGGAGGAACTTCTACTTTTACTGGAGTAATATTTAACCTTGGGTATCTCTACTTTAACTCAAGTACATGATTTGTGTACTTCGTCCACCACTGCTGTTTCTGCGAAGTCACAAAAACCAACACATTTGCATATATCCACTTATCTGGCCTAAAAAACCTCAGATTGCTTTCTGAATGATGCACAACGCACCCCTGTCTCAGTCAGGAGAAAGCAAAACAAAATACAGGAAACCTGCAGGATATGGGCCCTTCAGAGATCCCACAGTGCCACTATGTGGACAAAAAGGCTTCAATAAGCCTAGAAAGAAGAGTTTGGGATGATGTGTGCCGTGAAGGGAAACAGGTTGGTGCATGAGCGCTAGTGAGAGTCACATGACGGCATGAGAGCTGCTGAGAGTCACATGACACCTGTCAAAACAAACCAAACCCTCCGCTAGTGCCGGGACTGTGTCACCTTTAGACAACACTGTACTGTGAGCCACCTCAGCAAGCTGTGAACAGCCAAATCAATCACAACTTATTCATACAGTTATCAGTCGAATGAGATAAAGCTCTACTGTCTGATACCCACCAGAGAGTTTAACAAGAACTACTGATGACCAGTCAACTCAGAATTACAATTAAACTGCATGATATGATGGCGCAGAATGTGTATCACAATATTTAGCTCATTTTGTTGGAGGGCTGGTCTGAAAGGCACTGAAAAGTTCTACTTAAAGTTCTATTTATCTGAGACAAATCAATGTGTGCAGGATACACCGATCAGGCATAACATTATGACCACCTCCTTGTTTCTACGCTCATTGTCCATTTTATCAGCTCCACTTACTATATAGGTGCACTTTGTAGTTCTACAGTTACAGACTGTAGTCCATCTGTTTCTCTGCACACTTTGTTAGCCCCCTTTTACCCTGTCCTTCAGTGGTCAGGACCCCCATGGACCCTCACAGAGCAGGTGCTATTTGGGTGCTGGATCATTCTCAGCACTGCAGTAACACTGACGTGGTGGTGGTGTGTTAGTGTGTGTTGCGCTGGTCTGAGTGGATCAGACACAGCAGTGCTGCTAAAGTTCTTAAACACCTCAGTGTCACTGCTGGACTGAGAATAGTCCACCAACCAAAAATATCCAGCCAACAGCGTCCTGTGGGCAGCATCCTGTGACCACTGATGAAGGACTAGAGGATGACCAACACAAACTGTGCAGCAGCAGATGAGCTATCGTCTCTGACTACATCTACAAGGTGGACTGACAAGGTAGGAGTGTCTAAAAGAGTGGACAGTGAGTGGACACAGTGTTTAAAACTCCAGCAGCGCTGCCGTAATTTGATCCACTCAGACCAGCACAACACACACTATCACACCACCACCACGTCAGTGTTACTGCAGTGCTGAGAATGATCCACCACCCAAATAATACCTGCTCTGTGAGGGTCCATGGGGGTCCTGACCACTGAAGAACAGGGTAAAAGGGGGCTAACAAAGTATGCAGAGAAACAGATGGACTACAGTCTGTAACTGTAGAACTACAAAGTGCACCTATATAGTAAGTGGAGCTGATCAAATGGACAGTGAGTGTAGAAACAAGGAGGTGGTCATAATGTTTTGCCTGATCGGTGTATAATTACTGCTCTGTTGAATCAGGACATTTTTACCACATAAAATATTTAAAACGGGCTACATTTTCACCACAGAATCCAAAACTGTATCAAACCAAATGAGTATTGTTACACCTAGGGGTTCGCAATGCGGCGACAGTTTATCATTATTACGTCACAACATGCTTTTCTGGTATCATCTGTACTTAAAGAACCATGGAGAACGATACACATCACTGTAATCACGTTTTTTAAATAGCATTTTTTTAAACACGGCCCTACTGATTCCTTTTTTGTCTGTTCCTAGTTATCAAAATTAAAAGTTAATCCTAAATCTTGTGACATGCATTATGAAAATATCTATATTTTACCATATCAACCCCTATTTTATTGCTCTCAATATAAATTACATCACAATATGCTTTTCTGAGCACACTGTAGATACAGTTTAAGGTTAAAAGGATTTGAAGGAATTGATTTTTCAAAATTTCAGCAAAATTAATTTGGTGAGACGTAAACAGAGTCACTCAGGGTGGTCTGACACAAAATGGCTCGTTGTAGAGAAACTTACAGACTCTGATTTCTTTACAGTGGTGCTGACAGGAACCAGACGTCATGTTGTCTACAACACAAATATAAACATTTTATTTACTATCCAAAACCACCAGTGAACCTACATGTGTCTGAGTTTTTTCAGTGTTGATGATGGTAAAATAGCCATTAATCTGAAAGAAATAAGTTTTCTTTGTGGACTATTTTGCCTCACAACACCCTGCATGTATCCCTCCGCCATGTATGGATTAAAATACGTTTTAGCTTCAACAAAATGTCACAAAACCATGTGTCAGACATCAGGCAGCACATATCTCACAACCTTCTGTGAGGGAGCTGTTAGGGGTGGACGTCTGGTTCCCATCACCACCACTGTGAACGATTCTGACTTTGCAAGTTTCTCTGGAAACGAAGCATTTCACACCAAACCACTCTGAATGCCTGTTCACACCACAGCCACGGAATTATGCGGGATTTGTGAAAAATCGGTGGAGTTCCCCTTTAACAGGTGTCAAGAAATCAGAGCAATGATGCAGCTCGGCTCAACTGTCAAACCTCACGGAGCCGCCGCAGAAAAACAAACCAAAAAAGAGAGACAAGGATAAATTCGGCCGAGCAGATGAACTAAAACAGACTGTTTTCGGTCTTATGGAGAGTCTAAGGGTCACAGTTTGGGTTAACTTAGCTGGACTTCTTGAAGAAACCGACTGGACGGGGGCGTTTCCAGCGGCTAGCTTCAGTTAGCGCGCTAAGCTAGCTAGCCTGACATAGGAGAGCCGGATTCAGTTGGAGTTAGTTAGCTTAGCTAAGGCTCCCTGTAAACATAACTACACAATATATAAATAAACATACGGGGCGAACGATTTAACGCTGAAATCTTTAGCAGCTGAAAATATATTCAGTCCTCGAGTTGTTAAGTTAATTTAACGGATAGCCGAGCAGCTACGCGGCTAATCAGCAATCCATAAAGTGACCCAACTACGAGGCTAAAGTTGGCTTTCGAGTCGAATTTCTCCGGTCCACCTTAAATGGTGCAGCAGCTACGTTCTGGGGTTTGAGGCCTGGGGCTCCAGAACGTAACTGCTGCACCGTTTAAGGTGGAACGGAGGAATTCGAACATGAAACTGACTTGAGCTTCGTTGACCGAACTTCACTTGCTGCTAAAGCGGGAAGGCTAGCCGGTTAGCTCCACTTCTAGAGCCACATAATGAGCGTCGTGGTCAGCCCGCAGACTGAAAAAGAGGTTTTTCCCACGGGGTAAAGTGAAGTGAGAGCCGCCGGGCTGCGCCGCTCGGCTGACCCGGCTCTCCCGGGTTTTGTGCGCCGCCGGTGGGCGAGTTAACTCCGTCTGAACGACCGCCAGCGACCCGCTCCAAACACGCCGCCTCGCAAAGACCCACTCAGTTGAGCTCGGCCCAGAAAACCGCGGCAGGTTAAAAGGCTCCCGGTGGCCACAGTCCGACACGGGGCGCGCAGAAAAGAGCGAGTTTGGGGTGAGAATTTGCGGCTCGGACTCACGGACAGCACGCTGATGCGCAGCGGGGCCTCCAGCAGACACGCCATCTCTCTGTGTCCGAGCAGCCGGAGAACACGAGCGGCACTTTCCACACTTCCCAGCACCGCCAGCCGACCTTCACAGTCAGGCGGCGTTTCACACACCCGGCCACTAAGGGTCAGCGATGGACACACGGACTTCATTGCTGTACTAGAGTACGTTTATCTTATGTCGGGGCTTTTTAAAAACTTACATTCACTCCACTACATTATTACGGAGCCCCTAAGGTGGCCAAGTGATTATTTCTGATAAGGTGCGGCCACGATTTAATAAATTGAGGCCACAAATTAGTATATTGAAGACACGAATTAATGTATAGTCACTACTAATTATCATATTGAGGCCACAAATATATATATTGAGGCCACAGCTACAGTTTCTCATAACTCGTGGCCTCAATATAGTAAATTGTGGCATTAGTACAGTAAACTGTGGCTCAAAATAGTAATTTGTGGCCTCAATGTAGCAAATTGTGGCTTCTATACAGTAAACTGTGGCCCCAGTATAGGAATTTGTGACTACAGTATAGTAAATTGTGGAGAGAAAATAGTAATTTGTGGTCTCAATATAGTAACTCATGGCCTCACTATGTTAATTTGTGGCCACGCCTTATTAAAAAAAAATAATCACCATGTCGCCTTAGGGACTTTTGTGCAAATATTGTACATTTTGCTCGACTCTTTACGCAGCATGTGACTTTATTCTGAAATGGGAGAAATTAGTATTTTCCATAAAGGGCCCAAATCTTAGAAAAACAACTTTTCTTTGTCTTTTTTTAAGTAAAACAGTTTGATGTAGGATTTAAACCTCATTTATTAAAACATACAGTGCTTATAAACAAACTAAGCTGCAAAAAACAGCCCATTTTGAATTCACTGTATTTGTGACGTCACAAACACCAACACATCTGCATACGATCTACAGCAGTTTAGCCCCGCCCCTTCACGCTGAAGTTATAAGGAGTGTTTCAGCCCAGAGTGCTTTTTGAATGAGAATTATTTGTGATTCTTACAGTGAAAATCAGCAACTGCAGACATTAAAAACTATATTTCACTGAAATGATGCCATGAAATCTGCCCTCGTAGAGCATTTCAGAGTTTTCCAGTTAAATAAAAATATCAATATTTGGATTTCTGATTACAGAAAACAGAATAAGCTGAAAAATCCTGCTTTGTGAAAACACTGTGGTCCAACTGCACTGCACACCCAGGATGGTTTTTCAAGGGGTTCTTTAGTAAAGGCTGTAGTCCAGTTTAGAACCATGAGTTCTATAAAGAACCATTTAAGCATAAGAATGTCTGCATGGTGAAATTCTTCTTCAGATTGCTGGAAAATGTGTTGTAAATTGTTCTATGTAGCATTAAAAAGGGTTTTGCTATTGTTATAAGCTCGGCATTGTAACAACAGAAGAACCATTTTCAAAAAGGTTCCATGTTGAACCATATACAACACGTTCTCCATCAATCTGAAGAACCATTTCACAATGCAAAGAACCTTTTAATCATGCAATAGGTTTCTTTGAGTGTTCATGGTTCTATATAGAATCATTTTTCTGTACTAAAGAACCATCTTTTTTCAAGAAAGTAGAGTCATTTTCAAAAAGGTTCTATATAGAACCGAATACAACACTTTGTCCATCAATCTGAAGAGCCATTTCAACAGGCAATGAACCCCTTATAGCATGCAAATGGGTCTATATAAAACTCATGGTTCTACCTTAACTAAAGAACCCTTGAAGAGCCATCTTTTTAAGTGTGCACGTTATTTGTGTTAGTAAACCTTCAGATTATGGTCTTATAAAAAAAATACTTGAATAAATTGACTCATGTGCAGAAAAAACGAAACTGTGCTGTTTAATAGTAAAAAAAAGGACTAACTGGGCAAGTCAGATGAAAAAATACTTATTTTTATAGAAGAAAATGAAGAAATACTGCTTGAGTTTCCACGTTTATACAGTCAGTGGGAAAACACGTCTGAGACGTGTATGATAGTTTTGTGATAAAGTTTAAAATGTGTTATTATTTTAATCTTTTCATGAAGGGTTACATGCATGGTTATGTGAGGCAGTTAAAACTTATTTTGAATAAATTATTCAGTTAGAAAACAAATTATTATTATAATTATTCCAAAATAATCGCAGTGGAAAGTGCCGGCGGATGGCGAAAATGAATTTACCTACTGAAACGGACTCGATGCGCATGCGTGCGGTTTGAGTGCATGGAGGCTGAGTGAAGCTGAGAGTGAGAGGATATTTACACGTTTATTTAAAGGCGGGTAAGAAGAGAAAAAATGGGTTTTATTCTTAGTTTTGCAGCGCCAGTGATGGTCCTGTCGCCTGTACCATCAGTGTTTAGCCGGCTGTGTAACCTACCGTACCCGTAAAGCTACAGTTGGCATCTTGTTCTCCGGCTCGATATTCGAATTTTCCGTTCCACCTTAAATGGCGCAGCAGCCTCGCTCTGGCGCCTGAAGCTGTAACCGTAACAGCGGCACCATTTAAGGTGGAACGGAAAATTCGAAAAAAGAAGTCCGCTTCAGCCTCGGACGTGTCGTTTAGCCAGCCGGTGGACAGTATATCTTCCAGTTAGACGCTGAAGAGTTAGACGTTTACATTTATTGAACACGAAGTATTTTGATTCTACTATTGCTGAAAAGACGGACCTAACGTCTTAAAGGGGAACTCCACCGATTTTCAAAAATTCTACATAATTAAATGACTGAAATGTAAACAAAGTCATTCCAAGTGGTTCCCAGTGGTGGTGATAGGAACCAGACGTCCACCTCTAAAAACTCCCTCACTGAAAGTTTCTACATGGCATGGTTAGATAAGCGCTGCTTGATGTCTGAGAAAGTTGTATGATAGTTTTGTGATAAAGTTTTGGCTTAAAATGTGTTATTATTTTAATCCATTCATGAAGGGTTACATGCAGGGTAATGTGAGGCAAAGAAAACATATTTTCTTCAGATTCATTACTATTTTACCATCACATTAGACACTCATAAGACACGTGTAGGTTCACTGGTGGTTGTGGATAGTAAGTAAAAAGGCTATATTTCTGTTGTAGACATCGAAAACCCCAGGGACGTATTTTCACAAGGCAGGATTTTTCAGTTAGCCAGATAATTAAAGCCCAAAGATGAGGATTGTCCACTGGGAATGTCCCTCAGCTCTTCTTCTATTGAGCAGGCTTGACTTTGGGCTTAAATAATGTGGCTAAATTGAGAAATACAGCTTTGAGAAACACCTCCCCGGTTCATATCACCACACTGTAAAGAAATCAGAGTATGTAAGTTTCTCTGCAAACGAACCATTTCAGGTTAAACCACTCTGGATGACTCTGTTTACATCTCAAGGACTGAATTAATCCTAAAATTTTGAAAAATTGCTGGAGTTCCCCTTTAAGGTTGAACATGTTCATGCACAGTATGTCCAAAAGTTTGCAGACATGTTTCTTCTGAAGTCAGATGGGAGTTTAAAGTCTTCTGGAAGACCCATATGAAAGATCATGATACATAATGCGAAGATGGCAGGTGTCTGGATGCTTTCGGACATACAGTGTTAGTTTTTCCTTTAACATTACCTTCTTCCACAGTCATGCCACCAGGTGCCCTGTAGGACCGCAGCGGTTGTGCTGGATATGTGCCGCCCCGAGTGCTTGGATCTAATAAGGAGATATCCAAAGAAGGCCTCTCGCAGCTTGCTGGCTGAGTTACTCACCTCACTGGCTGGATTTTTAGTTTTATAAACAAAACTTCAACTTCAACACGTCCGGATATGAAAATAGCCGTTGAAGGCTGCTGCCATGGCGAACTGGACAAGATATATGAGACCATCGGCTACCTGGAGCGCAAGGAAGGCGTTAAGGTGGACCTGCTGTTGTGCTGCGGGGACTTCCAGGCTGTGCGGAACGAGGGAGACATGAAGTGTATGGCCGTGCCTGCAAAGTACCGGCAGATGCAGACGTTTTACAAGTAAGGACCAAGAGCGTCTGTGTAGTGCGACTGTTGAGGCTGTTTAGACTGTAGCTCAGTTTTAAGACTTTTCCTTTGTTTTGATCTTTGTTTGCTCTGGGCTGTGGTAGGTACTACTCTGGAGAGAAGAAAGCTCCCGTCCTCACCATCTTCATCGGTGGAAACCATGAAGCTTCTAACCATTTGCAAGAGCTTCCTTATGGAGGCTGGGTGGCCCCCAATATATACTACTTAGGTAAGAGTTCATATATTTATATTGTGAGCACTCGTCTATTGGAATAGTTAGTTCATGATATTGATAAGTTATGATGATTGCTAATTATGATGATTGCTAATTATGATGATTGCTAATTATGATGATTGCTAATTATGATAAGGTAATTGGTCATAATATTGATAAACTATGAAGATTACTAATTCTGACAATTATTAATTATAAGATAATAGTTCATACATTGATAAGTTACGATGATTACTAATTATGATGATTACTTATTATGATAATTATTCATTATGATAAGGTAACAGTTCATAATTATGAATTTAAGGTAGACCCTGACTGATATGAAGCTTTTGTGACAAACACTGATGTGATTTTAAAAGTATAGAAGTTTCAATATTTCAATAACTGTAATTTTGAATAGAGTTTTTAAATGAATTATATACATTATAACAATACATAATAATATATAATATAGTTTTTATTAAATTAAGGATGCAGCGGTCATCAGTTTTAATGGCTGTTTTTTTTTTGTTGTTTTTTTTTAACTTTATTTTTTAGAAAATAAGTTTTTTTGGGGGGTGGGGGGTGGGGTAACATGTTCCAGTGGTTGTGTTTTGTTTGTTTGTTTGTTTTGTTTTTTGTGTTGTTGGCTAATTTCCAGTGCAGATTTCCAGTACTTTCTTCTGGTCAAAGTTACAATAGAAATAACATTATTTGCTCTTTAATAAGCCAAACTGGCATTTTACATATAAATAAAATGAATCAAAATCACATACGGTGCTACATTTGATGGTTACGATACGACCCTTTCATACAGATTTAGCAGCAGCCTTCAATACAGCGTTAGGTTCCAGTCTAACCCCTTTAACCCATTTGGGACCTCAATTGTGATAAGTGATACAAATTAAAATAACACTGTCAAAATTGTCTCAGTATCATCTGATGTTATACTGATATATTGTTCAAGCACTGATTCCAGGGTTCAGAGTTGACTTGCCCTGTGTTTGCAGGCTATGCTGGCGTTGTTCGCTACAAAGGCATAAGAATCGGCGGCCTGTCTGGAATCTTCAAATCCCACGATTACAGGAAAGGTGAGGGCGGAGAAGAACCTCCACATCCACCTGTCTTTGGATATGAACCCAAAATCAAGGTGCACACATTAAATCTCTCTCTGTTTTCAGGACACTATGAGTTCCCACCGTACAGCCAGGAAACCCTGCGCAGTGTCTACCACGTTAGGAACAGTGATGTTTTCAAACTGAAACAGGTAAGTCTGACTGAGAGAGAGAAAACTCCTGAAGGAAGTTTGAATGATCCCGAGTTTGTATAGATAAAGAAATCGTTGGTGATGATAATTTAGTTAGTGTGTTTGTTGAACACGCACACTGACTAACTTGAGATCAACCTGAACTCAGAATTGGCCTTTTTAACTTATTATTTCATGTTTCTGATCATATTCATACGTGCAAACTCACCTTTTCGAACGATGAACATGCCATTCGTACCATTTAAAATGCTTGATTCTTGTTTTCCTGTAGTCTTCCCTCAAAATGTAATGACTTTTATATTAACTTTAAAATATTATCTGATCTTTCGTTATGTTTTACTACCCCTTCCACCCTCCCTACCTCTCATGGAGAGAAAGTTTACTAGGGTTCCTGCAGATCCCGTTTAAAGTCTTTGAATAGATTAAAAAATTACATAATAAGGTCATTAAATGTCTAAAAATGCCTAATTTATTTCTATTTGTGTTGTTAAATTCTTAGATGATACCTAAAAGACCAGTGACCACTGGCATAAACCATCTTAAGTATATCTTAATTTAAATGCTTAAGGGGCACATTTAAAGCTGTAAATGTAAAATTGTCAAGTGTAAAAAAACTCAGTTATGGATTTTTTTTTTTACTTTAACATTTACGAAATATTTTACGCAGTGAAGAAAAAACCCAAGGCCAGTGTATTTCATGCAGGTGACCACAGGTTGAAAAGATTCACAGCGTATATGAAACTAATTCAGAATTGTCCGCAGACCAAACCTATCCAGCTAACAGTGGTCATTCGGTCAGAAGCTGTCTGCTGTTTCCATAAAATAGACATTAATACATGCCATATTTGAGTTTGTGTGCAGTACTACATGGTGGAAATTATCCTTTGCTGAGGTTGTAAAAAGATATTTAAAAAGCATTGAATTTGATTTTAAAATTTTCATTACAATATGCTACATGGTTTATTTTAGAGGTGGTCGATATGGCAAAAATACAATATCACGATACTTCAGGAAATTTTCACGATACTAAACAAATATATGTTTGATGATTTTTAGTTTGTCTGAGGTTTGACAACAGACAAAAAGACCCATTTAGAAGATACAATCAAAAAACTTTTTTAAGTACAAATTATTTTTTTTATTTTAGCTTTTCAAATTCTGTGCTTCACTAGACTTCGACAAATCTGTCTTATATGCTATTTAAATATGCAAATAGATATACTTTTATTCATACTCTCTTATACTTCAACTCATGCCTATTTTTGTCTATTTATTTATTTCTGCCTAACTTATGTCTATTTTAATTTCTGTGTAGAATATCGCTGTTGTCTGAAGAAAACCTCGTATCTCCATTTTTGTCGTTTTTCAGTTTTTAACATAATTTGAAAATGCTTGTTTCATGATGAATGGACCAAAAGAAACGACCCAGAATTGCTTGGGAAAAAGTCTGGTTCCATTGACTTACATTAAAAGTTAAGTAGGTTTTTTCCTTCTCCTGTAAAGTTACTATTCTGGAGATACGAGGTTTTCTTCCGACAACAGCGATATGTAAGTCTGTGTGCAATTATATGTCTTGCTACTGTAACACGCAATTTATCTATCTATCTATCTGTTTAAATCAAATAACTCTTTTTAATGAAACATGGTGTTCTAGAAATGCTGACGATATTCAAGATATGATCAGAAAAGCATGTTGTGATGTAATTTATCACGATAATGGTGAATATCGTCGTATCGCACAGCCCTAGTTTATTTATTTACTTCAAACTGCACATGCTTTAATCAAACCGCTGATTAAGTAAGCATAATAATAAATAACCCATTCCTGCCTTATGTATAGTTCTTCGTTCTCCTTGTTTTACACTCTTAAAAACGATGGTTCTTCAAGGGCTCTTTAGTAAAGAAAATGGTTCTATGAAGAACCATGAACATTTAAAGAACCCTTTGCATGGTTAAAGGGTTCTTTGCATCATCAAAGCGTTCTTCAGATTGATGGAAAATGTGCTGTAGATGGTTCTATGTAGAACCTTTTTGAAAAGGGTTCTTCTATTGTTACAAGCTTTACATCATAACAATAGAAGAACCCGTTTGAGTGCTATATAGAACCCTTTACCAAAAGGTTCAATGTAGAAACATCTGAAGAACGCTTTAATCATGTAAAGGGTTCACTTAGTGTTCATAATTCTGTATAGCACCATTTTCTTTACTAAGAACCCTTAAAGAACCATCTTTTTTTAGTGGTGTGTGTATATATAACGTTCCATTCTTTCGCACCGTCGCAGATCCGGATGCCCATGGATGTGTTTATGACCCACGACTGGCCGCGGGGCATCTACCACTATGGCAGCACGGACGAGCTGCTGCGGAAGAAGCGGTTCTTGCGTGAGGAAGTGGAGTCCGGCATACTGGGCAGCCCAGCTGCCGCTGACCTGCTCCAGCACCTGCAGCCCAGCTACTGGTTCTCTGCACATCTGCACGTCAAATTCGCCGCCCTGGTGCAGCATGAGGTACAGCAGCTCCCATATGGAGGAGTTCAGTCACACTGATGGGCCTCTTTTCCACTGCAGGGCCGAACGGTTCTGAGCACGGAGGGTAAACGTTCCTGTGGCGTTTCCACACGGACACGGTTCGACACAGAATGCCTAAAAACTGGGCTCAGCCTGTTTTTTTGGCACGGTTAGCTAACCGTACTCGGGGCCACAGCAGAGAATTTGTAGTGAGGAGAATTACCACTCTGTAATGTCTTCTGGGTTTCTCAAACACTAGAGGGCGCTCCCGAGTGAGTCCATAATGAATGGGTTAATATGGAGCATTTCAGTAAAATCATAGTTTATAAATGCTTAAACATTTTTAATGTAAAAGAATACATTTATTTCCTGAACACAGAACAGCATAAAACATTTTAACACTGCTGATATATTTTAAGAGCTTTTAAACTCGAGTTATAGGAGTTTAAAATGGCACGTCATGTATGTCCATGACGTCTGTGAGTGCGAACAGCCATTGAGCTGCTCTGCTCGCCAACCAATCAGCACTCACTAGCAGTAATGCCCACCTTCTGCCGCCCAAAACCCATTTTCTGTAGAAAATAGGAAATATTTAGTGAAATACATCCTTCTACTTTCTAAAATTAAAGGAACGTTCTGGGCGAGTGATTAGAAACTATTTAAACTTTTTGTTTTTGGTCGTTTACTCCCATTCATTGAGGACTCACTCGTGGGCGCCCTCTGCTGTTTAGCAGTCCTGTTTTTGATATAAAGGGGAAAATAGGAAGTGGCCAGGCTCCTCATAAACCAGCTCTGGCCACAGAGCCGTTCGGTGGGATGATGTTATGATGTAGCTGTTCGCTGATTGGTTCTGTGTTTATTTTGGCATTGTGCCACAGCATCCTGCTACGCTAATTTCAAACCCGAAAGCATTCAAATAAATTCAGTTTGCTCAAATAAATGAAAGCAGTGCACGATTTTAAATCCATCATTCAATAAACATCAAAGCTTCATTTCATGCTGCCAGCGCTGCTCACCACAGAACAGATTTGATTCTGACAAGCTTTACTGACACAAATGTAGATGATAATGACTCATATCTGAGGAAGAGAAGTTGAGTGACTGATGTTGGAGGGACAGAAAAACGAAATTAACCTCTTCTCTGGTGTCTGAAGCTGGAGCCTCCTAGCTAAGCTAATGCTAGCCGGTTCTTCTCTCCTAGCTAACTTGGCTAAAGAGAGCCAAACAGCACAGTGCAGGTTCCATTCAACTAACTTAACTGCTCTGCTATCACAAGTATAGATGATAAAAACTTATAATAGCGAGAGCAAAGTCGACCGATCGGTGTTGGAGTGACAGAAAGCTGAAATCGGACCTGTTCCGTTAGAGCTTTAAGCTGTAGTCTGCTAGGCTAAGCTAACGCGAGTGCACGGTGCCTCCATAGATATACATACGTAGATGCTGCATTGCCTGTTGTTCTCTATGTGAGGCGAGACGTCTGCGCGTCCGCCATGTTGGAGAGGTCAAGATCCACTTGTGAACAGATTCACTTGTATTGAGAGACGATGAGTCTCAGGATTAAATCAGCCACAACTTCCTTATTACTCAACTGATTTTCACTCAGTCTGTTTTGTTATAATCCTCAGACATTATTTAATCTAGATATTTTATTAATCTCGGTAGCTTTTATTTCTATAATAACTAATCATGCTAATTAGTGCTAATCCGGACCAGCAGCAAAGTATTCAGTCTGTACCTGACGTTAAAAACCGAGTTTAGCGCGAGAAACACAATCAGACACATCAGCAAATCCATCAATGTGTGAATCATTTCTAATCTTAATACACATTAAAACAAACCCCCAAAACACAGTAAGAAGGATGATGTTGGCTTCCTATTTACCAGCTTCTTGTTCGAGTTTTCCCATTCCACCTTAAATGGTACAGCAGTCACTTTCTGGTGCCTGAAGCTGCACCATTTAAAGTGGAACAGGAAAATTCGAACAAGAAGCTGGTAAATAAGAAGCTAACTAACAGGTTCGTGTTAGAAGGTGCTAACGTTAATCTATTATGATTATCTACAGGGATTAAGGAATGATATAACTTACCACTACAAAGCCTTAACCATCACTGTAAATAAATAACTACTACATAAAGTTAGGACCCCCTGAATAGACTATTAAATGAAATAAGCTTAATATAAAACCAGAGGAAAAACAATCACATCAACAGGTTCTCTGTTCCTCACCAGCCACACGACCACATCTACACATAAACATCACACAGACTATCCGCATCACACTGACATGAGCGTGGATCGCTGTCTTCCCTCCATTATATAATCCTATTCTACTTTCTGAGTGTAATATTCTTGAAATAGTGTAATTTTGCACAGTATCTTTCTTAAACTGCCGCTCTGTAATGTTACTGAATGCAGTCCAGCAGCGATGTTGACCGCCCTAAAATGGCGGCACCGTTGACGTGCCTGGCTGGACCCAACGGGGCATCTAAATATGTATATCAGTGGGTGCCTCCCACTGCAGTACAGGCTCGGTTCTAGCAAACTGTTGCTTTAAAACACCCGTTTAGAGGATAAAGACTCATATCTGAGAGCACAAATTCAAATGACTGGTGTTGAAGTGACAAAGATATAAAATAAAATTGTTCTGTGGTGTTTTGAGTTGTACTGTGCTGGGCGACGCTAATGTAGTTATCTGGCTACAGGTGAAACTCACCGCAGTACAGTCTGTTTCAGTAACTCCTGCTCAAGTACCACCCGTTTAGAGAATAAACAAGAGGAGAGCAGCTGAGAGTCCAGAGTTGGAGTGACAGACGGAATCAAACGTGTTTGTGGTGGGTGGCGTGTGTTGCTATTAGCCTGTTAGTAGTTACGTATTCATTTGTGTAGTTTTCTTGGGTATTTCCTGGTTCTGATTTAGCAGTACAACAGATGGAAACAGAAACCATAACTGGTCTCACGAGTCTGGACCAGCGCAGAACAGCCCAGTACGGCCCTGAGAACCGTTTGGCTCGAAAGTGGAAAAGCGGCCACGGAGTGCCTGAATGAACAGGACGGTCGCCTGCTGTTGGCAAAGCAGGTGGCGCATGCATTAGGATGGCATTAGGGGGCAGTCATGGGCTGGAGGTTAGGGAACCAGCCTTGCAACCGGAAGGTCGCCGGTTCGATCCCCTGAGCCGATAGTACAGGACTGAGGTGCCCTTGAGCAAGGCGCCTAACCCCCAACTGCTTCCCGGGCGCTGTGGATAGGGCTGACCACTGCTCTGGGCAAGTGTGCTCACTGCCCCCTAGTGTTTGTGTCTTCACTAGTATGTATGTGGTGTCTCACTGCATGGATGGGTTAAATTGCGGAGGTGAAATTTCCCCATTGTGGGTCTAATAAGGGTCACTTAATCTTAATCTTAATCAAGGATGAATGAACATTTTGCAGATTACAGACTGTGTGTTTGTGTGTCCATAGGCCAAAGGGAACACCTCTCCTAAAACCACCAAGTTCCTCTCTCTAGACAAGTGTCTTCCATATAGAGACTTCCTTCAGGTAAGGCCCTGATCCAGGTATACTGATTATATTAATAATAAACCTGTAATTTTAAATTATGAAACAGGTTCTCACTAATAACCATACATGACGCGCAGTGAGTAAGACATGATGCAGCGTAATCTTCTCTGGTTTTTCAGAGCATGCATTACTTTATGTAAATAGCATCCTGTTCCCAATGAATGTAACACTTGAAGTCTTGCTCAAGGACTTTTATTGTGGCATTTACTTCTTGGGGATTCTTCTTCAGATCGCCCCCTGCTGTTTGCATTCAAAATGTAGATTCACAATGAATTGGAGGTGATGCACATTACAGCCTGTACAGTATAACATGCCATGTTTCCCCCATATTCTGTTTTATTTGACACTATCTACGTGTTTTAAATGATTAAATGACAGTAACTAAGCACATTTTAAGAATTTCTAATTGGAAAAAAAACTGTTGTGACGTTCTAGATAGTGGAGGTGGCGGACAGACCCGGCTCCTCTGAACAGCTGGAGTATGACCCAGAATGGCTGGCCATCTTGAAGGCCACGGACCACCTCCAGAAACCCTCGTCCAGCATGTGGCACCCCCCGGAGAATAACGGCCTTCACACAAGGTAAGGAACTTACTGTCCATCTCTCTGACTGCTGCTACAACGAGAACACTATCAGGCTGAGAGGTAAATACTGGCGCTAAAGTTTATCCTTATAGTGGAACTCCACTGAAAATTTCTGCGTGATTCAATCATTGAGATGTAAACAGTAAATCAGAGTGGTTTGATGTGAAACGGTTCGTTGTAGAGAAACTCTACAAAGGCGATACCAGGGGTCGCAGTGTCTACATCATCACATGTCCGTCTGAAATATCAGTTGAATCTTTACGATGTTGATAGTTTTTTTTCTTTAAAGCAAATATCTGCCATTATACAACAGTTAGTTCCGGCCACGCAAGCTGATTGGTTGAGAGGCGTTCTAACCGTGCTGTTATTTTGCCATAACATCACATTTTTTTCACAAACACTGCATCACTCTGCTGAGGCGCCGTTGCTAAGCGACAACTTTGACAGCTGTAGGAGGCGCTCAAGCCATTTGAACGTTTTTACTTCTTACTTTGCCACAAACAGAAAATGGATACTTTTAAGATCACATTTGACCGACAGCCGATTTGGTCAGACTCTGAAGATGAGACGACACTAAATTCCCAAACTGTCATCACCACTGAGCAGCTTTTCTGTCGGCAGCTGTGACAGAAGAACAGATAAACAACCTGGAATCAGCCAGAAATGAACCCAACACCATTCGCCAACCTAAATGGGCTGTAAGATGCTGGCCGGAACAAAACAACATTAATACTGATCTGGCAAAAATTGACAAAACTGAGCTGAACTTGATATTGCGGCAGTTTTATGGCTCAGTCTGATTTGGTCAGACTCTGAAGATCAGACTACACGTTTGGCGAATGGTATTAGGTTCATTTCTGGCTGATTCCAGGTTGTTTAGCTGTTCTTCTGTCACAGCTGCCGACTGAAAAGCTGCTCAGTGGTGATGACAGTTTGGGAATTTAGTGTAAGGAGCTGGAGAACGAGCTGCCGGCTGTGCAGCGAGTGGGCGGGGCTCGTTACTCTGACGCAGAAACAAGCTGCTTGTTAAGGAACTATAATTTGGTGAAGGAACTGCAAACATTAAAACATATTAAACGCCGCGTTCACGGCCCAGTTTATTAATTTATCACTTAATTATTTAACTGTTGTATAAAAGCAATAGAACACTCCAGGAGTGTGTTATCGTAAATAACATCATCATCTATGGCGACCAAATCATAGCCGTGATGTTATTTCACGATAACACACTCCCTCTCATGTTCTATTGCATAAATATCAATATAATTCCAATATCATCATGCATCCCTAACCTAGAGTGTAAGTACAACCATTTTATTTACTATCCAGAACCACCAGTGAACCTATGAGTGTCTTCTGAGTTTAAACGTTTAATATTGATAATGGTAAAAAAGTGGCAAAAACAAAAAAAAAAAACATTTTCTTTGGGGACTATTTTGCCTGCCATAATTCTACATGTACCTCTCTACCATGATCGGATCTTAAAAAACAGATGTCTCTCAGAACCATCATAAAACAATGTCTCAGGCATCAGGCAGTGCATTAATAAGCACTTCATGTGATGACTTTCTGTGAGAGCGCTTTTTTTTAAGAAATTAAACGTTTTGGACGTCTGGCTCCAATTAGCACCACTCTGCATTTCACATCAAATCACTCTATTTACATCTCAAAGGGGAACTCCACTCATTTTTAAAAATTTCTGCACAGCTAATTTGTTACGATATATGGATACCGCATTCAGAGTGGTTTGGTGTGAAACGCTCTGTTCTAGAGAAACTTACCGAGTCAGAATTGTTCACAGTGGTGGTCATAGGAACCAGACGTCCACCTTTAAAAGCTCCCTCACAGAAAGTTATTCCATGAAGTGGTAATAAATACATTGCATGATGCCACACACATTGTTTTAGAGAAGGTTTATGTCTGAAATGTTTATTTTTATCAAATACCTTGAAGGCAGAGAGGTATATGCAGGGTGTTGTAGATCAAAATAGTCCCCAGATTCAGATTTACCATTTTAGCATCAACATTACATATAAAATCTTATAAGATACGTTTAGGTTCCCTGGTGGTTTTGGATAGTAAATAAACCCCTGGTTTTTATCACCACCACTGTAAAGAAATCTGAGTTGGTAAGTTTCTTTAAAACTGAGCATTTCACATCAAACCACTCTGAATGCCTCCATGATTTAATTATGCAGAAATTTAGAAAAATTGGTGGAATTCCCCTTTAAGTACTGTATTCTAATACTAATTCCAAATTGCATGATTACAAATGTGATCCTTATGAAAAAAAATAGGAATACATAAAGTATTTTATTTGATTTTAGTAATCAGATGATATCCAGTTTGCATGCAGTCCGTTAGTACCCAACACTGTTCACCACAACGTAGATCACCACACTGTGCCTTTTGTGTAGGTGGGACTACAGTGCTTCGGAGGAGGCCATGATGGAGGTGGTCAGCGACTTGAATGGTGAGCTGAGCATCCCGGAGAATTTCAGCCAGACGGTGCCCCCGTATGACCCCACTCGCCCTCAGCCAAACACAGCCCCCGCCTACTCCACCAACCCCCAGACCACCGAACTGTGCGCTACCCTCAGCCTCACAGACATCTACGTCCTGGCCAGCCAGGGTGGCCGGGGCACTGCAGCGGAGGAGGGTGCGGCCACCGAGGAGGAGGAAGACGACGAGGACAACCAGAGCACGGGTAGCGTGGAAGAACCCAGCGAGTATCCCACCGACACCTCGGGTCTCTCCAGCTCCTACAACCCTGACGAGATCACCATCGAGGACGAATGGGATGAAGAAGAAGGTGAGGAAGAAGAGAAAGGGTCAGATGCAGTGGTCCCGGAGGCTCCGGATGGAGCTCGGGACAGCGACAGGGACAGCAGCCCGCCGCGAGAGGCCGCAGGCCGGCTTATCCTACCACCCCCTCGCACCGAATCAGAAACGGAGGACGTGCTGCCTTCACCTTTGGCTCTCAGGCTTCCTCCACCGTCCGGCTCCACGCCGTCCTCCTCCACTGGGCTCTCACAGACGAGCTCGGAGGAAGAGGGCGGTGCCCCCCCAGCTAGAGTCCCCAAACGCTGCAGTGGGGAGGCCAAAGGCACCCAGAGCCCCTCAGGCGGCACACCCAGAATCAAACGACGCAACCAGAGCATCTACACAGCGGTGGAAGACGAGGAGAGTTAGTTACAGATGTCATTGCTGTGTGTTTGCATTAGTGCTTCTTAATCTAATCCTCAAGGCGCCTCAGCAGGTCCACATGTTTGCTTTGTTTACGATACGATCCCAGCAGTTATTCAGGAGGACTTTAGTAGAAAATTCAAATTTAAACCATTTTCACACTATATTAGTCACCAGGCTAATGTAGCTAATAAATAATCTAAGACTTTCTTTTACATTAGTACAACGGCATTTTAGGGCCACTGGAAAAAAAGACATAAATAAAATACTTCGAAAATAAAGTCGGAATATTTCAATAATAGTCATAAAGTTACAAGAATAAACTCGTGATATTTGGAGGATAAAGTGGGCTAATTGTAGGGGGGCTGCTATCATGCGTTGGGGCCTCGGTTGCTTTACTGGAGAGGATGAAGACGGCGAGCGTGCCGGAGTTCCACTCCTTCGGGATCGATCATTTTGATTACCATTCTCAGTGTCTCCTGTGAGACTACATGCCCTCTTCGAATGGCACAGAGATGTAGCCACTGATAGCCGTGTAGACGGTCACTGTCTGCGATTCTCCTTCAACAGAACAGACAGACAGTTTCCAGACAGAGTCGGTCTAGATCTTTACTCTAAATAAACACAGTTTCCTGCTCAGCCATTTCAGCCGTTTCTTATACTAATAACAGGCTGGTGCTGACGTGCCAGCAGACTGAGTGTTTCTTTATGGGTGAAAGTGATACGAAAGTATAACACTACCAACTCAACACCCCTCATTTTAACACAAAACCTTTTGGCCATAATATTGCAACTTTTCCTGGTAATATACTCTAATGTCGTAATTCTGCAACTTTATTCTCAAAATTTTATGTTTTTATTATCAAACTTTTATGCCCTTTTTTTGAAATACTATGATTTTATTCTAGAAAATACGACTTCATTCTCGAGGTCTATTATTATTATTATTATTTTTATTTTATTTTTTTTAAACAGTGGCCCTAAAACGCTGTCAGACATTAGCTACATAGCTCCAGTGTAAAGCTTCAAAAAAGCAAACTTGAGACACTAAACTTGTCTCCATTTAGCTTAATGGAGAAAATTTGGGTGTAAATTTGAGTTTTCACCAAAATGTTTATTTTATAACCTGGTTCAGGTGTGTTGAGACTAAAAATGTGAATGATCTGTAGAGCCCTGACGACTGGTTTAAGAACCACTAGTATTCTTTAATTTATAGACCAAAACATGATTTTTTCAGTATGATAAGTTTATATCATCTGTGTTTTTGGTTTTGACTTTTTAAATGAGGGTTTTTGCATTTAAGAATAATTGACTTTAACTGTTTAAAGTCTTTAGCAAAAACCCACTGATGATAAAAGGTTTTAGACTATAATCATCAAAGCCACCATTCTGATTTTTTTTTTTTTCTCCTGCCATACTTTCGGTTTGTCTTCACATGTATTCACTCTTGTAGTCTTTCGTATATCATCGTCAGGTTTATCTCCTACGATAAACATTTAGTCGTTGATTCATTTGTTCACATCTTTATACTACAAAGTTTCTCATGTTTGTTTTTTTTAATTTGAGAAAGAAATTCTAAACTGTGCTGAAAGTTTTTGATGTCTTATTTTCCTTTTTTTAAACGGGACATGATCTCAGTTCGATTTGTACGCTTGCAGTGATATTAAAGAACAAAGATCGCTGTACAGTGGTGTCATTGTGTTTGTATTTACTACCACAAATCATTGTCTGCGAATGAAAAATCAAAAATATTTGTAATCTTTGAATTGAAGCTATATGATGATTGAGTTGAGTTCAATAAATTAGCATACTAGTTTGAAGTATAGAGCAGTGTAGTTTACTCCATTCTTTTAACTGGAGCGTTAAAAGACTACAATATAAGAACGTGTTATCTAGAACCCGAGTCAAAGCTAAGCTACATGGCAATGAGAAAAACCATGCTAGTAAACTTTTGGACTTGTTAGTATCAACGATGCTACCAAATAATGCAAATCAATTTCTTCAAATGACTATATAAAGGAACTTAATCTGAAAGTGCAATCATTTCTGATCATGAATAACAGCTAGGGGGCGCTAGCTACGATTAAACAAACTAGCTCCATAGCCTTTGGCTAAGGCTAACAGGGTTTTTTCCATGTGTTAACAGCACTTTGTTCCCTTATTGAGTTTTTTAGTGAAGCCCCTGTTGAAAAAACAGTACATGCATTCCATGCTGATCTAAACTGGTCTGTGCTGGTTTACTCTGATCTGGTCCTGGCTAAGCTGGTCACCCTGCACGGTCATGCTGGCTTACCAGAATACCAGCATCCAAAACACAACATATGCTGGTTTTGCTGGTCTATGCTGGGTTTTGTTCCCATGCCTGTGTTTCCATACTATTTTTTTTTAAAGTGCACTCATTCTTGGGGGAATCTGTGATGATGTTCCATTACTGTATTAGCTCAAATGACCGCTTTGAGCAGTGAGTCAACATAAATAGGAGCAGAACTTCAGAAAGAGCAGAAATCAATGTGATCTGATTCAACATTTCAACATTTCATCCATTATTTAATCTTCCAAAAAATATTTTTTTCATTTCTTTTTTTTTGCATTCAAACTCAACTACTCTAACTGTTCCACATGATATACCCATAAAGAAACCTGATATATGGCCATATATGAAAAATAGATGTGACAGTTTGCTAAGCTAGCTAACTAGCTCAGTCAGCACTCAGTAGCAGCAATGCTAACCAATCAGCACTCAGTAGCAGTAATGCTAACCAATCGGTGCTCAGTAGCAGTAATACTAACCACACAGCACTCAGTAGCAGTAATGCTAACCAATCGGTGCTCAGTAGCAGTAATGCTAACCACACAGCACTCAGTAGCAGTAATGCTAACCAATCAGTGCTCAGTAGCAGTAATGCTAACCACACAGCACTCGGTAGCAGTAATGCTAACCAACTGGCACTCTAGCATCCTACTGCCCAAAACCTTTGTTACTAAAAAAAAAAAAGGAAATATAGGGTTTTGTTATGTTTTATTTGTTTTTCAGTGAAATACATCCTCCTACTTTCCAAACTCAAAGGAAGGTCCTGGTCAAATGGTTGGAAACTTTATTTTAACTTGTGATTTTTAGCCATTTAGCTCCCATTCATTTAGGACTCACTGGTGGGCAGCCTCTGGCGTTTTGCGGTCATGTTTTTGATACAATGGAAGAAATAAGAAGTGCTCAGGCTCCCCATAAACCGTCTCTGACCTTGGTCACCCTGTCGTAGTCGCTAACCATGACTTAAAAAGGTTTCCTTTAGGTGAAGTATAATATAACAACCTGAGAAAATGGCACGCTTCCATGCTAACTCGCTTCCACTAACTGTTAGCCACATTAGCATTCTGAAGTGAAGTGAGAGACAGTTCTGCAGCCCAAGAACCAGACTGGAAACGTATTCCATTCATAGCAGAATAGCACAGCTTTATTTGACTTTTCAGTTCACAGAAGTGTTAACAGGAGATCAAATCTATCCCACAAAATAAACTGGATTGAAAGAGACGTGACAAATGACTTCAATTTATGCGATGCATCATCATCATCATCAACATTCCTTAAATGACCATAAAATTGTATTGGCAACCCTTAAATTTACTAACTAAAACCAATTTTAAATAAAACGATAGAATTCATTTCTTTTTTTACACATAAAATTATCGACAACAAACTGCATCCTGAAAAACAAGACACTATGAAGGACTTCTCTCTTCCACTCATAAGAACGTGTTGCAGGTTATTAATACGTTTCAGGCCAAGGTCTCGGAAACACTATGCTTTAGGATCCCAGTCGAGTCGTTGCGGGAATATTCCAGCGTTTTCCGACCTCTGTCTGCTGCATCTGTAGCAGTCGGTTACCACAGAGGATCATTTTAAGCCTGTACTCAGTACAAGAACAGAAAACTGGACTCGGAACGTACCTAACGTCACTGGGCAGATGCTGCAGGACAATGGGCCTCATTCACCGACCATTGTTACGAAGAAATTTCTTCTTAAAACCCACTTTTACGTAGATTCTGACAATGTTCTCTCATTTGGGATTAGTTTTTATGCAAGAACAGAATCTACACGCACTCAAGAGCTCAAAGGTGCGAACAATTGTGCGCTTTACGAATCTGACGTAGACTTTCTCTCAAGACCTTTCTCAAGAACAAATTTACGAAAAAAAGACTTACGAAGATATTGACGAATGAGGCCCACTAAATTATTCGCTACAGATTCAGCAGAAGGAGATTACATTGGATTATCCCCGATCAATCCACAGTTTTCTTCTATTCCAGAACATGTAAAACACACAATGGTTGACTACCTGGTTCAGGTACTCGGCTGGAACGAAAGCATGGACTGGCTCGAGGCCCTAACAGACTGGATTGGGAACGTAGAGGCAATCCGCAAAACCCGGAACGCGCCCCAAGTGAGCCCAAAACAAAGAACACGGAAAAAACGGAGAGTAGGCACTTCTGTTTTTTTCCAACCTTTCTGGGACTTTGCGACTTTTAAGGCGGGCGAAAACTTCCCTCGCCACGTTTACCAATCGGCATAAAAAGCGAATGATTGTGGGTGCTTTTTAATTTTTTTTTAGACGCTGCTTCTGTGCAACCTCTGCATTCAGAGAAGCCAAGGAGCATGACTCTGCATCATCTCACACAGTAAGTAAAACGGTTAAGAAGCATTTCTTTACGTTAATTAGCTCTACTACATAACGGATGGGTTGGTTGATTGTTTCTAGTTTTCCATGAGTCGACCACAACGAAGAAGAACCATCGCAGAACAGCGTTTATTTTTTCCCTCCCAACAGCGACTATTAGACATATGTGGGCACGGTTGGCTGGAGAGCATTCCAGTAGAAGGAAGGGGCCAGGAAGACGTTTCTTGTCGGTCAAGCCTTGGCGGATGTACAGGAAATGAAAGCCGTATGACCTGCGTGCAGGAGAACAGTGCCCAGGTGGGGGTCCTGACGGTTGGGCCAGGCAGGATCTAAAGGTTATTCCATAGATCAGGAGCTTTCCTATTGTATGATTGACAGGCCGGGTTGGGACGTTGGATTCATCTCAGTGCTAAAGAGCCAGAGTGAGAGTTAGAATACGGTTTCTAGGCTTGTGACCATCTTCTGGACGTCAGAGGGACGTCAGAGGGACGTCAGAGGGACCTCCCCGGGGCGAAAAAAGGGAAGACTGGGTGGGGAAAGAATAGCTCGCCTCCTTGTTCTTCGATCTCGCCTTCCTTCTCGAGCACCTCCTCAGTCTCTCTTGTTCTCCTCATTGCTCTGCCGCCCCGAAGTTGACACTACACTGCTTGCATAATCGAGAATGAATGTTGACAAAGATTTGACCAAAACAAAAGAAACAAACAAACAAAAACAGACGTCCACGATTAAGTGCTAAACATTACATACAGTACAAACGATCCTTCACTTCGCATCTGACCTCTCTTTCTGGCATCAGTGAGGGATCCCAACACTTTTCCTTCCTGCTCTCTCGCTCTCTCTCTCTTTCGCTCTCTTCTCTCCATGCCAGTCTTTGGAGGTGAAAGGGTGGAGGGTGGGGGTGGGCATGGGGTTGGGGAGGACAGGGCGTTGGGGGACTCCCTTGTTGTCGATGTAGATGACGGGGTGTAGACGGGCGGTTAGTTCCCACAGCAGCTTCGGGCGGACTGGGCGTCGGGGTCCTGCAGGTTGACCCCCCGGTGTCGGGCGGCGTGCGTGGGGTTCTGGGTGTCTGTTTTTGGCATCTTCTTCGCTGCAAGGAGTAAATAACAGTAACTGTTAACAACAGGAGCATAATAATAATTTTCAATTCTATTTCCCTTTTTTTATTAATCACACTGAGATTAAAAATCTCCTTTACAAGTGACATTTACAGCATTTATCAGAAGCTCTTATCCAGAGCGACTTACAATTTGATCATTTTACACAGGTAGGTGAAGGTAGTGTTGGGAGTCTTGCCCAAGGACTCTTATTGGTGTAGTGTAGGGTGCTTACCCAGGTGGGGATTGAACCCCAGTCTACAGCATAGAAGGCAGAGGTGTTACCCACTACACTACACCCACTATACCAACAAGTGAGCCCTGGCCAGGAAGGCAGCACGTAAAAAACAATCAAAGAAACATCACCATGACAACAAGAACAAACAGAATGATACAGTTACACCAATCAGGCATAACGTTATGACCACCTCCTTGTTTCTACGCTCATCGTCCATTTTATCAGCTCCACTTACTATATAGGTGCACTTTGTAGTTCTACAGTTACAGACTGTAGTCCATCTGTTTCTCTGCATACTTTGTTAGCCCCCTTTTACCCTGTTCTTCAGTGGTCAGGACCCCCATGGACCCTCACAGAGCAGGTACTATTTGGGTGGCGGATCATTCTCAGCACTGCAGAAGTGCTTGGGTTACATGGTGAAGTGTTAGGGCTACATGGCCTTCCAAACAGAGGTTTTTCAGAGACTCCAAACAGTGTTATGAGAAAAAAAAGAAAACTAGGCAAGACGGCCGAACAAGCGTCCAAAGAAACCCACAAATGTGAGAATTTTCTTCGATAAAAATTACGATGACCATTGTTTTATCTTACTTTAAATGTCATTTCAATGTACTATGGTCCTTTTCTTCATAACAAGCATAAAAAAATAAAAAAAAAATCAGTAACAGGATGCTGGTGTCTCGATAGCTAGCTAGATAAATTTCCCGTTCCACCTTAAACAGTCCAGCAGTTCTGATGCCTGAAGTGCCAGAATGTAACTGCTGCACCATTTAAGGTGGAACAGGAAAATTCGAACAAGAATCTGGTGAATATCTGACTTCAGCTTCATATCACTGAAGAATTAGGGGTGGGTGATAATAAATAATTGCCCCCCTCTTTGAAGGCATATGATGCCCTAAATGTAACTAAAGCCCAGCAGTGAGGAGCTGAACTTTACCCTCCTCTGCTGTCACTGCAGACTGGCAGGGTCGCCTACAGAGCAGCGCTGGTAGCTGTTAATGAAGTAATGCTCTTTTATTTGAGGGTCTCATTTCAGAGAGGAAGACTTCAACCACTACCCTTTGTAACTCAGTCCCAAGGGGCAAGATGACATTCGAAAACAAGGAGTAGGGGTAAAATAAGAAATGGTATTGCACCTTATTATTAGCCACTAGCAGTGTTTTGGGCACAGAAAGAATAGCTTAAATGCTCACCAATGGCCAGGAATAACTCGTTGACGTTCATGGCGGTCTTGGCAGAGGTCTCCATGAACAGCAGGCCTGTGTCTTCAGCATACGTCTGAGCCTCCTGTAACAGCAGCCTGAAGTTAGCCAACATTGCTTTCTTACTACACTGTATCAAAATACAGCTGAACCAACCACCAGATCCATCTGGTTAGTCAAAGGTTTTTTTTACAATACATTTCAAATCTATAAATTTGAATGACTTCATCCAAACGAAAGCTTCTGGTATTATTTTTGTTCCCCAGTGTAGCCGAATTCATCAAAATATAACATATGATATGTTTATCATTACCAAAAGCCACAGCTGCATTAGTCAAATGAAAGGGTGTGATTATAAATGCTCTCAATAAATGTGAGCAAATTTGTCCTTAGCTGTAATATTACATGTGCACTGATCAAGCATAACATTATGACCACCTCCTTGTTTCTATGCTCATTGTCCATTTTATCAGCTCCACTTAATATATAGGTGCACTTTGTAGTTCTACAGTTACAGACTGTAGTCCATCTGTTTCTCTGCATACTTTGTTAGCCCCCTTTTACCCTGTTCTTCAGTGGTCAGGACCCCCATGGACCTCAACAGTGTCACTGCTGGACTGAGAATAGTCCACCAACCAAAAATATCCAGCCAACAGCATCCTGTGACCACTGATGAAGGACTAGAGGATGACCAACACAAACTGTGCAGCAGCAGATGAGCTATCATCTCTGACTTTACATCTACAAGGTGGACCGACAAGGTAGGAGTGTCTAATAGAGTGGACAGTGAGTGGACAGACAGTTTAAAACTCCAACAGCACAGTGAAAGTTGTTAGCCGCTCTGGTAAAACGAGTTAACCATGGTTCCAGGAACGCCAAGCGAAACGAGAAAAAGGTCCCAGGATGCAGAGAGAATAGTTTGGAAACACACCTCGTACTCCACCAGTCTCTTGTCAGCAAGGTCAGCCTTGTTCCCCGCCAGAGCAATGACGATGTTGGGACTCGCCTGCCTCTGCAGCTCCTTCACCCAGGCTTTCGCTCGCTCAAACGTCTCCTACAGCGGGATCAGGAAATGAGGAGATAAGCATATATATATATATATATATATATATATATATATATATATATATACGCACACACACACAAGAAAGTGTAAAAGTCATACACAGCCTTACACCACTTTTTACACTACTACTCGATACATCGACAAGAACAGTGCCCTAGAAAATGATGCCTACCGGCTTCGTTATGTCGAACACTACGATGGCCGCCTGCGCTCCACGGTAGTACATCGGCGCGAGGCTGTGGTAACGTTCCTGCCCGGCCGTGTCCCAAATCTCAAACTTCACCGTGGTGTCGTCCAGGCAAACAGACTGAGCCAAGAAGGCAGCTAGAGAGAGAGAGAGACAGAGAGACAGAGAGAGAGAGACAGAGACAAAGAGAGAGAGAGACAGAGAAAGAGACAGACAGAGAGAGGGAGAGAGAGAGAGAGAGAGAGAAGAGAGAGAGAGAGAGAGAGAGAGAGAGACAGAGAAAGAGACAGACAGAGGGAGAGAGAGAGAGAGAGAGACAGAGACAAAGAGAGAGAGAGACAGAGAAAGAGACAGACAGAGAGAGGGAGAGAGAGAGAGCGAGAGAGAGAGAGAGAGAGAGAAGAGAGAGAGAGACAAAGAAACAGACAGACAAAGAGAGAGAGAGAGGGAGAGAGAGAGAAAAAAAGAGGAACTGATAGTTAGAGATTATAAACCACACACTGATATAATCACAGATAAGCCCCACCGTCTCTTTGTGAATAAACCTGCTTTGCATTTCCTTGGAGAAATAAAACTGTGCCCTCCATTGTTGATCAGCTGATACTGTTTTCAAAAACTTCCAAAATTTGGGATTTACATCACTTGGGAATGAAACTCTTCAAATACAGAAACTAATAAATAATAAATAATACAATAAATAAATAGAAGTGAAAGTAAATACAAATATGGGTAAAATAAATAAGAAATAAATACACTTCAAAGACAAAGGAAAAGGAAATATAAAAAATAATAATTATCAAATACATAAAGAAATGAACAAATCGAGGAACGTCTACATGCTGAAATACATATATACTTAAAATTACCAATAATACATAATGTAATTTTTCACAGATATTTGATATGAGATTTATGGAGAATGTGCTGTAGATCGTCTCTATAGAACCTTTGTGAAAAGGGTTCTATATAGTACCAAAAAGGGTTCTGCTATTGTTACGACGTCAGGCTTGATACAATTTTCAGAAAGGTTCTGTATAACAGCACATTCTCCATCAATCTGAAGAACCATTTCACAATGCAAAGAACCCTTTAATCATGCAAAGGGTTCTTTGAATGTTCGTGGTTCTATACAGAACCATTTTCTTTACTAAAGAACCCTTGAAGAACCATCTTTTTTAAGTGTGGTCTATATATTGTCAATACGTTTCTAACAACGTTAGTTTTCCATTTTCTGCCTCTGCTCCTCACCTCCGATGGTGGTCTCCTGAAACTCGTCGAACTGGCCCTTGACGAAGCGCAGGACCAGGCTGGACTTGCCCACCGCCATGTCACCCAGCAGCACCAGCTTGAACTGGCAGATTTTGGTCTGAGGCAGGCTCCCATTGGCCCTGCCACTCGCACGGGAGCTCATATTGAAGGAAGGGTAGTGGGGGGGCGTGGGGTTGGGGTCCTCCGAGGCGGCGTCTCTGACCACAGCGACCCAAACACTGGACGAAGTCTGTGGATCTCCTACTCTGGTCACTTCTGAACTCTGAACCAATCACAAGAGAGAGAAAGGAGGGTAGAGGAGTTAGTGACAGCAGCTGGGTGGAAAGTTTCCAAAAGGTTCTACATAGAACCACATACAACACATTCTCCATCAATCTGAAGATCTGTGTCACCATGCAAAGAACCCTTAAAGCACGCAAATGGTTCTTTGGTTGTTCATGGTTCTATATAGAACTATTGTCCTTACTAAAAAACCTAAAAGAACTTTTTTTGGTGCTAACCAGAAGAACCATCTTTTTAAGGGTGTACTATTGTTACAATATTCAACAATAGAAGAACCCTGTTTGGTGCTGACTAGAACCATTTCCAAAAGCTTCTATATAGAACCATATACAACACATTCTCCATCAATCTGAAGAACGATTTCTCCATGCAAAGAACCCTTTAAGCATGCAAATGGTTCTTTAAGTGTTCATGGTTCTATATAGAACTACTGTCTTTACTTTGGAACCATCTTTTTAAAGGGTGTTCTACTGTTACAATATCAAGCTTAAAACAATAGAAGAACCCTGTTTGGTGCTGACTAGGACCATTTCCAGAAAGGGTCCATATAGAACCACGTACAATACGTTTGTCAGCAATCTGATGAACCATTTCACCATGTAGAGAACCATTTAAGCATGCAACTGGTTCTTTTAATGTTAATGGTTCTATATAGAACAATTGCCTTTACTAAAAAACCTTTGAAGAACCATCTTTTTAAATAGTGTACTATTGTTACTATAAGTTGTAACAATAAAAGAACCCTTTTTGGTGCTATATAGAACCATATTCAAAAAGGTTCTACATAAAACCACATACAACACATTCACCATCAGTCTGAAGAACCATTTCTCCATGAAAAGAACCCTTTAAGCATGCGAATGGTTCTTTAAGTGTTCGTGGTTCTATATAGAACTGTTATCTTTACTAAAGAACCATCTTTTTGGAGGGACCATTTCCAGAAAGGTTCCATATAGAACCACATTAAATACTTTTGTCGTCAATCTGATGACCCATTTCACCATGTAGAGAACCATTTAAGCACGCAGCTGGTTCTTTTAATGTTAATGGTTCTATATAGAACCACTGTCTTTACTAAAAAAAAACTTTGAAGAACCATCTTTGTGAAGAGTGTACTATTGTTATTATAGGTTGTAACAATAAAAGAACCCTTTTTGGTGCTATATAGAACCATATAGAACACATTCTTCATCAGTCTGAAGAACCATTTCATCATATATTGATTTGTCAAGACATGTTTGGTATCTGAACTTTGCTTCGTAAGTCCTGCACTGAAGCTACGAGGCTAATGTTGCTAACAGGTAATGGAAGCCAATGCTTCATCCTTTAGCATTGTGCTAACTGCTACCTCAAACCATGTGGAGCGGTCAAGTGATCTCAAACAGACTTGCTTAACCCCTTAAATGACCAGAACCAACCAGCAAAGTTTTACTACACACTTCTACACCGATTAGCCATGACGTTAAAACCACCTCCTTGTTTCTACGCTCACTGTCCATTTTATCAGCTCTACTGACCATAAGAGCACTTTGTAGTTCTACAGTTACAGACTGTAGTCCATCTGTTTCTCTGCATACTTTGTTAGCCCCCTTTTACCCTGTTCTTCAGTGGTCAGGACCCCCATGGACCCTCACAGAGCAGGTATTATATGGGTGGTGGATTATTCTCAGCACTGCAGTAACACTGACGTGGTGGTGGTGTGTTAGTGTGTGTTGTGCTGGTACGAGTGGATCAGACACAGCAGTGCTGCTGGAGTTCTTAAACACTGTGTCCACTCACTGTCCACTCTATTAGACACTCCTTCCTTTCGGTCCACCTTGTAGATGTAAAGTCAGAGACGAGAGCTCATCTGCTGCAGTTTGTGTTGGTCATCCTCTAGTCCTTCATCAGTGGTCACAGGACGCTGCTAGCTGGATATTTATGGTTCTCAGTCCAGCAGTGACACTGCTGCACTGCTGTGTCTGATCCACTCAGACCAGCACAACACACACTAACACACCACCACCATGTCAGTGTTACTGCAGTGCTGAGAATGACCCACCACCCAAATAGTACCTGCTCTGTGGTGGTACTGACCACCGAAGAACAGGGTCAAAGAGGGCTATGCAGATCTCAGTGAGCACGTTCATAAACACTTCATATAACAGCTTCCTGTGGCCTTTAGAGGGGTGAAGCGCTTCAGACGTCTGGTTCCTATCACCACCACTGTGAACGAGCACAAATATGGTCCATATTACAAAAGCCTTTTAACCCAATCCGGGTACAGTGAAGAAGAAACGTGACTGACCGCTGCATTAGGACGCACTCTGCTCACTCAGCACTGCAGAAGGCCTCGCAGCGGCTGAAAGGAAGACGGGAGAGGAAATCTCCCCACTGGTCACTATTTAAGAACACGTTGCTCAACATCCTCTTCACACCATTTTTTTTTTTTAAACCATCAGATCTAAATATGTCTGTGAACATGACTGCAGGCTGGTCATCACTGCAGACCGTGAATACCACAGAGAAAACAACAGCGCTGACCGCCTCCATTCGTGCTTTTTGTCTGTGGAAATGTGGCAATCAAAACAGGCATCAACTGTGACCAGACAGCCCAGCACTCACTGCAAACAAAGCTTGTACAATCTCCATAGAGAAGCACTGACCATACTTTTGGACAGTCGCACAAGGTCACCATGCCCAATGCCAAGCATCAGCTAGAGGGTATAAAGCCCCCCAGCACTGGGCTGTGGAGCAGTGGAACCGTGTTCTCTGGAGTGGTAGAGCTCCATCCAGTACCTTTGGGGTGCCAGAACATCAGTACCTGACCTCACTAACGCGCTTGTTGCTGAACGCAATCAAATAATAGCAGCAATGTTCCAATATATACACTCCTAAAAACGATGGTTCTTTAATGAAGGCATTGGTCCCGTATAGAACAAGAACACTCAAATTTGCATACATCAATACTTCTTTGCATGGCGAAATGGTTTTTCAGAGTGACTGAGAATGTTTTGTAGATGGTTCTATATAGAACCTTTTTTGAAAATGGTTCTATACAGCACCAAACAGGTTCTTCTATTGTTTCGTGCCATCATAACAATAGTACACTATTAAAAAAGATGGTTCATCAAAGGTTCTTTAGTAAAGACAATGGTTCTATATAGGACAATGACCACTAAAAGAACCATGTGCATTCTTAAAGGGTTCTTTGGTGACATAGTTCTTCAGATTGATGAAGAATGTCTTGTAGATGGTTCTATACAGAACCTATGGTTCTATATAGTGCCAAAAAGGGTTCTTTTATTGGTACAAGTTATTGTAACAATAGTACACTCTTTACAAAAATGGTTCTTCAAAGTTTTTTTTAGTAAAACAATGGTTCTATATAGAACCATTAACATTAAAAGAACCATTTGCATGCGTAAGGGGTTCTCTATATAATTAAATCGTTCATCAGATTGATGACAAACGTATGGTATATGGTTCTATACGGAACCTTTTTGGAAATGGTCCTAGTCAGCACCAAACAGGGTTCTTCTATTGTTTCAAGCTTGATACTGTAACAATAGTACACCATTTAAAAAGATGGTTCTTTAGTAAAGGCAACAGTACTATATAGAACCATGAACACTTAAAGAACCATACGCATGCTTAAAGGGCTCTTGGCATGGACAAATGGTTCTTCAGATTGATAGAGAATGTGTTGTATATGGTTCTAAATAGAACCTTTTGGAAATGGTTCTAGTTAGCACCAAAAAGTTCTTCTATTGTTACAAGTTATCAAAACAACAGCACACTCTTTAAAAAGATGGTTCTTCAAGGGTTCTTTAGTAAAGGCAATGGTTCTATATAGAACCATGAACACTCAAAGAACCTTTTGCATGCTTAAATGGTTCTCTGCATGGTGAAACTGTTCTTCAGATTGATGGAGAATGTGTTGTATATGGTTCTGTATGGAACCTTTTTGGAAATGGTCCTAGTCAGCACCAAACAGGGTTCTTCTTGTGTTACAAGCTTGATATTGTAACAATAGTACACCCTTAAAAAGATGGTTCTTCAAAGGTTTTGAGTAAATTCAGTTGTTCTATATAGAACCATAAACATTAAAGAATCATTTGCATGTCTAAATAGTTCTTTGCATGGGGAAATGGTTCTCTAGATTGGTGGAGAATGTGTTCTTTAGTAAAGGCAACAGTACTATATAGAACCATGAACACTTAAAGAGTCATCTGCACGCTTAAAGTGTTTACCATAACAATAGTACACTATTAAAAATGATGGTTCCTCAAAGGTTCTTTCGTAAAGACAGTGGCTCTATAAAGAACCATGAACATCCAAATAATCATTTGCATGATTAAAGGGTTCTTTGCATGGAGAAATGGTTCTTCAGATTGATAGAGAATGTGTTGTATATGGTTCTACATAGAACCTTTTGAAAATGGTTCTAGTTAGCACCAAAATGGTTCTGCTATTGTCATGATGCCCAGCTTGTAATAATAGCAGAACCCTTTTTGGTGCCATATACACCACATTTCCCATCAATCTGAAAAACCATTTCATCATGCAAAGAACCTTTGAAGAACCATCTTTTTAAGCATGTAGAGTGAAGCCTTTCCAGGACAGTGGACGACGTTACTGCAGCAAAAGGGGGGACAAACTCCATATCAATACCCCGGATTACAGATAAACAAGTGTCCACGAACTATGACCACATCCAGGGCCATCATCAGGGGTGGAACAGGGAACAGAGCTCCACGAGGGCTGGGTTTCCCTTCACTGCTATCAGCTTTCAAAACAAACACTGAGTTCAGAGGGCAGAGTGGACTGAACTCGACAGGAGGGCGAACCTGGAGTTCTGCAGTGAGACCTCATTAAGTCTCATCAGGGCAGCGGTGGGGTTTCACCGTCGGGCTCCAGGCTGGACCTGCCACTATATCCATACCCAGATCAGAGATCAATTACACGGCTTATCCGCTGAGCCTGTAACCCGCTCCAGTCGATAAGAGTAATAAACAGGCGTGTTTAGTGCGATGAGGAACGGACGCGGCTCTGACCACCAGCCTGATCTGATCCGGCCCAACAACGGCGGCCCGCAGCGCTGGAATGACCGCCGCTTCCCAAACGCCGCAAAACCCATCTGACTCGCAAACAGCTCGCGTTGTAAGACGGAGACGTTACCTGTCCGGGCCTCCGCGCTGTCCTGGGCTGAACCGTAGGCCGCTGTCTATCGGCGATCCGGCTCTTCGGTTGTTGATCTATCAGCTGGTCGAAAGGCTGCGGGAACTTCCTGTCCGAGCCGCGCAGGCGCAGAAGCGGACATGAATTTTCAGGATATTGATTTCGATGCTACATTTTTTTTTCTTTTCTTTTTTTTTTTCACCTTTTCTCTACTTCTGTCCTTCTACACAGTTTACATTCCCTCCTCTGTAAATCTTCTTTTGTCGTAACAAACTAATAATTGGTAATTAAAGAGCCGGTTAAAACGTCTGATATTCAAATAATAAAATACGAATAAAAAAATCGAAATGCACAAATTGTATAATTTTTTTTGGCTCCGAGCTTAAATGTTTGTTATTAAACCTTCCTCAATGTTTATGTTTATAAAATTAGCAAATAATTTAAAAAAAATATATATTTTTTTTTTTGCTGAAAGAAAACGTGAGGCTTATCAGTAGGAAGACAATGGGGGCTTTTCACTTTTTAAAATAATTTTCATTATTTTTTCTATTCGTTATATTCCTAAATAAATCGGTACAATTTGTTGTGTTGTGTTACAAGACATTGTGTTGTTGTGTTGTGTTACATTAATCTTTATTTATTTGTAATATAGCATTTACATCCATATATAAAAAATATATGGATGTAAGCTAGGATTTAAGAGGGCTAGGATTTAAGAGGGCTTATTATGGACTTTTCTCCTATACATATTACTCTTAGCTAGCATAGTTGCATTTCTTTTGCGCTCTTTTACGTGCTTACTTTCATCGGCGACGCGAGGAAGATTTCTAGGGACGCACATTTTATTTATTAATTATTATTATTGCTATTTTTTGGTTGTTGTTTTTGTACACATTTGACCTCATCTCACAGTTTCTGGTGGCGTCCATGCTAACGTGTCTATTTTTACCGGTGTCAAAACATCATTTTTGTAATCGTAATTATTTAAATACATTTCCACATAGATGAACTGCTCTTCGACGCGTTGATGAAGTGCCTCGCTTTCTTTGCAGAGAGCTACCTAAAATAAAATGCACTTTTATTTTGAAATCAACAGGAAATGTGAAAATGTTTATTGAAGCGCCTCGCCGCGCAGCACGACTTTCAAAACAACAGGCTTTTTAACAGTCTGGCTGGTGAGGCAAGGTTTAGTTTTGCGGGGTTTTGTTGGAAACAGCGAGTGTTTGCAATTTCGTTTCGCTTTCAGTGCAGCAGAGACGCCCAACAGTTTATCATCATCAGCGTTTACCGTTAACAGGGGACCGACTGGTGGAGTCGGCGCCAAATAAGAGCCGAGAGAGAGAGGTAGAGAGGTAGAGAGAGGTAGACATCAGCCTGCCAGCCAGCGGCCCACACACACAGTGAACGAAGCTACACTGGCAGCATGAAATATAAACAATAATAAAAATAAAACAAAACTTTCCAAAGTGATACCTTTTCTAATACATTCCCTATGGAGCAAAAGCAAAGGTGAGCACCTGTTAGCCGCCGCTGGAGCTGCAGACGGGCGGATGCAGAAAGTAAGTGAGCGGTTCGCTTCCTATTCACCACCTTCTTGTTCGAACTTCCCGTTCCACCTTAAATGGTGCGGCAGTTAAGATACATTCTGGCGCGTTACAATAATAACTGCCGCACCGTTTAAGGTGGATCGGGAAAATTCGGACAAGAAGCCGAGTTCAGCTCCTGAAGCTTAACCTGCTAGCTGGGATGTCGACAAACAGTTAGCTAACGTTACTCAGAAATTCAGAAATGTATGATTTGTGCGGTGAGCTGGGCTTTTATTTATTAAATTATTAGTTTATTAACACCAACGCTTAAATTAATGCGGTGAACTTGCCGTGGTTGCTATGGAAACATGGCACTTCCTGAAGATGCTGCCTGTCAGTTACGCTTCGTGTTTAGTTAGCCTAGCTAGCGATATGAGTACAGTCAGTGCTGTTTATATTCATTTTTTGACCATTTGACTGTGTTAAAGTGTCAGTTTAAGTTATTTCAGAGTCGTTTTGTTATAATTTGTCAGTCAGTGTGCAGAAACACAAGGCATACGATGCAAACAGAGCACTGAAAGACCACCATATTGAGCAGTAAAACAACAGTCAAAGGGGGAAATAAATAACTAAAATAAAATAAATTAAAAGGCAGTTTAATGAGGGTCTTCGTCACTCAGCAAAATTGATCAGTTAAAGTTAACAGTCTTTGGGTTTTCTTGTTTTCCACACTTTTCAGAGGCTCACTGTTAAGCGGATGTATCTCAATATATTTAGACATAAGCCAGTTTTGAAAGGATGTCCAGATTGTTTGTACCTTTTCACACTGAAAGAAAATATGTTTAGTGACATTACGACAAAAACCACGTGCATTTGTATCTAAATTCATATTGGAAGGATAACTAAGTTTAAATATATATACATATAAAATTGGAAATTTGCTTTTGGTAGGATTAGACAGATCTATGTCTTTTCCTGATATGTTTAACCACCTTCTCATTGTACATATTGAACATATTTTCTTCTCAGCTGACAGTCTTAGTAATTATTTAACAAACTTTTTCTCATGAATTTATTTGTTACCATCTCTGACCTAAAATTACAAGACATGTCTGGAGTACGATTCATCTATTTCATTTCAAAATCGCATTTTAAGAGCGTGCATTTTTAAAAATTAAAGCCTGTGTTATCAAAAGCGTTGTCTTAAGTTTTAAGTGGTGAAATTTAACCTAATAACGCAGAGCTTGTGAACTGCCTGTAGATGAGTTAGACCAATCAGAGGCAACCAAACCTTCATGTGTTGTGACATCACAACCACAATTTACTGGAGGTCTGGCGCAATACATTCAGGGTTCAAGCCTAAAGCCAGAAAAGTGGATATTCTGAACTTCTTGGCCAAAAAAAAACAAAAAACAGGCGTGAACCTTATACCTTATAGATAATAACTGCAATTTAAATTGCAGCTGCAATATTAGTCATTAGTCATAATATGTTCCCCAAATCGTTCAGCCATACTATTACAACACATCACAATCTGTTGTGTTGTTATTCGCAAAGAAATTGGGACAGATTTTATCGTTCTGTTATATTGTTTAACTGGAGGGCTGAAAAGAAATTAGTTACATGACTATTCATACTTCAACACTGCTCCATTTTCATCCACACAGTATTGAAGCATTGACCAAATACCATTCTTCGTCCATTTTCAGAGACATTTCAGAGTCACAGAATGTAAATTATGTAAATTTATTCATATATGGCGAACATATTGCTTTTGTGAACATGTTTTTTTTCTAATGTTCATTTTCTGATTTTTTTTATATTGTTTTGCTTCTTTATTATTAGACATTTATCAACGTTTTAGAAGTGTTTACCTCGATAAGAGTCAAAATGAAAATAGTTTGTTTCTTTATTATTAGTTTGTGAACCCATTTGGTTAGTTTTCTTTGTCATTTGACTGATTTAAAGTTGTTAATCTAAAAGGATTCACGGACCGAAGAGCCTTTAAAGGGCTGATATCATGGAAAAACAAAACAGCTGAATGTAACATCTAAACGTTAGTAAAGCTTCAGAACCACTCGCTCTTCAGTTCATACCATCCATTAGGGGTGCAGGGAAAATCGATTCTTAGATGCATCGCGATGCGGACGTGGATGATTCTGAATCGATTCACAAATGTCAAAAATCAATTTGTCTAAATTTTAATTTATAATGTAATGTTGACGGAACGCAAAAGGCAGAAGTGGATGAGCGAGAAATCCGACCGGCTCCCTCTGCATTAAAAGCCAGGTTAGGTCAGGAGTCGACAAACCAAATGTTAAGAAGAGCCATTTTGTCCTTTCAACAAACATCAAATCACCCTGGGAGCCACAACATTATGTCCAATGAGGCACAAAAAAGCCAATCAGAACAGAGGTCATTTGCATATATCTTAAAGACACAGTTACGAAAACAGTTAAATTATAAAGAATATGGGAGGTTGGAAAAAGGTCTCGTAAAGATGAATGTAGATATGGGTCCTTTAAGTTACTTCTTAGTATTTCTCTGGTAAAGTTAACACTTTCTATTGTTTCTCTTTGAAATAACCCTGCTAGGCAGGTTAATTAACCCATTCTTAAACGCTTCTGTTTACCTCAGAAATGGACGCCTGCACAGCCAGCGTTTGGCCTCGTCTGGAGCCCTTCCTGCTGGGGGCGCTGCAGGTGGCCCCTCCGAGCAAACTGAGCATGCACTACCTGCGCAAGATGGCCTGCTACGTGCGCACTCGAGAGGGCTGCTTCCCCCGGCTGGGCTGGCACATGTGGCGCCACATTGCGTGTGGAAAGCTGCAGCTGGCCGAGGATCTGGCCTGGCTCTACTTCGAGACCTTTGACCTGCTGACGCCGCGCAGTCCAGAGGAGAAGCTGGAGTGGGCTGAGGCTCTGTCTCAGAGTCAGTCCCCGCGCGAGCTCGACCGACAGCGCAGCAAGGTGAGAATGGGAATGAAATCCAGGAGTAGTTCACCGACTGTTTAGTCTGAATTTTGCTTCTTTTAGTTTTGCACTGGATCCACGAAGCTGATGTCACTAACAAGTAATGGAAGCATATGTAGACCGGTTAGCAGTGGTGAACCTTGACCTTTAGTGCTAGGCCTTCAGTTTGAACCACAAATGTCAAAACTCGGTCAAACATGAGGAAAAAAACACGTCTTTGATGATGCTAATTTCTGCTAGCACCCTTATGGGATTCTAATGCTGTGTTAGCTCTAATCTAATGGCAATTTGTATGAACATTTTTTGGCCATTCTCATATAAACGGGAACATTTGAAGCTTTTGAAAAACACTCCATGTGTTTATTTGAAAATAACAGACGTTAGCATATATTTTACATTGTATGTAACATTTCTACAGTGAATTTTTCAAGAGCTCTGGCCACAGTTTTCCATTCCTACAACTGCCTAAAACCTAGTTAGACTGCAGTTCCAATTCACAGTCAGTGACATATCTAGAACAGCCTAGAGTGATGTTTTTTGATGAAATTAGTCCCGTTGTGAAACATGATTGGCTGATTCCTTGGTCATTTCCTAATTATGTTGGTAGTAATCTAACAGTTCAGCTCCTGAAGTCCTAACCAATGGGAGAGCATATGTTGCAAAAACATGTATATATCGTTCAGCATTAATGGTGCCTTCACAGATGTGCACGTCACCCATGCCATGTGCACTTATGCCCCCCTATACCATCATGAATACTGGCTTTTGAACTGTGCACTGATAACAAGCTGCGTGGTCTTTAGCCCGGAGGACACAGCGTCCATGATTTCCAAAAAGAATTTCAAATATTGATTTGTTGGGCCACAGGGCACTTTTCCACTTCGCCACAGTCCATTTTAAATGAGCTCGGGCCCAGAGAGGGTGGCGGCATTTCTGGATCCTGTTTATTTATGATTTCTTCTTTGCGTTTTCGAGTTTTAACTTGCATTTGTAGGTGCAGTGATGAACTGTTTTCACAGACAGTGATTTTTAGAAGTGTTTCTGAGCCCATGCAGTGATTTCCACTACAGAATCATGTCTGTTTTTAATGCAATGCTGCCTGAGGGCCCAAAGATCACGGCCATCAAATACTGGTTTTTGGCCTTGTCTGTTGTCTGTTGCATACAGAGATTTCTCCAGATTCTCTGAATCTTTTAATGTTATTATGTACCGTAGATGATAAAAAGCAGAAGTTCTTTGCTATTTTACGTTGAGAAACTTTATTCTTGAATTGTTGCACTATTTGCCCACACAGTCTTTCACAGAGTGGTGAACCCCTCCTCATCTGTACTTCTGAAAGACTCAGCCTCTCTGGGATGCTTTTACACCCAATCATGTTTCGACTGTTGCATCAACCCCGTGTGTGTTTTTTTTTGTTGTTTTTTTAGCATTACCCAACTTTATCAGCCTTTTGTTGCCCCCGTCCCAACTTTTTTGGAACGTGTTGTTGGTATCAAATTAAAAATGGACAAATATTTTTCAAAAAACAATAAAATTTCTCAGTTTCAACATTTGATATGTTATCTTTGTACTATTGTCAATAAAATATAGAGTTTAAATGATTTGCATATCATTGCATTTTGTTTTTATTTACATTTTGCACAGCGCCCCAACTTTTTTCGGAAATGGGAGTTGTTCAACAAGCATGTTTACAGATTTTTTACAGGCATTTTTTCATTGACTGCATTTGGGAGTAATATTTGTGTAAATTTGTGTTTTTAGCTGACTTAGTCCTTTACTGTGGCTTTTTATTATACACATATGAAGTGATCTTGTCACAAATATGGATTTTTAATGCACTCATACCCCACACTTTTCTTATTACATGTATGTGTGGGGCACCAAATACAGTCAAAACTTCTTTTTACATGACCATTTTCCAGCCTCTCTTTATCCCTTTAGAATTAAACAGGCTGTGTTTGTTGCTGTGCCTTTAAGGCTGATATATGTAAATGACCTCTGCTTGGATTGGCTGGCCTGTATTGTGCATTAGTGAAAAGCAGTCCAGGCTAAAACAAATCTTATAATTGTATAGATGGATATATGTAAATATGTTCACTTTCATGGTATCACAGAAACAATGAATTGAAAAGATGCTGTTTTTGCTGTTTCCAAATATGAACTGGGAAGTGAATAATTTTTTATGTGATATGGGCCATTAAATACCTCAATCTTGTGCTGTATGTTCCAAATCCCTGTAAGAATAATCCATTGAAGCTTGACTGTTCTCTGTGTTTGTGCAGCTGTATGTGGACACTCTCCAGTTCCTGCTCTTCTTGTACCTTCAGCAGCTGAACCGCGTGTCTCTGCGCACCTCTCTGATTGGGGAAGAGTGGCCGAGCCCCCGCGCCCGCTCCCCCTCGTCCTCTTCAGAAAGAGAGGCCAAAACCAGCTCCTCGAATAAGGTCAGCAACACTGCTGATCTTCTGTCACTTCTAATCAATCCAGTTGTGCATATAACATTAATCCAGTGTCAGTGCATTTACTGGGGATACACTGATCCAGCATTTTCATTTCCAGTCCTGGTGTTGAGTGCCAATCTGACACCAGTGCTTTGTCAAGACACTTGTGCTTAATAGAAAAGTACACAAACATAAATACCTAGTAGAAGCAAAAAATGCAAAATAATATACAAATGAGGAAGTTAGTTATGTTTCAGAACTAGTATTTACCTATGTATATTATGACATTACATGATATTAAGATATACTTCAAAAATACAATTTTAACAATAACAAGAGTTAAATAAAATATAAGTAGTATAATAATATGTAATACATTTTTCTTGCATATTTAGGTGCACTTATAATGTTAGAGTTGTTTTATGTACCAAAAACAGTCACAATTAATTTTTACCTGAACATTTTCCAACCTCACTTTAGCCATTAGAATTAAACAGGCTGTGCCTTTAAGACTGATATATGTAAAGACCTCTATTCTGATTGGCTGCCCTGTTTTGTGCCTCATTCAAAAAGCACTCAAAGCTGAAACTGTCCTATATAACTATTATGTAAAGGGGTGGGGTTAAACTGCTGTAGGCTGAATAGGTGGATATATGTAAATGTGTTGGTTTTCTTGAAGTAACGGTATGTTTCTAATCTCATGCATTGCAAAAACAGTCAAAATTCAGTTTTCCACAATATGGTCCCTTTAACGTTCTGGTGGGCTGAATAAAACACCCTCACGAGCCAACTATAAACAACAGGAACTCACTCTTTAATGATTTGAATATTGTAGCACTGCAGGTGGAGCTACCAGGAATAGTTTTCTCCCTTTCATCAGAAAATTTCAAATCCAATCTCGCTGATGCTGCCAACAAAAAGTCACTAATTATTGCCAATCTATGGGCGATCATTTCACAGATACAGATAAAACCATGGGTCGGCAATATCAGCCAGTATTATAGACCACCTGATGTTGGTCAGGCTCTAATTAATAAGCTCAGTATTAGTGCTGATACTGATTGATTATATCAATTCGGTGCATTGCTGGCATTTACATGAGAAACACTTTCTGCTGAAGCTGAAGGAAACACTAAAACAGCACCACATCCATTCTAGGACTGGCGCATAATCTCAGTTTTATAGAAAAAATGGAAATCTAGATTGTTGCCTTTTTGCAAAATCCTTATAGGAAAGTGTCCACTGGATGGCCATCCTGGCAAGGTCAGTTATTTCTACTCGTACAAGACCAGACTCCTGTCTCCTAACATTTAAGTCCGAAACCAAAAGCCAAAATATTGTGTCAAAAGCATATTTGAAATGACTGTTAAAATCTGACCAAAATCTCATAAATAGTGTGTAGTTTTTGGGTCAAATAACACAAAAAATCTTTTTTTTCAGCTGCTACATTTGCACATATCTTCACAATGAGGGGGACCCTTTACCAACAAACCGATTGGCTTTTTTATTGGAGAGCAGGACTCTCTTGATAAACGGACGCCATATTGAGCTTCCCATTTATTTTCTAACCAGTGACCTGCTTCCTCCTTTAAAGTGTCTCTGATTTTTGTTATGCCAAAGCATATATTGTTACTGTGCTAAAATTAACCCGTCTGTTAGTCGTATCAAAATGCAGATTCTATACAGGGAACAAATTAAACACATTTGGGGGAAAAAAATAAAACTTAAAATGTGCCATAACTTTTTGCGCAGGCCAAAATTTATATTTTTTTCCCTAAATATGTTAAATTCAGCAAATAAACAGTAATTGTCTATTAAAATGTGCAGATGTGTGTTCGCTGTAGAGGATGTGTTCACTTACCTGCACTTAGAAAATCGACAACACATGCAGTTTGAGCAGGGGTGCCCAAACTTTTGCATACAGCTGTATATTTGATTTGTAAAACTATGACTTTAATGTTCACATCTGGTCATTTTTGAATAGAGTAGACAACTATTGTGTTTAATGTTTGTGTTCTCTTTATTTTCTTTTCTACTCTGTTAGAACTGGGATGACCAGACGCACCTGACCTTCATGCAGACACATCTGTCCGAGCTGTTGGAGCTACTGGCGGAACCAGGTGAGCTGAGCGGCTCGGGCCAAGCACTGCGGGACAGCCAGCTGTCGCCCGAGGCCGTGCAGGCACTGAGCCTGCTGCTGGAGGGCTCGGCCAGCCGCGGCCGCACCGTGCACCCACTCCACAGACTCCTGGGCCGCGTGCCGCTCCAGGCTCAGGCGGGCTTCTCCAAACTCAGTCGCTCGTACTCACTGCAGCAGCTACAGAACTGGCTGCGCCAGACCCTCACCCTCAACCCCTTCGGCATGTCCACCTGCCTGCGCTCGGGCAAGAAGCTGGCCTGGGCCCTGCAAGGTGAGCCCAGAACCACATTTATCTCAAATAGGAATGTCCCGGTCCGGAGTGAAACATCAGTATCAGAACCCATCAGTGCATGACATGCTGCATCTAATATCTTATAAAGGTGCAAGTCTCTGATCCCATAGCGATTTTCAGTAAACTAATCAGTTTTTAGTTCATATCAAAATCGAATATATTACCTTTGAGTTCAGCCATTTTGGCCTTATTTTTACCAATACACAGATGTGACTGGAAGAACTACACTATATGGCCAAAAGTATGTGGACACCCCTGCTAATTACTATATCCTTGTTAGCCACACCCATTGTTAACAGGTGTATAAAATCAAACATTAGCTATGCAGTCTCCATTGACAAACACTGCCAGTAGAGTGGGTTGTAGCCTCAATCGCCAATCCTTTGTCGTAGTGAAGAGCATATTGACTGTAAACATGGCATTGCCATAGGATGCCACTTTTGCCAGTTTGTCAGTTTGTGAAATTTCTGCTCTGCTAGATCTGCCCTGGCCAACTGTAAGTGCTATTGTTGTGAAATGGAAGCACCTGGAAGCAACAACAGCTCAGTCATGAAACGGTAGACCACGCAAACTCGCAGAGCGGGGCCACCAAGTCTTGAAGTGCATAGCACATAAAAATCGCCTGCCATCGTCAATATCAGCACAAGAGTTGTGCATCGGGAGCCTCATGAAATGGGTTTCCACCTCTAGATGCTTCATTATCTGTCAGCGTGATGGACAAATCAGGGTTTGGCGGATGCCAGCAGATCACTGCGTACCGCAATGCGTAGTGCCAGTAAAGTTTGGTGGAGGTGGGCTAATGGGCTGGGGCTGTTTTTCAGGGTTTAGACCCCTTAGTTCCAGTAAAAAGTGATGTTAATGCTGCAGCTGAAAAAAGACATTTTACACAGTTATATGCTTCCAACTTTGTAGCAACAGTTTGGGGAAAAGCCTGTCCTTTTCAGCATGACAGAGCCCCTGCACACAAAGTGAGCTCCATAAAGACATGGTTTGACAAGTTTGGTGTGGAGGAATTCCAGTGGTCTGCACAGAGCCCTGACCTCAACCCCACTGAACACCTGTGGAATGAATTGGATTCGATTGTGAGCCAGACCCTCTCGTGCAACATCAGTGCCTGACCTCACAAATGCTCTTCTGGCTGAACAGGCACAAATTCCCACAGACACTCTCCAAAATCTTGTGGAAAGCTTCCCAAATGAGTGGAGGCTGTTGTAGCCACAAAGAGGGGGTGATTCCATATTAATGCCCATGATTTTGGAATGGGATGTCCAACAAGGTCATATAGGTGTGATTGTTAGGTGTCCATATAGTGTATTTACACCTGTAGGAGAATATAGACGACATAACAACATGCCTGTTTTTTCATTTATTTCTACATTTTAACATTTGAAGTGAAATTTTATTGGTCACAAAATGCTTAAATTTGATTAAATATTGAATATGATTATATTTGAGTGTCTAGTGTTCCAAAATGTCTGTAGTTATCACCTTCCAAAAGCATTTATGCCTGTTAAGTACGCAGACAGCTCAGAAAGACCGTAACAGTGTTGTCTTTGTCTTAGTGGAGGGCGCAATGAAGAGAGCCAAGATAGCCCGGAACACTCACATGGCCCCTCCGGGCAGCAGGGTGGTCCTGATGTCTCAGGTTTACAAACAGACGCTGGCCAAAGACTCGGAGAAGCTGGCTAGCGCAAACGTGAAACTGCACCGCTGCAGCGAGGCTTTCATCTACCTGCTGTCTCCTCTCAGGTAAGAGCCACGCCCTCGATGAGAAGAAACCTGATCTGTCTAACGCCCTGCCTTAAAAATGCCCATCTGGAGTTACTCAGCCACAGCCAGCGAGCAGGGTGTGCCAAAAGGTTATTGCCATTGCTGTTTAAAGGGGAATTCCACCGATTTTTCAAAATGTCTGCGCAATTAAATGGTTCTGATGTAAACAAAGTCATTCAGAGTGGTTTGGTTTGAAATGTTTTAGAGAAACTTACTGAGTCAGAATTGTGGTGGTGATGGGAACCAAACGTCTGAATGCCTCTAAAAGCTCCCTCACAGAGAGTTACTACATGAAATGGTTATGAATATGCAGCAGTGTTTTACAATGTTTTTTGAGAAGGTTTTGGACTAAAACATATTTATTCAAAATAAGTTCCTGGAGATAAATAGTTCCCCCAAAAAATCTCCTGAGGCATTCTGATTAAGGGTTCTATATTGTTTAGGAATCAATGTTATAGATACACTCCTAACGAAAAGGGTTTAATGTCAGTATCCAAAAATAGTTCTCTGTCTTGTAACGTAACCCTTTTTATTGTTACATAGAACCATTTCAAGGGTTCTTTAAAGATCTGTGTACAGGTTCTCCATCATGAAGATTATACACAACAACAACAACTATAATAATAATAATAATAAATTATATGTGCCATGGATATTATAATAACTGTCAGTCATAACCTTGTGGAAGCGACTGTAGCATATAGGTCACAGTTTTTGCATAATTGTCTGATCACATTTATTTTAGTTGATTGTAATTATTATGTATTTGAAATGGCAGATTTTATGTTAGCCCTTGTCTTGGGGAAAACATTTGTAAGTAAAAGAAATAAACCCTTTTTTTGATACGCATCATTATAAGTCTTATAACACCTTTAGAGGGCAGCAGCGAGTAATATTTGTTTATTTGATGTTTTGTGGCACATTTAAAGGGCAGCAGTGAGTAATGTTTGTTTATTTGATGTTTGGTAATAACACCTTTAGAGGGCAGCAGAGAGTAATATTTGTTTATTTGATGTTTGGTAATAACACCTTTAGAGGGCAGCAGAGAGTAATATTTGTTTATTTGATGTTTGGTAATAACACCTTTAGAGGGCAGCAGAGAGTAATATTTGTTTATTTGATGTTTTATGGCACATTTAAAGGGCAGCAGTGAGTAATGTTTCTTTATTTGAGCTTGAGTTGTTTCTGTCCTCAGTTGGGATCTACTAAGCATCGACAGCTAGGAAGCAAAATAGCTAATCAGACCATTTGGCTGCTTTAGGCTTGTATTTTAATAATTGCAAACATTGGGGGGGAAAAAGACAAATTGTTAATTGCGATTATTTATGTGGCCATTAATCGTCAGCTAATTCAGGATTGTGACCGGTCCAGTAGCATTATTATAGTAGCACACAAAAAAGGACCATTTTGCGATCACGGTTACATACATAACCATTGCCTTTACTAAAGGACAACCCTATATTTAATAATGTGTAATAGCTTATTGAAGTTGTTGATTCACCAGGTTCGCTCAAGGAGTTTGGCTTGGGTGGAAGTGTCAGTCCAAACTTTTCCTAATTTGCCATATATTGACTTGCCGATAACAATAATCATAACCTTTTTCCCAATTTTGATTTTGCAGGTCAGTGACGCTGGACAAGTGCCGCAACAGCACAGTGGTTTTGGGCCCGGTGGAGACCAGCGTCCACGTTCAGAGCTGTGAGAACGTTCGGCTGGTGTGTGTGGCCGGCCGGCTGGCCATTGGGGCTTCTTCCCGCTGCACCGTCCATGCACTCACCCCCACCCGCCCACTCCTGCTGCCCGGCAACACGGCCCTCACTCTGGGCCCCTTCCACACGCACTACCCCACCCTGGAGGACCACATGGCCAGTGTGGGTCTGGCTGTCGTGCCCAACCTATGGGACCAGCCACTGCTGTACAGCCCAGACGGTCCGGCTCCTGATCCGTCCTGTTACCGCATCCTGACACCAGAGGAGTTCTGCACCCTGGTGGTGCCCTTCCAGATGGAGGGGGACACCTGCGAGGTGCCAGGGGGGCTGCCCCCAGCGTACCAGCAGGCAGTGGAGGCCCGCGAGCGGAGGGTGCAGGAGTGGCAGAGTACAGTGAAGGACGCACACCTCAACAAGTGAGTCCTTTATGTTGGTAGTTGGTGTTTTCAAGTTTAGAAGTGACCATAATTAAGTTTAGGCCTACAGTTATTAATTAAGATTATTAATCTGTAGCCCCCAACACCATCACTGGAAGTTCTGGCTGTGAAAATCATTTCCTCGTTTATAGCCCAACAAAATAATGGAAGCCAGATGACCCCCTAAATTTCTTGTAGTTTATTGCAGTCTGTCAGAATGACCAAGTGGATCATATAAACATTTTATACAACAGTTAGTTCCAGCCAGGCAAGCTGATCGGTTGAGAAGCGTTCTTACCATTTTTTCACAAACACTGTATCACTCCGCTGAGACTCCGTTGCTAAGCAACGACTTTGACAGCTGTAGGAGACGCTCAAGCCATTTGAACGTTTTTACTTCTTACTTTGCCACAAACAGAAAATGAACACTTTTAAGATCACATTTGACCGACAGCCGATTTGGTCCGACTCTGAAGATCAGACTACACTAAATTCCCAAACTGTCATCACCACTGAGCAGCTTTTCAGTCGGCAGCTGTGACAGAAGAACAGCTAAACAACCTGGAATCAGCCAGAAATGAACCGAATACCATTCGCCAAACTAAATGGGCTGTAAGATGCTTTACAGACTGGCTGGAACAAAACAACATTAATACTGATCTGGCAAAAACTGACAAAACTGAGCTAAACCTGATATTGCTGCAGTTTTATGGCTCAGTCCGGGTTGGTCAGATGAGACTACATGTTTGGCGAATGGTATTGGGTTCATTTCTGGCTGATTCCAGGTTGTTCTTCTGTCACAGTTGCCGACTGAAAAGCTGCTCAGTGGTGATGACAGTTTGGGAATTTAGTGTGAGGAGCTGGAGAACGAGCTGCCGGCTGTGCAGTGAGTGGGCGGAGCTCGTTACTCTGACGTAGCAACAAGCTGCTTGTTAAGGAACTATAATCTGGTGGAAGGAACTTCCATATGAAACGCCGCGTTCACGGCCCAGTTTATTAATTTCTTACTTTATTTATTTAACTGTTGTATAAAACTCGAGGTTGTGTGTCATCGTGAATAACATCACGGCTGTGATGATCTACGGCCACCAAATCACAGCCGTGATACTTTATTACATTCATACCATTTAAAATGAACATTGCTGTAAATACACGTACAACAGTCTTCTGAAAGAAAATAACCAGTAAACAGACCTGACCCTCATACTTTTGTAACAACCTCAAGAAAGCAGAGTTTTGCGTCTGAGTTTTGGCCCTTTTTAGTACGATCCCTGTCGATGCCACAGACATCTGCGCCCGTGAGTCCCAGAGAGCATAACTGACCCTCCCTCTCCCCAGCACTCATCGCGATGCTGTCCGTTGTGGGTGTCTGTTAGCTGATGTAACAGAATTAGCAGTTAGCGCTCTCCTCCAAGTGTCAAATGATGTTGCGTTAGCAGCAGCATGAAGGATGTGGTGGAGCTTCACGTGTCTTGGAGGAAGCATGTGTTAGCTTTCAGCGTCAAAGCTTGACAGTACTGTGTGAGGGGGAGACCTAGTGAGTGGAACTGTCTGCAATAAAATTGAGGAGAGAAATTAAGTTTAAAAAAAAGTAAAAAGAGGTTAGAATTTTTAGTCATAAGGAATAAATGAACACAAATATTTTTCTTCCTTTTTTAAAACTTTAAAATACACTCTTACTCTGTTTTCTCTCCTATTTAGTTGTAGTCAATTCCACCTGCATTTTGTGAGTGGAGCTTGGACACATGGTCATAGTCTGTTCCAAATCACAAGACTGAAATACAGTCAAATGCTATATTTTGAAGTGAAAATGAATTGTCTACAGAGAACACACTCAAATATGGCATTTTTCTGCAAATTTTAGTGCTGAATTAACAGTTTAACATATTTGTCAAGTACAGAATATAAATTACAAATTAATGTACACACACACACACACATTTTCTTAACTGCTTATCCTTCTGGGTCGCGGTGGGGTGCTGGAGCCTATCCCAGCAGTCACTGGGAGGAAGGCAGGATACACCCTGGCCAGGTCGCCAGTCCATCACAGACCAACAGTAATGCAGTGTACTTGTTATGTAATGTACGTGTAATTTGACCAGGGGCGCCCAAACTTTTGCACACGACAATTGGTGGAAATCGCAACAAACCAGCAAACTAGTAGATTATAAGAAGCGTGTGAAGGTTTCTTTTTCTTATTGAGGCTGTGTGGCCAGACATTACATTAGTTTAATTGCTAATTGTTTTGATTGTAAATATTATATTTAATTATTGTTATTTAATAATTGTGCTCAGTTCTCTTTTTTTTTCTAAAATAATCTGAAATGTTTTCTGCTTTCTTACGTTGTAGATAAAAACCCATAAATATTTGACGGCCAGAATGTTTTGCTCCATCGTGTCACTAACGTTGACCGCTGAAAGCTCTGACTGCTTTGTCCTGTTTTCTGTCTGTGCCAGGGAGCAGCGGCGGCAGTTTCAGGCCCTGGTGGAGCAGAAGTTTCACCAGTGGCTGCTGGAGACGGGTAAGAGGCAGGAGCTGGACAGCTTACTACCCCCGACCATCGGTCAGTCCAACCCCACTGACCACTCGCAGTCTACCTGTAGCTCCAAACCTTCTCTTCAGCCCCAGAAAGACCAGGCAGTGGGACGGACGCCCACAGTTTGCTGAGTCTATAGTGGACACGCCTGCTGGACTTCGCTTCCTCTGTTTGCCTTTGCTTATTGCTGGGGCAGAGGATGTTTTCTCTGACCTCTGATCCTAGATCAGCACTGTGGGGTACGATAGGCTGCAGAGATCGCAGTCGTACGGCACTCAGGACACCTCAGAAATGCAGAAATGCAATGCTGGATAATTATTTTTGAAACAAATTGTCTTAGACAATGAAACAGAGTCAATGTCTTGAAATATATGCTGGATTAGTTGCTGTAGAACAGGTCTGGGACCCATTATTCCCCTACGCTGCAAGCGCCGGTGCCTTTAGTTTATTCCGTTACACGCAGGTTTTACAGTAATGTACTGCTACTCGAGTATTACAGTTACCTCTAAGAGGATGATGGTCTTTTTAGTGCTGAATTAACGAACAGGGAAAGAGTGAAGGGAACATTCTCTGCTACAGTCCGAGAGAAGACTTGCATAAAACCGCCCACATAACCTTTCGTAGCTGCTGCTGCTAGGTGGGGCAAGCTTCACTGAGTCTTGGCAAAAGTCTCGTAGAACCTTTTTCAAAAAGATGCTATATAGAACCATCTGCAGCACATTCTTCATCACTCTGAAAAACCCTTTCACGATGCAAAGACCCCGTTTAATCATGCGAAGGGTTCTTTGAGTGTTCTTTGCTAAAGAACCCTTGAAGAACCATCTGTTTTAAGTGTAGTTTAAGTGAGCAACAACACGGTCCAGCTCGGCTGAATAGCATTTTGAACTGGAAACTCAACGTTACGTAGCGACTCTAGCCAAATGTAGTGCTCCAATATTAATAATAATAATAAATTGACCTCTTAATAATAATAATAATAATAATAATAATAAATAAAATAAAAAACTGTTTTGCTGTGCAATTTCTCATTAGGTAAAATGGGATTTTTCCCAGAGTTCTGTAAAGCTTGTCCAACCTAGCAACGGTTGCTTAGAGCGAATGCATTTGTGGGCGGAGCATAGAGAGGTCAGTTGCCTTTTGCCTTTGGTATAGGATTATAGGATTATAGGATTATATATGCACTGAAGAAAAATGCACACGCTTCATGAAATGAAGAGGGTCAGCTTTCTTAGAGTAAGAGAACTGAGCTTCAGTTAGATTGTCGTTAAGTCTAATCTAGTCGAAAGATGAGCACTCTTTCTTATTTTTTTCCCACGTGTTCAGCGGCCAGTAGGAATTTGAATGGATCTCTGATGTGGCCTAGTTTTACACTGTAGTTGCACTTCTGCCTTAATAATAATCCCCATAAGTGCCACTCGCTGTATTCTACATGCAGTTTATCCCAGTCCTGCTCCTAGAAACACCCTGCGTTTCTTATTTAGGTGAGTTGGGAAGCAGCTGCTCTAGATTTATTCCTACCTTTGATTTATGTGACCAGTATGTTTGGACCAGCAAGCAATACCGCATTAATGATTTCCATTTTTGTAGGAATTTTCACTGTTGTCGTCTGATGCGTCTTAATTTTCAAGAGTATGAATGAAACCAGAGGACAGTAGAACACATTTGAGCACAGTTTTGTGTTGTTGTATTAGTTTAAGGGAACAGATTTAGTGTTAAAATAATAAAAGATGCTTTATCTCCTGTATGTTGTCAGTTAATGACTCTAGATGCTCACTTTACCCTCTTGATTTGCGTTCAGTATTAGAACCGAAAGCCACTTTAAGGTGAACAGAGTTCAGAAATAAGCCATACACATCGTTTAAAGCCTGTGCTCTGCTTCTCTCTGCATGCACATTCGGCCTAGCGGGTTATTTTAATGGCGCGTGTACGGAGGTGTGAACATTAAAGGGAAACTTAAACCACAATGAAAAACGTAACCGTCACTGCATCTGTTGTAAACATGCCAACTGCATGCTGCACTCTTAGCAAAAAGTGTTCCATATAGTACCAAAAAAGGGTTCTTGGGCATGTAACGATAGTGGAACCCTTTTGTGAACCATCTACAACACATTCTACATCCGTGTGAAGAACCTTTTCAAGAGGCGAAGAACCCTTTAATCATGCATAGGGTTATTTGAGTGTTCATGGTTCCATATAGAACCATTTTCTTTGCTAAAGAACCCTTGAAGAACCATCGTTTTAAGAGTGTAGCAGTCTGGATTTCTGTATCACCATTGGTGGGGATTCAAAGTGGTTGTTTGATGTAGTTCCGTAATGCATGCTGGGTATTGTAGTTTATTTATTTATATTAATGGCTAGAAACTCAAAATCGTGACTTTCCATGAGGTTTGCTGTCTTACAGAATAATACAGACAAAAAGCATTAAATGCTAGTTTTAGGCCAGAAAGCCCCTTCAGGCCTTGTTGTCTTTACTGGTTGACATGGTCACCATGGTCACCTCACTCATATTGCAGTGTTTTTAAAACTTAATGTCCGTCCTTTCATGAGATTGTCTCAAATAACCTGTCAAATAACCTGATTCATGCTATAAGTTTACATTTCTTACACCCCAAATATAAATGTTTAGGTTATAAACACTTTTCTACGCTCATTGTCCATTTTATCAGCTCCACTTACTATATAGGTGCACTTTGTAGTTCTACAGTTACAGACTGTAGTCCATCTGTTTCTCTGATACTTTGTTAGCCCCCTTTTACCCTGTTCTTCAGTGGTCAGGACCCCCGTGGACCCTCACAGAGCAGGTACTATTTGGGTGGTGGATCATTAGCACTGCAGTAACACTGACGTGGTGGTGGTGTGTTAGTGTGTGTTGTGCTGGTACAAGTGGATCAGACACAGCAGTGCTGCTGGAGTTTTTAAACACTGTGTCCACTCACTGTCCACTCTATCAGACACTCCTACCTTGTCAGTCCACCTTGTAGATGTAAAGTCAGAGATGATAGCTCATCTGCTGCTGCACAGTTTGTGCTGGTCATCCACTAGTCCTTCATCAGTGGTCACAGGACGCTGTTGGCTGGATATTTTTAAAAACTCCAGCAGCACTGCTGTGTCTGATCCACTCAGACCAGCACAACACACACTAACACACCACCACCATGTCAGTGTTACTGCAGTGCTGAGAATGATCCACCACCCAAATAGTACCTGCACTGTGAGGGTCCATGGGGGTCCGGACCACTGAAGAACAGGGTAAAAGGGGGCTAACAAAGTATGCAGAGAAACAGATGGACTACAGTCTGTAACTGTAGAACTACAAAGTGCACCTATATAATAAGTGGAGCTGATAAAATGGACAATGAGGGTAGAAACAAGGAGGTGCTCATAATGTTATGCCTGATCGGTGTATTTGAGAATAAATTAGGGTAAAGCTTGAATGTAACATTTGTGTCAAACATAAGAACACAATAGAAAAAGCAATCATGTGGTCACCAGTGGTATAAATCAGTGGTCACCAGCCCTGTTCCTGGAGTCTGGTTCCAGCCAAAATCTGCCCACCCACTCCAGCTAATTAACTGTCCTTCTTTGGCTGGATCGGTTGCATTAGTGCTAGATAACAGGGAGCGGCATGTTAAATACAGGTTGGAACTAAACTGCAGGAGGGTTGGTGGCCACTGTATGAACATATTGTTACAACCCCATGTTTTGTCCAGGGTGCTGTGGGATCAGTAACATGGTATTAAAATACTGAACAGGTGATGATGGATTTAAAGCTTGAGGAACAGAACAATAGAACTTTTGAAGCCATTTTATTAAAACCAACCACAATAAAAAGGTGTGTTGTGATACCCAGTCCCACACTGGAAGAATCAAACTGTGGACGGTACCAAAGAAAAGAACGAAACAAAACCTAAGCACACTCGCCTACTCTGAAACAAGAAGTACTTAGCTAACCTAAAAGAAAAACAAAAGCTAACTACTGTACACTTCCCTGGGCAGTAACCAAAAGTACAAGTGGCGGTGCCCTCTGATCTAGGGAACTAGACAGAGTAGACTTCTAGTGGTGCAAATGTATAGGCGCGCCGCTCTTACCTGTTTGAAACCCAGGTGGTACAAATAATCAATGTAAAACAAAGTTAAAGGTGTGCAGGTAAAATATCAACTAAAGCACTTCCCCCAGCACAAGACAAAGGCCCAATCCCATTTCACCCCTCGCCCCTACCACTGAGCCCTTAGCCCTCTGTTTTGCACGTTCACGGGTGTCCCAATTGTTGCTGAGATAGAGGGGTAGGGCGAAGTGTTTGGGCTACATGGCCCTCCAAACTGAGGTTTCTTTGACTCCAGACAGAGTCATATGAGAAAAAAAGAAAAACCGGCAAGATGGCTGAACAAGAGACCAAAGAAACCAAATATGAGAATTTTGATAACCATTATATTATCTTAGTTTAATGTCGTTTTAGTGTATTATTGTCGTTTTCTTCATAACAAGCATAAAAAATCGCTAATAGCATGCTAATGTCTCGATAGCAAGCTAGCTAGATTTCCCGTTCCACCTTAAATAGTCCAGCAGTTCTGACGCCTGAAGCGCCAGAATGTAACTGCTGCACCATTGAAGGTGGAACGGGAAAATTCGAACAAGAAGCTGCGAATATCTGACTTCAGCTGCACATCACTGAAGAATTAGCGGTGGGCGATAATAAGTATTTGTCCCCCCTCTTTGAAGGCATATGATGCCCTAAATGTAACTAAAGCCCAGCAGTGAGGAGCTGAACTTTACCCTCCTCTGCTGTCACTGAAGACGGGCCGGGTCGCCTACAGAGCAGCACTAGTAGCTGTTAATGAAATAATGTTTTTCTTTTAATTTGAGGGTCCCATTTCGTAGGACAAGATTTCAACCACTACCCCTTGTAACTCAGTTCAAAGGGGTTAGGGTGACACTCGAAAACAAGGGGTAGGGGTAAAAAGAAGAAATGGGATTAGGCCAAAGTCTTGCAAACCAAGTTAAAATCTTGAAGGCCTCTTTTTAGTCTAAGGCTCCTCCCCTCATCTACATCAGCCAGGCCTCTGATTGGTTAGAGGTCCTCCTCATATGACTGACTGCAGGGCAAGTACACCTGTGAAGGGAGAGACCAGGAGAGAGAGACACACACAAAAAACATAACATAAAAAAGACAAAAATACGTGCTTACGTATTTAACAATAACACGTGTTCCATGTGCATCTCTGTTCGCATGGCATGTCTCCTCCCTTTTGCTAGAAGGCTCACACTGAAGTGTGATCCCTGAAGGAGATGGTGTGAGATGTCACTCACCCGCACAGCCAATGGTGGAACCTTTGCTGTGCCAAGTTTCATTATTTTGGCCTGCAGCTAAAACAGAAAAGAGCTGAGCCAGGAGAACGATGTGCCATTCAGAACAGTGCAGTGCAATAATCCAATACGTTTGGGCTCTTCACATTTGCCAGTGGTCTTGGCATGAGCTGCCAGGGCAGCGTGATGTGTGTGTTGTGGCTCAAACTGGGCCAGTGGATGCGGGGTGGGTACGAGTGTGTGTTTTGGAAAGGGAGGGAGCGAGGAGGGGTGAATGGGCGACCCTGGCAATGTTGCCATTATGCTGTAATCCCAGATCGCTTTTCTGGAAAACCTGAATAGCGCTAGAATCACTGACTCAATTTTTGGATCTCATTTTCATGACAAAGCGATTGTCCGGTGCTCGCCGCCCCACTAATCCTGAATCTGGGGGGCTACGTATTTAAACGGCCCCGCTAGTTGGTCAGCACTCAGTCAGGACTTCAGACACTTTCCCCAGTCAAGCCTAAATACAATGTCCAAGATGGGCAGGGTGAGTAGATACTTTGGAGACTCTTCTGGATACAGGAACAATAGCTTAGCCCTAATTTCAAGGTCATACTACATTATCAATAGTATCCATTTCAAAGCTATAGAAATCATTAACATGAACGATACCTAATTAGGCTTCTTGAAGGAAGATGTGAAAATATGATTTGCGTTTGGTGTTTGTTGATGCTGCTTCACCAGGCCTCTCCTGGATTTGCGTTTGCTTGATTAAATCATTACTTGAGGTGGCCTTCTTAGTAACTGAGGCAAGAAAGATTCAAATAGGCATCGTATTTTCGGCTGACCATATCAAAATGGTGAGCTTTGGTTACAGTGGAAGTTAGTTTATGTTGGGAATTACTAGGATGATTTCTGAGAAGGCGTTTCAAGGATGGAGAAGGATGCATAAGAAGCATTATTGATTTATGAAAACATCTCTTTATGACATTTTAAGGACTCATCTTTATTACAGCTTAGGTCTGGCATGCCTTGATTGCTGGTTTTACATATTAGTATTGTGACGAATACTTATCCCTTTAACATATGAGATTTGCTGGCTTTTGTATCACAGATTCTTGTTGTGTGAGTGAGTGTTTTACCCGCAAAGGATGACAGTTCCTAGCTTTCATTTCTGCATAGAGCAGAAGATAAAGGAATGTGCCAGTGTGGTTATTTTTCGGCAAACCGCTTTTGTTAGACCATTAAAGGGCAAATTCCTACAGTCTGGCAGGTGTCAGCTGGCACCCTGGTACCATGCCCAGAATCGAACCAATGAGACAGAGAGTGACTGTTCAACCTCACAGGCACAGAGACAAAGTCATTGGTGATCCTTGCTCAACTGTGCCAGCTTACAAAATATGAGATCAAGTCTTCTTGATTTTTCAAGCAGTGCTCTGTACGTCCATCTGATGTCCTTTCAGATCATTTTCTATGAGGACAAAAACTTCCAAGGCCGCCGCTATGAGTGCGACAGCGACTGCACCGACTTCCACACCTACCTGAACCGCTGCAACTCCATCCGAGTGGAGAGCGGTACCTGGGTGGTCTATGAGCGCCCCAACTACATGGGCTACCAGTACGTGCTAACCAGGGGCGAGTACCCAGAGTACCTGCGCTGGATGGGCCTCAATGACCGGCTCAGCTCCTGCAAGATGATCCACTTTGTAAGTCAAACCAACTATCCATCGAATAGAGTACAAAAGTAATCATTGTACACTTCTGACCAAAATTAATGAGGCAAGTATCCTTAATGTGGAGCCTTTAGTGTTTCTGGCATCATGACACTTATAGCAGGTTCTCCATAGAACACTACACTTCCTGTTGAGTTTCTAAAACAAAATCAAAGCCTTTCACAGCACATATATTGCAGAGTCACCAATTGGCCTCACTTGATTGCTTAGCCAGGAACCAGTGCAGATATAGATTGGTAGATCAATAAGCACAAAGGCTAGTGTGACTGAATGGCCTCCCAAGCATTTGGTACAGTGAATCCTGTGCCAGAAGCAAGGTTGTAACCATATCTTGCCTCAGGAATAGCTAGTGTGGCGACCAGGACTCTGATGGTCCTCATTTTGCCTCTGGGAGACAGAACAGGCAATAAGATGCTTCATGGTCTCGGAAGGATACTTGTACTTATTCTTGGATCCTTGCAGAAATGGGAAGTCTAGAACAAGATGTTAAGAAACAATAAGACTTTATTAAATATCAATTCAGTAAAACAAAATAATTGGCACAAAAAGACCATGAGGAATATCCTGAATCGGTATCCTGAGCAAGATCCTTGACTTGTTGATGGTCAAGATGGGGTAACCGTGGTGCAAGTTTAAAAGGAGTTACACTGGATCTCATCTCCTTCCATGTCCCCCCTTCCCCTTTCTTCTTACCCCATCTACCCTCGCCCTTCTTCCCCAACCCCACACACTAACCTCCCCAATCCTAACCCTAACCCCTCCCAACCCCACCGTCCTCTCCCACCCTTAACTTCTCCCGCAGACAAGTGGAACTCAGTACAAGGTGCAGCTGTATGACAAGGCGGACTTTGCGGGTCAGGCCTTCGAGGCCACCGAGGACTGCCCCTCTGTTCTGGAGCGTTACCGCCTGAGGGAGGTGCATTCCTGCAAGGTCCTGGACGGCTACTGGGTCTTCTATGAGCACCCCAACTACCGTGGCCGCCAGTACTTTCTGGAGAAGGGCGAGTACCGCAAACCTGTGGACTGGGGTGCCGTGTGTCCCACCGTCCAGTCCTTCCGCCGCCTCACTGAGTGACCATTCACCTCTCCGGGGCTAGTGCCCTAAGACCTCTGACCTCCACTGCCCTTCTCCAAACGACAATTAGCTGATGTCCTGTCCCGCATCATTTGAGCTTTTTGGCTGATACCTAAACTGAGGTCCTGGTTGAAATAAAGTTTGAATGGCAAATCAGTGGAGTCAAATATCATTGCTTGTTACAGTGTCTGATATTTCTTTCCTACTGTTTTCATTATTGAACATGGTCACTGTCCAACATAGTCTTCATAGCTTTAGTTTTAGTTCATCCTCTGATATCTTTTTGATTTGACTCAGTGGCCAAGCACAGGCCTCAGATCTAGAGTAACAGGGTGGTTATTGAGGTGGGTTCCAAAAGAGAAGCAGTTCCCTCCACCACCGATAAGTACCAACTCAGCCCCCTCAGAGTCCAGCACTTCTGAGCAGAATGAATGCAGCATGAGGGGCCAGGGGACAGGTGACTGGAGAGAGGGGAGGGGCAAACAGAAAAAGACAGAAACCATGCTATGAATTGACAATCCACATGTAGGGAAGCTAACAAGGAAATGATACACTTCATAAAATAAACGTGCATTGGCTAAGAAGACACTAGATTCCAAACTGAAAGGCTTACGGTAGTCTACTAGTACAAACATAGACTGTTCTTGTTACGGACCTTTCGCTGCTAAGCACAGTGTATTAACTTAAAGCCATTTCCAAAGACCCAAGACATGAAACTTACTGTGTCAATGCTGACTTCAATGCTGCCTCCAGTGGTCAGGTTTATTACAGCAACCCCTGGCACACCATCTGCCTGTAACCAGACACCACCAACTACCACCAAATTCTCACCAATCACATGGGCTGTATGGGAGTACCTGCAAATGGCAGAAGACTGTGATTAATATAGAATAAACCTAAGAAAAATAAACATAACTTTATCAGAAACCTTGTTCATGCAAGTGGACAGCGAGACAAATAACTGTTTACACCTGGCATTTCCACCTGTCTCGAATCCATCTCACGACTGAAGGAAGGGTACCGCGGATATTTACTTTGTCTCTTGCTGTATTTGTTGTCAGACAAAAAAACGCCCTTGTTTGTGTATTTTAGGGCTGTTACAAATGTTCAGATCACATGGATTGCTAACAAAACTTATAAACAAGGAAAGAAGCTATGCCACCACTTTCATCTGCCGTGGTGCAGTTGATTAAAGACTTCCGTTGCCATTGGGGCACATGGGATGCTTTCGGTTTCACACTACAAATGTAAGTTATTTTGAGCAAAGTGGTGCAAAACAATACAGTTATGGGCTACAGTTAGTGGTGCTGAAGGGTTCAAACCGAAGTGCAGGTTGTCCACTGCAGTAATAATGGCCACAGATTCAGGGGAAAAAATATCAACATGCCTAGTTACTTTGATGGCCCTGAATCTTCTACCAGAGAAAAGTGGATGTCCAGGGTAAGGGGTCAAGTAGAATGTAACAACAACAATACCTCGGTACCAGAGCTGGTTGTAATTGTAGCCTTTCCCAGACGAAGCCTGTAGACGTGGACTTCAGCAGAATGACATCTCCTAGAGGAACACCTCCTTGGCCCAAACCTCCAAAGATCACCAGTCCTCCTCTATAGGCACATGCTGAGTGGGAATGACGAGGTGCAGGGAAGCAACCTTGGAGAGGGACCTTTGCAGGAACAGATCAGAGGTCAGTTTTTCTTGTTCTAATGACATAGATAAATGCATAGTCAGGGTTAACCTACACCAGTCTTCTTACTATGTCAATGCACGAAATTACAGCCAGAAAAAAAGAGTGGAAGGAAAGCCTGGCGTAGGGTGCCCCTCGCTCTGCCGCAGGGCCTGGACGTTGCTACAAGCTGAGAAGCTTTACTGTTTCTCAGAATTATATGCCATTCAGCATCTAAATGGTTATAAATATGTACTGAAAACCTCATTTTTGGTCATACTACTTAATATTACTTCGAACTCTGGGCCTTACATCTGTCCAGTGCTGGTCCTCCAAACACAAGAAGTGTGCGTCACCTAGAACCTGCTCCCTTTCTGTACGCCCACCAAACACAAAAATGTAGTTCTTGCCTGGATAAAATGAAAGAAAGACAGTGATTTAATATAATGAGTCTTAGTTAAAATGATAGTTCAGTGGAAAAATTGCATTTACACAATTTTCACCCTTTGTCCACACGATACTATACTAGTATTTCAATGTACTTATACAAAGTACATTGAAATACTATAGACTAGACACCACAAGGTACTTTATAAGATGTTTTATCCAATATTTATTTTTGGGGAGCTCCAAGAAGTTATTAAAATATCCATTATATACTGTAATTATCTATTTACACCACTTTTCAAACACAAGATTGTGGATGTTACATTTATTACTTCATGCTTGATGTTTTACAGCTTTCTTAGTCATTTTTGAATCATCAGTTAATCATTCCCAGCCATATTACAGAAACCTTATCTCTTCTTGTCTTAAGTGAAGCTCTGACCAAGATATGATTTTTCACACATCCGTATTACAGGAGCAAATCTTATCTTAATTTAGGAACTTTATTTGATCTTCTAGCATTTTATCTCCAGTTAGGAAATCTGAAACTACTCGATTGAAGGCGACAATCAACTGTTATATCTGTTACCAAGCAACCAATGATACGTACACAGCTGAAAAATTAAAATTATAATTAAAATAACATTAATAATATGAGTTACAGCAACAATTATGATGTAGTAACTAGGTCAAAACAAACAAAAGTGCACTAAACTGGAGGTTCTGAATATTGTGAGAGCGCCCCCTGCTGTTTATCAGAGCGACACAGCTCCCCTGTTTCAGTTTCCATTTCCCAAGCGTGCTAACGCTATTCCTCCTAATAAACAGACACACGTTCAGCTCTGTCTCCTCATTATTCACCACCACCACTGTCATATTTTATCTGACAAGTTTTCAATATTATTTAATTATTTAATATATAATATATTTCAGAGTTAGAATGCTTCTATAATGCGGCTGCTGGACACTAATTAGATGTAGAGTAGCAGCATCTTAATATAATTTTTTATACATGTATTTGCAGCAAAACTGGTTTTATATTAATGAAAACAGTGACTAAAGTTTTGAGTTGTATTTGCTGATTTAGACTCTCTTACCTCCGTGATTCAGCAAAGTAGCTGTATGCCGCCATCTTGGCTTTGGAGTTTGGCCAGTACAAACCATCTTTTCTACAGACAGCTGTACAGTTTTGAGGTCAGGCTGGTCATTCAGGCAATAGGTAACTTTCAGTACACTGTCAATGGGGTTCAGTGGAGAAGTTCTGCCTCCTGTAACCACAGCACCCCATCCAGGAACAGAGGTCAGTGCGTGATACAGCCGCACACCTGTGATAAAGATGTAATAGAAATGTTAAATATGCTAAATAATAAAACATATAACATCATTAATAAGAGGCACAGACCAGTATCTTACATACAGATAAAACGTAAGTCTATATCTGCATACCAACATCAATGGATCCTGACATTAAAGGAGTAATCATGTTTTTCAATCTAATTTCCATTTGCTGCATCTGTAACATACAGTTCATTATGACGGACAATAATTTTCTCTGTACTATTGAAAATACTATAAAGACAACATATCAAATGTGGAAACTGTATTGTTTTTTGAAAAACACATTTACCACTGTGTTTCATCACCTCTTCTTTCAACAACACTCTGTAAGCATTTGGGAACTGAGGAGACCAATTACTGAGTTTTGAAAGTGAAATGTTTTCTCGCTCTTGCTTGATGGAGGATTTCAGATGCTCAACAGTTCGTCATATTTTTTGCCTCATAATGTGCTAAATGTTTTGAGGGGTGACAGGGGGCACAAGGACTCTTTTACTACAGAACCATGACATTGTTATACATGCAGAATGTGGTTTGACATTGTCTTGCTGAAAAGCAAGGCCTTCCCTGAAAAAGACGTCATCTGGATGGCAGCATATGTTGCCAAAACCTGTATATATCGTTCAGCATTAGTGGTGCCTTCACACATATGCAAGTCATGTGCACTAATGCATCCCCGCACAATCACGGATGCTGGATTTGAACTGTGCACTGATAACAAGCTGGATAGTCCCTCTCCTTTAAAGAATTAAGAAGTCCATCTTAAATGAGCTAAGGCCCAGAGAAGGCGGCGGTGTTTCTGAATGCTGTTTATATGTGTTTTTTTCTTTGCATGGTAGAGTTTTAACTTGTGGATTTGTGGACGAATTGGGTTCGCAGACCATCGTTTTTGTAAGCATTCCTGAGCCCATTCAGTGATTTCCACTACAGAATTATTTCTGTTTGTAATGCAGTGCCTCCTTAGGGCCCATACATCACAGCCAGCCAATATTGGTTTTTGGCCTTGTCCCTTACGTACAGAGATTTCTCAATCATTTAATGATATTATGTACAGTAGATGAAAAAATCCCCAAGTTCTTTGCATTTTACCATGTTTTATCATGTTACTGACCTGTTGCCAATTAACCTAATTAGTTGAGATGTGAGCATTACATAGCTTTATCAGTCTTTTGCTGCCCCTGTCCCAAATTTTTAAAACATGTTGCTGGCATCAAATTCAAGATGGGCATACATTTCTCCACAAACAATAAAATTTCTCAGTTTTAAAATCTGCTATGTTGTTTTTTGTACTATTTTCAATTTAATATGGGTTTAAAAAGTTGCACCGCAACTCTTTTTTGAAACAGGTCGTAATTTCAATTTTTAAATCTCCAAAGATGAGAACCATGTTGTTGGCCCTCACTCACTCACATTTAGCAAGGTGAAGATTTTCCACAAGGGGGTGCCCTTCAGCTCTAGGTACTTCATTAGAATGCGTCACCTAATTACTTTAACATACGTGTTTTACCTTACCTTAATTACCGTGTTTTATTCATGGAATACAGCATCTGTTCATGGGCTTCTATTATAAACAGGTTATCATAAGAGATTTTCTTTTCCAAGTATAATGAGACACTGAAATCATTTCCTTTAGTAGTTAAATC